ATTAAAGAATATTATCATACTGATTCATTGGATACGTTGAAGTTATGGTTCAATTCAATTGATAAAGCATCATTATTAAATGTACATATGATTCAACCAGTACAGTCAACAACTCAAAACAGAATTCCAAGTTCTTTTTTACTATCAGCATATGGTATTGATAATACGGCTACAGCGAATGATATATTGCAAAGATGGTGGTATATATTCAATCAGTGTTTACAAAGAAATATAAAAATTATTGGTTTTGCTACTGGTGAGAAAATAACTGAGTATTTTTAATTCAAATTTTATCAAAGGGTTACTTTTTTTCTTTATAGATGCTGATGCTAAATATGTAATTGCCATTAGATTAATGAGTCGATTTTTTGCATCTCTTCCAAATTTTTCAGTTCATCAACATCAACAAGCTTTTACAGAAAAATTAAAATCGCGCTGGCCTTGGTTTTTTTTACGTGAACAACAACTATTATTATTTTTTCAATATGCGACACATCTAGCGACGAAATGGCGTAATTATTTATTATCGTCTACGGCTGAATTACGTCTTGGGGATCAATCAATATCGATCAATCATTTGTATAGCATTATTGATAATGCAAAATTTACTAAAATTGATCATGGCTTGACGAAATCTGATATTAATCCTAAAGATCGTCAAAATTTTAGTTCCTGTGTCAAATTAACATCTGATGATCTATTTAAAATTTAAAAAGACAATGTTAATACTCAGAGAACCTTGATTTATCTACAGGTGTTAAAAATGATGATAATGGCTTATGTTAATAAAAAAACAACGATTGCTGCGCGTGAGTATGCTTTTTTAATTTTGCTTGAGTGAGAGCGGCAAATTCTTCACTTCAGATGTATCACATCTAATAAAACTTTATTTTAGGTCTTCGATCTGCTTGTTGCGTTGTATTTTTCTGTCGAATATGGTTAACATGGATCAAATTGAAAACATTCAATACAACACAATTCTCAGAAAAAAAACAAAAGCAAATATTTTATTACTAGACCAGCTTATTTGTCCGTGGAATTAAATGCACATAATTTATTATATTTAATTTTACTTGTTCAACAAAAGCAACTACCACCACAATCATTATATATTCATACTTTTAGCTCGCAAGCCTGTGAATCAATTTTTCGAAACACGCGCGCATTAAGTGGAGTTTATTCAACTATAGTCAACTTCACTGTACATGATTTTTTACGACGTGCTCAAAGATTGTCACTACTTAATGATATTAAATGCAAGCATTTAAATGATACATCAGTTAATAATTTAGTATTTCCAGTTCATTACAAACATCGACATGATAATCAATCATTAGCTACACAAAGTCAAGCAGAGGTTGATCTAATAGATGTCGAACAAATCATTACCGAGGCTTATCATGAAGCAATTTATATGCTTAATGGCTTAGAAATATTGAATTTACTGAACGATAAAAATGTTCTTGGCTTAAAACCATTAATTGAATATGTATTTAAACAGTTAAATTCAAATTCAAAGATGTACGACTACTCATCTCAACTCAACCAGACAGATGATGGAGAATTTGAAATAGCTGATGATGATGATGATGATAATGATGATGATAATGATGACGATAATGGAACAGCAGCTGATCTTAACAGTAATGATGGTTTTTCCTCAAATGATGGTTACGATGATGATGCTGAACAAGATAATACTCGAAATTTAATAAATACAACAAAAGAAGAATTTTCTGGAATGAAAGTTTTTAATATGGTGCAACCACATATAGAACATTCTTATTTTAAAGCTACAATCAATGATAACATAAAATATATGCATAAGCAGACTGCTTGTTGGTTATTAACTGGTGAAAAAAGTAAAATGTCAACCGATCGATTGCTTCGAGTACAACAGATTAATAAAAAAAGTTGATTGCTTTTTCTCTCTGTATAATACTTTTTTTCATTTATTTTCAATAAAATGAACAACGCGTTACTGACTTTCAAGTCTTGAAATTAAAAATGTGCTGTATGAGAATAAAAAAAGATAATGCATGCTTGTATCCGAATCAAGATTAATAAAAATTTTATCTAATAGTACACACGATACAAACAAAAACAATAGAAGTATCGAATTTTTATAATGGATTTCAAAAAAATAAGAAATTATTCTACGAGATTTCATGTGACTCCACTGAATCCACTTGAATCAACCTGAATCCAGGTGAATCCATTTGAATCCATTTGAATCCATTTGAATCCATTTGAATCCACATGAATCCACTTGAATCCACATGAATCCACATGAATCCACTTGAATCCATATGAATCCACTTGAATCCATATGAATCCACTTGAATCCATATGAATCCACTTGAATCCAAGGGACTGGATTCTGCTGTTCCCCCCTTGGTTTAAACGCACAATTATTCGATAATTTAAAAAATAATTCGTTTAAACGCTGCGGATTGTAGTTTTTACCCGTTTTCAGGCTGTAAAAGTGAGAATTCTGCGTAAAAACGCGTTTCTTGCTTTTCGTTACTGAGCGTTAATGACTCACAGTCGCGATTCCAGATTGAGTGTGTAAACGCGTTTTCGCAAAAGTTTGTCTGCTTGGGAGAAAGGAAATAAATCAACACTTCGTAAAGCAATGAAAGCTAAAAATCGTGGTACAACAAATAAACGGATGAAAAAATAATATTCAGTTTCTTTGCACATCTCACTCTTTTCCTTACGATAAAAATGCTTATTCTTTATCGACATTAAAAATAAATTTTTCTGTTCTTTTTTATGATTTTGTTCTCTGTTTCGTGTTGTTTATTCGATTGTTTATGCTACTTCTTGTGTCTTTCTCTGTTTCGCAAGTTCTTTTTTCTGTGTTGAAAACGATTTATTGTGTTCATCAAAACGTTGTTCTGTTTATTATCTTTAAACACAAGCTACTGAGTCATTTGGAATCTCTCAAAAAAGTGTTCACATGAACATAGTTACGAATATTCTGCCTCTTTTCATTGCGATCTTCATGTTTTCATTGTTACGATGTTCCGGTCATTTTCATTCCGGACACCCTACGTGTTTTGAATTTTTATCATTCCGAAGATCATGTATGTTTTTACATGTCGGGAAATCGTAATGAAAATTTACTGCGAAATGTCTCTTTCCCTTTATGTTGCTTAATCAAAATATGATGCTTTTTATGTTTATCTTGTAGGATGAAAGATATTTGAAATCTTGCTGGACAGGGATGCGTGTGGGTGTAGCTGTTCTTGTTTTATGTACACCCACCTACACCCACACCCACACCCTTAGCGAATCTACTCTCATAAAAAGTGATTTTGTCTTTCTTATTATTCGAAAAAAAATGATTTTTACGTTTTTTCAACAAATAATTGTGAAAGATCGAAAAACTTTATTTCTTCTCATCGCTGGCATGAATAACATAAAAGCAGTTGTGGCTGAAAACTGCGTTTGCAAAAGGACAATTTTTCTCTTTCTCCTTCTTTTCCTTGCGTGTACATAAAACAAGAACAGTTACACCTACACCCCGCACCCTTTGTTAAAATAATTAAAAACCAGTTATGAAAAAGTTTTAAGCGTGCAGATGTGGGCATAGATTGAGTGAATACATCAACCTACACCCATACCCTAAATTTCATGCTTTGAGACAAAATATAAGTTTGATTTTGTAGTTCTAATTCTACAAACTTTCAATGTATCTTCTTTTTTATTTTTAGAAAGTTCCTTGTTAGATGTCGTCTCATAAAGTCTCATATGAAAAGTGGCATGATGGTATAACACGATGGGGTTTGAAACATCGTCCTACTTGTATCCTATTTAGCAAAGAACAGCCATTACCACCTGAACAACATCAAAACGAGAAATGTGGCTGTGGTCGTTTGAAAAGGTCGCACAGCTACGTAGGCCAACCCAAATCACAAAATGTTGATAAGTGGAATTATCAATCTTGTTCAAAACAGATAGAAGATATGAAAAATTTTGGTATTTTGTATAATCAATATGAATCACGCTTAACTAAGGTAGAAAAAATATATTTCCCGTTCTTAGATGAAAAATTTTTCTTTTGATTTAGTTAATTCGTTGTAATACGGGAGAAAAGCCAGAAAACCTTTACAAGTTGATACAAAACGATTGCAACGAAAAGTCACGTTTAATAATAAGCATTTATGGTGGTGCAAAATATTTTGAAATGAACGAACGTTTAGAGAAGGAATTCATGCGTGGTATTATTGAAGCAGCTACAATTGCTGGTAATGTTTAATTTTTATCTAAGTGTGAGAAAAAAAAGATAATCAAATGAACACATGCAGTAAAAATGATAGAATATATTGTTGATACGACTGCCAGACAGAGAAGTGAGGATAATCCAAATGCACCTATCGATTAGAGTCCGATAAATGTCAAACATTTTCTGGGTCAACGTCATCATGATTTAATCTAATCCGATTCGACCCGAGGGTTACATTTGTTTTTTCCGGTGATTCCGCCCGAATCGAGCTTAACTATACTTTTTGGTCAATTAAAGGAAGTCTTTTCCGAGGTTAAGCATTTTTCAATGCATCTGTACAAATACTAACAAAATTGACGAGAACAAAGTAATTACCTCATCTAGAACTCGTATTTTTCTTATGTAAATCTCGACATCGATCAATTTATTCTGACCCAATCTAACCTGGCCCAACCCGAGGTCAAACACTATTTTAGTGATTCAACCGGAGTCGAACACTACTACTAGCATAATTATGAATGCCAAAAGTATGAGATTGATAGATTTACTACTTTATGTAGAGATTGCAAGAATAAAGAAAGAACCTTAGTATTAGAACAATGAAAAGGATTATAACGAACGTATAAAAATATAAACGAAAAATGGCTAGCTTATACGTGTGAACAGGTTGATCCGTAACTGTAGTTTAATTGACAGTATAACTTTCTTTTTTCTGAAGATGGATGGATATTGACTACTGGTTTAAGCAGTGGTATTGGTAAATTGGTTGGCGAAGCTATATTACAAGATCGAGTGTTAAATGGCGGTTCAAAAGACTTAGTCAGTATTGGCTTAGCAAAATGGGGAAGTTTACCTGAAGAAACTAGAGAGCTGTTATCGAAAAAAGTTCAATAGTTAATTGAGAAAAGATTTAGAACATAATAGTTCTGTTCTCTTTTAGTTTACAAACCAGAAAAATGGCATAAATGCTGACACAAACGACAAAGACTATGAATTTCCTCGAGAAATATTGAAAACAACTGATGCTGAGACAATAGAAATGCATCATACATATATGCTGTTGTTCGATGATGGTCAACTATCTGGTTATATAGGCGATGGACAGCGACGCAGTTTCGTACAAGAGGCAACCAACGATGTAAATAAATGTGAGAACACAATAGTTTAATAATGAAATGTTTCTCTGACGTTGACGTTGTTTTTCGATTTTAGGCTATGCCGTAACAGTTATTGTTGAAGGGGGTATAAACACATTGGAAGTTATACTGAATGATTTGGAAGACAGTCGGCCTGTTGTGATTATAGAAGTAACAAAGAGAAAATATAACATTAACCAAGTGTTTTAATTTTTGTTCTATATTCTTTCAGGGTAGCGGTAGAATAGCTGATGTATTAAGCGACTTGCTGAAGCAAAATCCTGAGTGGTAAGAGAAAACGTTTTATAATGTTCACAAGAATATGTTCAAAGTTTTAGTGTTCCAGAAGAAGTTCAAATCGATGATGGACTAAACAAATTTTTTCAAAATGACGAGACTAATTCAGACCCTTCGCGCAAATCTTTTGCCCACAAATGTTGTAAACGAGAGATAAAAAAGATTATGAACATGAAATACCGTCACCTTTTGAATGTTTACTCGTTAGACAAGGATAGTAATGTTGCCAAAACGATATTCGATGCGATTTTCAAAAGTAAGCTAAATTTGTATGAGACATGAGTAAGTTAAATCAAATGTGATTAATGATATTAAGGCTACAAGATGATGGTTCCCGAACATCAAGACAATTGCCATGATCAGCCTGAAAATCAGGATCATTCACGAAAAATTATAGAAACGTTACTAGATCTATCGATTAAATGGAATTCATTAGAAGGATTAAAACAAGTGCTTAAACATATTAAAAGAAAAGCAATAAAGGTTAGCCCATTTTCTAGACTTTTATCAGAGAATATACATCGTTGCTCCCGAAAAGAATTCATAACTGGATTGGTGACCGGACAATTCGTTGTAGGACAATTCGTCGCAAATATGTTACTATTGTATTACGCTATTAGTATCACTACAATTTTATTATCAAATATATTTGATATGATTTGTTGTATTGATTAAAGTGTAAAGAGAGACAATACAATGGAATAAGAAGAAAAAAATTATAATAATAAATAATTAAATAAGAGGGTTCTTGTATCAGATCATCTTTTATTTATTAAATTGTAAATTAATTAGATATAAAATATATCAATAGATATTAATAGAGAGAATCTACAAATTATAGATTTAATTTTAATCATGATCATGATCAAAAAGATCACAAAATAAGCGTTTTTAACTATTGATTTAATTTTTATTCAATCACATTTAATCGTAGAAGTCAACAACTTATTATATATTATTGCAACGAATTGTCCGCAACGAACAGTCCTAGTACTTCATAAAAACAGCATGAGGATGTTGTACAAAATAGAACTAATATTTACTATAATATGACACTGAAATATATCAAAAGCAGCATTAAAATGTTTGTATTCGTGAAATCTATTGTTTCACATATATTCTACAATTTTAGGTTGAAAATAAGCGGTAAATCAAATTGTAATCTTATACGTCTTCCTTCTTTCTAGATTAGTCTTCTCCACACTCTCAAGATTGGAGGGATTTGTGAACTTAAAATTTGGAAAAAATTCTAGCATAAGATTTTTCTCTGGCCAATTTTTCGAACTCGAAATGTATTCGATACTTTTCTGCTTAATATTCGTACGTGACAATAGATCAAAGGTTGAGAAATAATTCTGATCATAGGCTCGATCTCCATCTCAGTCATGGAAAAATCGCTATAGACTCGGCGTCAATTGGAGTTAAGTTCATTTCATTAAACTTTATATCGGCTTGTCAGACTGATCCTAAATCCTTTATTTACGAAGTATACTAGCATTTACATTTTCTTGCTTGTCTAACTTCACAGAAACTTTCAAATTTTGTTATTAGCTGTCCCCTGAAGAACTTGGAAAACATTTTATTACCTCACTCGAAGATAATAAATCTATGTTGGTTGATTACTTACTTCGATCTCAATATGATGTTTTGGAAAAATTACAGAAACAGGACGTCTTAAAATTGTATAAAAATAGTTGGACCAAACAACATGCGGTATATTTTTTTCACTAAATATCGGATTAGAAAACTATCAGATATTCATATTTTAGAAAACATATCTATTCCCTGCATTGAGTGGGGAAAACAGAGAAGAACCTACCTCGCTTGCTGTTGTTGATGCGATCTGCGAAGAATATATCGGTTCCTTTATGCAGCCTTTGCATTGTAGCAAAAAACAAAAATTAAATCAGATTTTGACGGGTCTAAAACGCACGTGTTGTGAACTCACTCAAAAAATTTGTAGATGCTGTTGGAAACCAAAACATAACATAAACTATATTCATAATTATCTACTCATAGCGATGCTTCATCCAGGAATCCAAGCATCCTATTCAGAACAACATAAACTACGAGATTTGTTTCTATGGTCTGTATTTATGGGCCATGTTGAACTAGCTAAAGTACTACTAGTTCATCTGAAACCAAGAATCTGTGCTTCACTCATTGCATCAAAAGTATTCACAGAATACTCAAAACATACGAACATTTTTCAGTTCAAAGACAAAATGAAGAATATAGCAGACGAATTTGAATTATATGCAGTAAAATGCATCGATAGTTGTTATGAGTATAATGAAACAAAAGCCTGTGAACTAATTTTACGACAGATATCACTCTTTGGTAATATAACAATTGCACAAGTATGTGAGATTGGAAATATTTCACTTGCTATTAATTATCATTTTTTCCTCTTAGGTTGCAGTGTCAGCTAAAAGTAAGAAATTTTTATTAACGGCTTGTTTTGGTCGAGTTATGAGCGAAGCATGGTACGATAAACTTGATGAAATCAATCGTAGTGCTGTGGGAACGCCAATGATTACTCTTGGTTTGTTAAGTTTTGGTGTTCTTGCACCCTTATATGTTGTCTATCGCAATCAAAACCAAGAGGAACCGCAAGAGCAGATAACATCGAACAGAGATGATCAGTAAGCAACATTTCTTTTATATCTCTTCTGTGGAAAAAGTGTAACGATATAGGTTCGATCCCAATGGTATAAATCATTACATGTCCTCGAACTATTCACAGAAATTAACATTTCGTTCATATTTAAACAGATTTATCAGCTTTCACGAAAGCCCAATGATCAAAATGATGTACAACTTTGTAAGGACTGTTTTTCTCATAATCTATGTTTGCATGCATTCTAACTTTTATTTCTTTACAGATTGCTAACGTGTGGTTACTACTTACATTTAGTTACATGATGTTATATCATTTTGATCCGCCACTGAATAAGAAACGTCCTCATTGGACAGAAATTTTCGTGATCATCACAATAACAACAATTCTTTTGGAAAATATTCGTCAGGTAAAATTTAATGTCCTCTTGAATCTTCTGCCAGTAGGTGTGCGACAGTTCTGTATCGTTTTAACAAGCGAGTACGAACTGGCCAGCTCTTTTGAGTGAACTGCAACGGAGTGACAAGCTTTTTTGGTATAACTTATATGTAGTCGCTATTTGTTTTATTTCTACAGAAGTTACTAGAGATGTATTCAGCTCACTTCTCTTTCAATCTAAGTTGGATACCATTCATATGAAAAGGGCTGACCAGTAGGTCCAACTCACAAAAAAAGAGCTGATCAACATAAATAATGAAGTTCTTTCGATTCATTGAACTGTACGAGTGAACAATTATTTCTAATTCGACGCAATTTCATCACTTAACTGAGTAATATAACTTAAAATCTAGTATAATATTACAAAATTAAAATTTCCCTGTAAAGTTAATTTCTTAATACCAAGTAATAAGAAGAAGCTTAACGCTTAATTTCAAATATTAAGTTTTCAACTTATATCACTCACTTTTTACTTAAGTAATTAACTGATAACCGTGAGTCAAATACAACGAACTTGCGACTATTATTTTGGAGTTCAAACCAATTCCTCCAAAAATAACAATATTTTAAAAAGTTTAATGAAAATATTTCCGAGATCCAGATATCAAATTTCTACGATTCAGTGTTTGGAATTCGTGACGAAATCTATTCTCAACCCTTAATGCACGACTAACAGAAACGGCGCAAACAGATTTTAGGAGGAGTTTTCTTCACTTTTGCATAGAATTCTTAGTTGTAAGAAGTAGCCTTGTGTTGGTGTGATTCTTGAACTACAAGCGCAAAAAATAAGTCGCAGAATCTGATTCCTAGTCATCGAAATGCTTTTGTTCAAACTTTGAAAAACAGTAACCATGGTAAAAAATATCCTTCTCGTAACAAAAAAATTGAAGTCTGCTGTATCTCACTCACGATTATAGTTTTTACTTAATGTTCAGTGAATTAAATGTTAAATTTTCATTAAAACTTAAATTTAAGTATTAAGTATCAAGTGGAAGAAGTCAAGTTAATTTAAAATTAAGTTAAATGACCCATCTCTATGAAGCTGTTAGCTGTCTTAGATCTATCTGCCATTACATTTATCGTTTAGAAATATAGTACATTTGTAACAAATATGCGTGAGTGTGAAAATACTATTGAATCAAAACTGCTATTATTACTGACAAATTTTTTTCACATTGCTTTATACGCACTGTTTTATACTGGCACCATAATGCGACATACTATGGGCAATATCCCACACTTGTTAGCGGTTGCAAGGTAAGGTATTACTATTTATTTTAACAGAACACATAAGATATATTCTAAGGATCCTTATGGCTATTGATTTGGAATTATGGTATTTGCGATCTTTGAAATTTATGATCTCACACAGCTATCTTGGACCTAAACTTCTGATGATTAAAGCTATGGTAAGAAATCTAGTGAAGTCTTTAAAAATGATTTTCTATCTTGTTATCTAGACACGAGATTTGGCCGCTTTCTTATATGTCATATTTGTATTTATTACTGCTTATGGTGTAGTTTCGCGCTCTATGATCATGCATAACCAAGTTGAGTTCAGTATTCATGGCATATTTAGTGGAATATTTTATACTCCCTATTCATTTTTATTTGGTGGTAGTGATAAAGTTCTTGAGGGCAAGTAGTGTTTTGAGAGTAATCCTAGATATATGCCATTGGATTTTTAGAAATGACAGAAAAGAAAAATGAAACTTACACTGCAGAAACAACTGCTACACATGTTTTGTTAGCAGTGCATATGCTATTTATCAGTATACTTGTATTGAATCTTATTATTGCTGTGTTCGGGCAAGTTTATTTGATATTTGAGACAGCATAAGCTATTTCTTAACTTTTTAGCTTTACAATAAATAGCGTTCAAGATAATACAGCATTTAATTGGCAATATCAACGATATCTACTGATACGCGAATATTTCGAGAAGCCTCTGTTCTCATATCCACCGCTGACCATTTTACCACATATATTCTGTATCATTAGAAAGCTTTTTAATTACTGTTACAATAATCATTGCCGTAAAGAACCTCAGAAAACAAAAGAAAAAATTTTCAGTAAGAAATAGAAAAATAGTATATGTACCAAACAATATTTTTTCTCATTGAAAGAAATAATTCCAACGAACGAAAAATTAATGAACTACCGTTGGGATTGTTTTGAAAATGAAGCAACAAAAAGCTATGCAAAATCAGTGGTAGCAAATGGATTTGTTGTGAGTTCAAGGTAAGTTTGAAAACATCAACGCTAGTACGTTTCAATTATTCAAATTACCAGAACACTGGATAAATAGTGTAGATGACAAGGCAATATCGTTCTACCACAATCTATATGAATTGTTTTCTTCTAGAGTTGCTTCACAAACTACAGTGAGCACTTGTATTTTACGTCTGACCATAAGCAAAACTGTTTTCATTCTTTTTCGTTTTTCTAAATTCCAGAGTGAGCATACAGTGACTACTCAGGTAAATTTAACTTTTCGAGGATTTTTGGTCAATTTCTGAAATCTTATATATCTTTATTATCCTACTTTGATATTTTTTACAATATTTTACCGATTCTAGCCCTACAATTGATACGATACATGACGAAATTCAACAATTGCGATCAGTCGTCGAAAACCTTCGGACATCATCGATCAAGAAACCTTGAACAAAATTTATTCTAACTTTTTTCATATATTCTCATTTGTTTCTATTTAAGTTTAGTTGCCTCTTTCTAAACGCTACTCATATTCGTTTGCTTGATTTAGTATAGAGTTACGTGTCTGTGTCCTGGCTTTTTTTACATCACAAAATGCATGCGTTATTTATTCATAGATAAACACTTGCAACTATACCATATCTTCTCATAATGGCTACAAATGTTAAATCGTTAGCTGAGTTCGATGAAATTCAGGCACATCTAAGCCCTAAGATCGAATTAATTGTGCTTTTCTTTTTTGATCGGTATGTTTATTGTACTGACGACTATAACTAGTTTCTCTTTCTTCTTCTCTTAGTTTTGATGAAGAAAGCGATCGAATGCGACGTTATGTTGATTTAATGAGTGAAGATGATGATTTTATAGATCGTGTTTCATTTCTTAAATGCAATAAGGAAAGTCACAATCATGATATGTTTGAAAAATACAATATCGAAACAATACCAACATTTTTATTTATTAAAAGTAATGAACAAGTAGCAACACCCTGTACTGGACTTGATGCTCTATCCGCTGCTAAAATAGAGGCCGTTATTAATGATCTTATTAACGGCAAAAAATAATGAACCAAAAATATCTATTATTAAATGAAACTGCATGATTTTTTTAATCCAACTTTTTATCCATTTTTTCTGCATTTACTGAAATTGATTTTCTTAATTATGACATTCAAAAAAGATCTGAAAAGGGTGTGAGTAGATGTAAATAAAACACGAGCAACTACAACAGCACCCGCGGCTACACCCACACCCTTTTCATGTTTATTCAACAATTTTAGTTTTCTATCATCATCATTCAATATCGGTATAGGCATAGATGTTTGAATTGCATCCAATGATGCATGCGGTTATTATAGAAGATTCAATATTTTAATTCTAATAGTTCTCGTTTCGACTTTTCTAATTTGCTCGCTTTTTTCAGAAAGATGTTTCATTACTTGAATCTAAACGATAGAAAAGAGAAAGATATGCTATTATTTCGAACAAAATGTAGATTTTTCTTTTCGTTTTTCCTATAGATATTGAGGTCTCAATATTTCTGAATCATAATCATAGTTGACTGTTGTTATTTTAAAATTTCGTTTGATTCTAAGTGGCTTCACACCATGCTTTTGAACAAAACTTTGAATAGTTTGCTCAATATTGGATGTAAATCTGATGAAATCGTTTTTCTTTTCATTCATTTCTATTAAACGTTGCTGTAAATGTTTTTCACTATCAGTCTATTGATCTTTTGTAATAATTGCTATAGATTTACAAATACTAATACTAGCAGTAGTGGTCACTGATGTTTTCTGTGTTAACATTATTGATTGAGTCTGCATAGGCCGTACGCATCGATCAGGACGTGGACGATTGTGTTTTCTCCAGTAGACGCACTCACATCTCTTTTCAAGTGTTATCTACCTTTTTTCGATTGATTCAGTTTTTACTCTATAGTAACCATCGGCCTTGAGCTTATTTTTTGACATATATGTAATTTTCAAGACGAATAACATTCTCTTTCGACGTTTGCTGCATGTGGCAAAACTACTAGATGTCAAAATTTCTATCGAATTTAATTCAGTAAGATATTACCTTTATCCCAGCTACCATCATGACAGTGCACGCAAAGATAATGCACGTTGATTATTCTAGCTCCTTTTGTGTAATTAAAACATTCAGCTTGAGACGAAAAGTGTTTTTCTCGCTTTTTCATTCTGCATCTTTGGGCAACGATATTTACTTGTTTCTACAGTGTCACTATTGGCCATTTTGAATTTAGACAAATGGCGATTAATTATATCGATTCAAAACTATCACAATCCATTGTTTGTCTTAATTCGAGTCAAATAGTTAATATAATTGACGAAACTCACAGAGTATCACATTCGAGGATTAAACTCATTAAGATTTTTGAAAATGACTTTGAATACGTTAAACATATCTGTGAAAACGACAACGAAGTATTCATTGCGATTGTGCCGCATTTCGATAATGAATCTATTATCAAACAAATTAATACTCTGTCTCAAGTACGTACAATATATGTTTACAATTTTAACTCGACCAATATTGACCGCAACCATTTGAAGAATTACGAAAAAGTGAGTATTTATTTCTTAGCTATCGACTAAATTGGGTATCAGTAAATTGGTTCAAATAGGTGACAGCAATTGTAACAGATCCCAACAAATTGATATCTCAGATTAAGACGAATAACAACGATATAGAAAAAAGTACAGAATCGGCATCGATGATCTACATGAGTAGAACATCTACAGCACTCAATGGAGAATTTGTCGCATGGTATATGTTATTCAAAAGTATTGTTTGTGAAACTGCAGACTCAACGACTAATCTTCGTCAACTCTTCATAGATGAGCTTAAGAAAACTTGCTGTAACGATCCGAAATTGTAGTTACATTGGTGATCTCAGTCAAAATTACAAAACAGAAGATGCACTGCGTATATACTCCCAACAAACCATTGTTTATGAGGGTCTCAACCACGCCCTCCGTTCTCGAAAGTTGGATATTTTACTGCATTATCGTGGTTTTATTGCAGATATGTATCAAGGTATACAGACACTCCGTAGAGAACAGCAGCATCAACATACGGATGTCACGTCTACGTTCTACTACCGAGGCCAACGTATGCATGTCGAAGAACTTGAGCTGGTTCGTCAAAACAAATATTTGTCAATTAACACATTTTTCTCAACGAGTACTAATCCTGAAGTTGCAGAGCTTTTCATGCCTCCACTTGATCAAAATGTAGTGCAGTCTGTTCTGTTCAAATTGCACGTCAATACTGCAAATGAAATACAACCATTTGCTGATATAAAAACTTGCTCTAACGTTCCTGACGAAGATGAGACATTATTTATTCCTGGCACTATATTCTTAATCAGTAAGGTAACAGAGCCATCAAATGGAGTAGAGACTCATACGTCGCCAAAATATTGGATTATCGATCTAGAGCTTTGCAATACTCATCCGAGAGAGTTGAATACTACTTTTGAGTATTTTAGCCAATCGAATAACCTGTCAACTCTTGCAAAACTCGGTGGTTTTAGTCGACACATAGGCAAATATGATATAGCACATAGATGTTATGAGACTTTGCTTGTGGAAACTGGCAAAAATTGCATAGATAGTATATTTGTAATGGCTTAAACAGCGTGCCATATGGATGATTGTGAGAGGGCCATTGAACTATCTGAAATTTCTTATAGGCTGTATAGTATTTTCTATAAAGACAAGCCTTGGGATATCTTTTATTATATTCATCAAGGCTGGGGTTTAGCCCTTTTGAAAAAAAAAAGAAACAAAGTCGTTGGATTTAGCATTGAAACAACTCGGAAAAGCTCTCTGTTGTCTACCTGAACCATCCACTTGCGTTGATAAAATAAGACGTCAGCAGTGTCACGAGTGCTACGCTTTAGGGTATGCGATTGTCGGCTCAATTTATCGAGAGATGCAAGAATATCCTTGAAGTAAAGAAAATTACGATGAAGCTCTACGCCACTGTTCTGAATTACCCCAGAACCATCCATATGTATATTACCTTTACATTCCTTTCGGAAAAACTCTTCGTATTATGAAAGAATACAATCAAGCAATCGATTATCATACGCAGGGGCTTAATTTTATCAAAAAAGAATATATATTTGGTCATTATGCGTTGGCAAGAGCTCATCGAGCTCTTGGGTTGGATTATGCAGAAATCTGTCAATATGAGCTAGCATTGAAGTATTTGAAGGAAGCTTTTGCTATATACAACACGATGGAATGGACGAATTTACTACCAGCTCGTAAACAGAAGATGGCAGAAGAGATAGAACGTATTCAGAACACGCTAGCCATGCCGGTCTTGGCGCAACAGAGCGAAAAAAATAGAAAAAGAAAAACGTCGAAAATTTAAATGAGACAAAGAAAAACTAGAAGTGTTCATTTCCATTTTTGTGACTCGTGGTTTATGCGGTTTTATTGATTGAAAAAAAAATACCACAATAGTGTATTAAGAAAAAAATTCTTTTTTTTGTTTCCAATTAATAGTGATACACCTGATAGTAGTTCGTTTGCACTGATTTCTTTCTTGAGAAATCAACCGTGGAGAATAGGGTGTGGGTGTGGAAACAGAGAAGATCATATGCCCACACCCACACCCCACACCCATACCTCACCCTCACCCTCACACCCACATCCACATCCACCCACACCCCTCGAGATTTGTTTTTCGAGATTTTTTTCTTTCGAGATTTGGACAGCAATTCTCGTGAACAAAACACAACAAAATGCTTGGAAGTAACTGCAATAAAATGAAATAAAAAGTGTTCTGGATGTAATTCACTTGCCTAAAAGAAAAACAAACAACGAGTGATGTGCTTATGCAAATAAGATGCATAAAAATAGTGTGCAATTGAGACATTAACGAAACAAAGTACAACTTTGATGTTCTCCAAATCTCCATACAGCAATACGTTCTTCAAGATACAAAACCATTCTTTTCTAATCCAGTAACCCGTTTCACTCAAGCACGAACCATGATTTTTGTCGAACACTTTATCTCAGTAAAAGAAGACTCATTATTGCAGATAAATGAACACTATAAATCATTCCGCGTAATCCATGACGAGCTCTACTCAATTTAGGTTAAATGTTTCACAAGTTTTTATACGAACCGTTCCAAAGAAAATACGGTTGTGTTCTCAAGACATTTAAGTTGTTCTCAGGTTATTTTCATCAAACAATGACATTTTTACGATCATTCGTGACAACTATTTTCATTATGAATACATCAAAAGTTCGGTTGCTTTCCATGATAAAACTGAATGCGCTTAATTATGTGAACTTATGATAAATCGAGCAATATTATTAAATACGTGAAAAAAGTCGTCATTTTCAATATTTCTCCCATACATATATTGATGTTTTATGCCAATCATAGAATGATCTTTAAAGGAATCCAACGGTGCATGAAACATTCATCGAATTCATGATTTTATTCAAAAGTACGATTTCAAAAGAATTCATCTAATGGAAAATCGAGTCTATAGAAGGCAAAATTACATGTTTTCAAACGAAACAATGATTACTCTAAAACTCCTGGAAAAAGCAGAGTTCGGATTCGGTAGAATAACCTGCAGAGTTTTATAACAAGAGAAGTCTAGCATTTATTCTTTTGACAAGTTTAATGCATTGAGGATATCTTACTAATTCTCATGAAGGATATTCAAATTTGTTTATACAATCACGAATAATGTCGCTTGCTACGATCAATAAAGAGTATTATAGTAAAAGTTACACACCTTTTCTGAAATCATTGATGAAAATTAACGGAGTAGACTCGAATTCTTTTTTATTTTCGTATGAAAAAGTAGTTCATTCGATTAATCAGAAAACATGTCAATGATCCTTTTCCAACATATTCTCATACATCAAATGGCATATTAGGGTGTGGATGTTCCAATGGGTATACGGCGATCTTCTGCTAATAACTGATGCCTTCACGCACATCCACACCCACTGTGCCTCGCTGTGTCTGTACTACACCTGCTTTTGCTGTTGTGTTATGATTACTTAACATTTTGGCGCGTTTAGCCTAAGTGTTTCATTTACATGCTGAAATGAACGATGCAACACACATTGTTGGTATTGTAATTACATCAATGATTGTTCTTATTACCATGTTAACTGGCATTCTATATTATGTCGTTATATATCGTTATCAAAAACAAACTACTAGTGATACTACCAACATATCTACAGTCACCGAAAGAATGAAAGGTTCAACAATATCATTCTAAAAATGAATTCAACATTCGCTACCTTTACTCACGATTCCACAAGAAAATAAAACGACCATGAACGACATCTACGGATGATTTGCTTTTCTTGCTGCTTTTTTAAGCGAATACTGTTTGACATACATACGCTTTAATAACTTGTAAACAGTAAAATATACATATAAAATAAATTCTCTATTAGACATATGAAGTATTTGTGATATTAACTTCAATTAAAACTAAAATGACTTCAGGGCATCCAATTAAAAATATTCATTCGAAAATTGTACTCGATTATTCATTTTGTAATTCGAGCAATGCATGGAATTACGTTGGTATTATAACAATCATTCTTTTCATAATTACCTTGGTATCGTATTTAAAACATCGACAACAACAACAATCTTTGCGTCATCATAAAAATAATAATTGGTTTTATATTTGTGTCTTAATTTTTCTTGCACTCGTCTTTGTTGTACCATGTATGTGTTGGTTATTAACATTAGTTGAAGTTTTAGTTACATTTATAAGCTATGGCCATATTTCAGCATCCCCATTACCAATGCTTTCATTACCTATACGAATTTTAGCATTTATCTATACGAAAATCGTTTCAGCTATCAACATATATTTAACAGCACCAGGAACATTTATTTTTCTTCTATTCTTTATTACACTAACATGCATTAAATTTGTAATTTTGATAACAATTCGTTTTGGTTTAGCAGGATTTTTTCTTTGTTCATGGGTTGGCTTAGCTATGCCATTGTATGCTTTGAATGAAGTTGGAAATATTGATTCATGGATTGATTTAGCATTTAATAGTCAATTACCATTGTTTATTGTATTTAAATTTCTACCACTTCTTCTCGCTATAAGATCACCAATTGTATGGATATTTCTATTCATTCTATTTCTTGTTGGATGTTTTATTAAGTTTGGTTTAACTCTATTATTTTTTTGTAAATGTTTACTGATTATTGTTCTTATACGTTTTACATATGTGATAGGTAAAGGTTTTGTTCTATTTGTTTTTGGTACAACGGTGGCACCCAACACTAGTAGAAATAGTGATGATGTTCAATGAAAATAAAATAAAAATCAACAGATGTTTAAAAGCCAAAACGTTATGCTTTACAAACTGAAGCAACCGATATCGAAGGTCATTCAGTACGAATCTTCCTTCGTAAGAAACTATATATATATTATTTCAAAATATAAAAAAGAAAGAATCATAGACTATAAATGATGAGAAAATCATAAGAAAAATGGGAAAATAATAGTAATTCAACATATCTGACTAACTATAAAAAGAAAACCTAATGAAATCAAGTTCAAAAATCATCAATTTTAACATGCACAAATATGGATCCATTAGTGTAATCACCATTTTCTGCTTTCAATTTAATATGTCTATAACCTAATTGAAGTGCATTAAATGGTATACAAGCTTGCCCAAGAAAGTCCGAACGGCCAAATCGATCGTGATCACGTACTTGAAAAATGACAAGACACAATTCAGGACAATAGATATCCGTTGCTATCTTATAATCCCATATAGGATTTAAACCATTATTTCTTATTTCCGGTGTACAATGTTCATTATAATCACAGTCAATACCATACGTACAAACTTTAACATATGGATCGGATATATCACGATCATCGATTGAATTCTCTTTTGCTATATGTTGTCCGCTAATAATCTGAATGTGTAAACGTTTTCCTTTTTCAATACATCGTTCTTTCGGATCAAAATATTGATCAGTGGCTAATAAACAAGGCGGTTTTAAAAGATATCCACAGCCGCCATTATCACTGAAGAGGCCATATTGAAGACACATTGCTTCATCGTCGGTTTGATAATTCAATGCAACCATTTGCATTCCTAAATATAATCAAACATATTTACGAAGTAAAAGACAAAACATTTTTGCCTACCATAAACCCAATAAAATAATGGATGTAAATTACTTGAATTCTGACGAATGCTATCCGGATAAACACGTACTAAATTATGTTGAGTTAAACGAATAAGATCAAGATGATTTGGTGAATCTGCAGCAATTAAACTCGAAGCCACAGATTCTTTGAGTGAAAACGACTGATAACATTTATCTGTACAAAACAAGAAATGCGATAAATATTTTCTTAGACAAGAATGATTAATTTCATACTATTAGATAGTATTTGTGATACATTTGTAAATTTAGTATTTTGACAATAGACGATCAAACTAGCGAAATCAGGATGGAGTTCCTAAAATTTTCATAAAATATTCAATAGAAATAAATAAATTAGAATAGTACAGAATGATTTGGTTCAGTGGAATCAGTTGTTGGTTTTAGTTTTGATCTTGTATATGAAGGACTCTATTGTTATAGAATTCAATACAAAAAATGACACGAAAAAAGATATATCATCATTATTACTCGAATTAAAACTTTATATTTCAATTGTTCAGGTGATGGTAATGTTTGAAAATCTTCTGTCAATGGCTTCGATATTAAGCTATCTGTTGCAAACCAAAACGAAAGAAAAATTCATTTTAATTTAAAAAAGACGGCGATCGTTTCACCTTTGAAAATAGCTTTTAAAAGATTCGCCATGATACCTTGCTGTTCATATGAACAATGATTTTCAATATTTAAAAATAATGGATAACTAATTAGATTAGAAAAAGACGGCGCTTGTCGTTTGAATCAAATTTTATAGGCTTACGGTGAAGTATCAAATGCATGTAATTGAACAGCAAGTAAAATTTCTTCGAGTTTAATTGGCTCAGTAATTGTATTTCCATGATAAACGACCGGTTCGCCCTCTCTACCATCATAACAGTCCACTAATATTAAGAAATAAAAATACATTCAATCAAATCCATCTAAATAAGAACCCATAGTTTATACAACAAGAACAACCAATCGGCTCTGTTTATTTTTACATTTCGAACAGACATATTTTTCTTTCTTTAGTAAATCTCAAGGAATATTTTAATATTGATTATTTCCTAAATTTAGAATCTATTCAGCTAATGCTTTTTACTGGCATCTTTAACAATACATTGTAAGTTATGGGAAAGAAGCCCAAAGCGTGTTGTTTTTGGTTACTAGAAAAGCGTACTGAATAGCTGCTTTTCTTCCTCTTACTCACGGCCATCGTTGCTATGTGGGAGGTTAAATTAGACAAAGACTAAGCAAAAGCATCGTTTACTTTCAACTGCTCGACAACCAGTTTTCAAGGCATGTATATAAGTTTCAGCAGTACAATCACCAAAAATTTGATTATCTTGAAGATAACTATTGCAAAAAAATTTTAAATTTTCTAATAAAAACCCGATCTTTCGTACTTACGTATTATGTGATGTTGCAATAAAATAATCAGTAATCGGTCGTGTCATATCGTGATATATACGATGAATCTTATCTGGATTCATAATACAAAATTCATCGTGTAGTAAAAGTAAACGAAAACCATCAACGCCGAGTTCTTCCGATTGACGTCCTTCAATCGATGGTTCAAATCTTGCAATTAATCTTGCACAATCCTCAATCGATAATGTATTCATATGTTGTTCTTTCTGTAAAAAGTTTTTTAATTGTTCAATTGTCAGAAAATTCTTTTTCTCAGCTCCACGCGATGAAGGTTCGGGCGTAATTGATGCTGACCGCCGGCGAAAACTTGATGAAAGACTTTTATTTTTTGGACTTTTTTGCTTCCGAATATTTAATACACGAGAACTATTAATAGGACTTGTTTCAAATGTTACTCGAGGCATTTTATGCAGAACACTATAATTCGATAGTGTTCCTGCCATTTCTTCATTGGTGCTACCATTAAATCTAAAGTTCAATTAAATTATTACATGTCGTTCGTTTGTTTGAAAAGAAAAAGAAAACTTTCAAACAAATCCATTAATTTTTAAACGGATCATTATTTCTCAGAGTGCTACGCAAAGATCTCGGTAATTCACTCTTTAACTGACAAAATTTTCTATTAACTGTGAAACATATGTAAAATGAATCTTTTTCATGTCCGCCATTTCCTACTAAATCCTATAGAATAAACACTTACTGACAAATAATTTTTAATAATTCTGGCCGTTGTGATACGTATTTATAGAAGATCAAAAATTCTTCTTTATCTAAATTTTTTAATTCTTGATCATTTCTCGCGCGGATATTTGCTTGTTTAAAGTATAGATCAATTTCTGAATTCTTTAATTGTATATTAAGTGTAAATAAAAGGCGTAAAACTTCATTGCGATTTAACTGTCCGGATTGATCAACATCAGCCTGTGAAAATAAATTCCATATCCATTGATCAGTTATTTCACGATTTGTACGAATATGCGATTGATAACGGCTGATTAAAAATTCTAAGCCTTGAACCCATTGTGAACGCGTTTCCTCACTATCAGCAAGTAAATCAAGGGAATTACGGTTATGATTATGCATAATGGAAAAAGCTAAACTAGCTTTATCTTTTGTTATTGCTCTTTTCTTTAGACATTTTTTCCAAACAGCTGTATTAAAACCTACACGAATCTCATCAATATTTTTTATTATACATGCTTGACGTTTTGATTTTGTTCTTGAGCCCAAATAATGAATTGAATCTTCGGATAAAACTAAATAATACAAGCGTGCATATGTGCGGCCAGTGGATTTATATTTAACAAATGTTGTGCGACGTTTAAGAATGTTGACGGCATCCGTTTGATGAGATGAAACGATAGTCGTTGGATCATGATTCGTTAATCTAATAACGAAATTTATTTTTGAAAAAACTTAATTGAGAAATTTCAAATGAGACGCAAACCTTTTCCATTGTGTTTCATCCATAATTTAGTTAGTCTTTTCTTTCTCACGACGACAAAACAAAATGAATGCTTTTTAATTCTGGGCAATTTTGGTTTTTTTTTGTTTATTTCTTATTGAATGCAATAGATGAATGACTGTCGTTGTTCTGTCTCCTTTTTTTTATTCACTTTTACGTACACCGCAAGAGAAATAATATGCAAAAATAAGGTTGACGCAGAATAAACCAAGAAAAAAGAAAAATTTCTTTTTCAACCCAACATTTTTATGAATGCAAAAGAATAGAAAAAAAAGGTAAGTTTCCAGCAATTACTTCGATGCCGTGACTACTTTCACCAATGTCAGTTGAAAAGAGCCACTAAGCATCTATTTATGTCATCAAAGTTTATCGCAAACGCAAACTGAACATTATTTAATAAGCTTATCTTAATTAACATCGATATTTGAAGCAAATATTGAGAATGTATATTATTTACTTTCTGATGGCAAGCATAAAAAGAAAAAGAATTTGTCCTTGCAATATCATATGCAGAATAAATAGCCTAAAAAAAGATTCGATAGAGTCACTCGTATTGTTTAAATTTGACATCAGAAGAAAAAGAAATTATTTTTATCTTTGATGATCGACGTTCGAGAACGGATTTATTAATAGATATGGAACAAAAATCAACAGAACTCTGAAGAAGCATGCTTCATTTTAATTATTCAAGTTGAGCATGGCTCAGTGAAAATAAACATACTGATGCACAAAATTTAAATAAGCAAATTTCAAAAAATAGTTTATAATGAGTACTCAGTAAAACAAAAAAAGACTATCCGCATTCCAGTTGCTACATTATTATTATAGCTGATAATCGTTGAATACGTCACTCATTTACGGATCAGTATTCGAATAATTTTATTTTCGATTAGTCTTGCAATAAACATCGGGTTGTTGTGAAATAAAAAAAGAATCATTTGACTAGATAATAAATTTAATTATGACTTATTCGAGTTTTTACTACAGAAAAAGTCAGGAAAAATTGTCATACTAATCTTGTTGAATTTCATAACAAATAATAAACATAGTTTACAGATAACAACAACAAAAAAAGAAGATTATCCTTTCATTGTTACTAATAATTTTCGTTTCAATTCAGATACACGTTGATTTTGATCGCTCCTATTTTTAAATAAAATTTTGTTTCAAAAAGGAAAGACAAGAGAATGAATACATACGAAGTATTTTGGAGAAAAATCGAAAGAAGATTTTTTGTTGATTTTGGCAATAGCTGATTAATATCAATGAGTGTTTGATAGATTTTATCAGGTTGATTATTCGCACGACGTAGACGTCCAGTTTGTTCATCCTAAAGATAGAACTAAATGATTCTCGTTAAGAAAAAGCCTTCGTCGTACTTTAACAAAGCCTAACGAAACAAGTAAACGTTCATTAAAATTACGTTCGCTTGTATTTGTCAATGTTAATCCTTTTAGAATATTTCCTATGAAAAGAATATAGTTAGATTATTCACAGGTGAAGCATTTCATAGTTACTAGCAATAGATGAACTATCATTTTGTAAGACAGAGTTATCATTCCATATATCTTCAAGCAATTTTATAGCACGTTCAATTGATTGTTCATCATTCTAATACGAAAAAGAAATCTTTTAGAAAATCTTCAATTTGTTTTTTGAGTTTCACTCACTTTTAAATGTTCTTTAACTTTATCTATACTATTATAGATGGATAATTTATTATCTTTAGTCTAAAATATATAAAATTATGAAAAATAAAACAAAATAAAACAAAATAATAAATAGAAATTACATCCGTAGTTGGTTGTAAACCAAAACTAAATGATGAACTAACATTAAAATCGAATTTAGCAATCATATTTGATAGACCATTAACAGTTTCAGGTTTCGATGGAATCGTTGGTGAACCACCGAATTGAAAACCAGTTGTCTGTTGGATAGGATTCGTGCCGAAAAAGAACGATGGTGATTCGTTTTCATCTTGTTCTTCTTCTGCTTCTTGATAATCTTCATCATTTTCTCCTTCAACATCTTCTTCATCATCAGATTCATTTCCATCGTCTTGCTCTTCTTCTTCCTCATCGCTACCTTCATCATCACTAATCGAAAACGAAAACATACATTCATACGATGCGATATAATTCCGTCAACTTACCTAAATGCCATTTGATTAATAAAACTCTTATTTTCGAGTACACTACGAACTTCGTCGATACCATCAAGACCAAAGCAATTTCCTATAAATATATTCTAGTTAGTTTAGATTTAGAAAAAAAACACAAGCAAAATGCCTACCATTCAAATCCAATACTTTTAATGATGGCATGTTTTTAACAGCTCGGGCAACTTCCAGGCCACCTTCAGTATGCATATCATTGCATCCGAGATATAATTCCTTGAAAAATAAATAATTCTCACTATTCAACGAAAGAAAGAAATTTTATACTTGAAGATTTTTATGTGAAACAATCGCTCGAGCAACAGCAATGGCACCTTTCGTACGAATCAGAGACGATTCAAGATTAATTATTTCTAATTTAGGAAGTTTTTCAATAGCTGATGCTAATTTTTGTGCTGCCGTTGTTATTGTATTATCATTGAGATCGATGACACGTAGATTTCGATTTCGTACAAACGCTGTAGCCAATGCTTCGATACCTGGTGGTCGAATACCATTCTGTGGCATACGAATGACTTCTAGTGTACCAATAATCTAATATCAAAAATTCATATGAATTTCAACGCAAAAGGAAAAAGTTTACTTCAAATGCTTTCGCTAATGCTTGTGAACCTTCGATTTCAAGACGATTTCGACCAGCAATAAATTGTTTTAACGCAAATCGTTTTCCACCAGCAGCAATACTATTCTTATGGCATGCAATTAAAGCTTCAGCTAATAACTTGAAAACAAATAGAATGCATCTTATTATACTTGTTCCGAATTAAGATTATTTACTTTTCCACCCATACTACCCATCCCACAATTATTCAAACGAAGTTCTTCAAGTGTAAAGCAAGCAGACGATGATAAAAATGTTTCAAGACCTTTAACACCAATTGGACCAAACGCATTATCACTTAAATTTATTTCAACTATATGAGATCCATTTGTTAAGAGACCTTGTGTTAATTTAATCTATTAAGAAATACAAAATAATTTCTAGAACAAATATTCTATTGTGAATGCTAAATCTTACTAGTGATGGTGGTACTTCAGTTTTAAGTCGAGTTGTAAATAGATCATTCCATATTAAACGCTAAAATAAACCAAATCGATTCAGGAAACATGAAATTAAATATTTACTTCGACTTCACTATGCTTTTCTAAAGCTTTGCCAATTGCAGTTGCTGCTTCTTCATTGATTGTATTACCTTCAAGACGTAATGCTTTTAATTTTTTATACTTGACAATTTCGTCGCATAGGTCTTTCACTAAATTTAATATTCACAAAAGAAAAAACGGAATTAAATTCGTTTCTTAATAAAGTCAACCATGTTTTACCGTCAGCAGCGCAATTGCCTTTTAAACCTCGATTCGCCCAAGATAATTCATGTTCAGTTGATTTTATACTTTTCGAAAGATTATCTGTCATGTTCGATTCGATTAAAGAGAATGTATACCGAAAAAAACCTGCACAAGATCTGAAAAGAATCCTATGTATAAAAAAAATTCTTTTTCAGTGCAAAATTTTCTCTCTATCTATTCTTTGTTCGTGATAATTGTGAACACACGCCAATAAGATTATTTAACTAATCGATAGAGATCGCTCTTGATTTTTTATATTTCAAATAAGTATTTCATCGTAAAAGAAAACTAGGAAACAGAATTAATTTTAGTCGATGCCTTGCAGGAATGTTCCAAAAGACTTGATAAATATTATTTAGTTAATTTTTTGCATGAATTAGATCCTATGATTAATTTGGCGAAAACAGCAATCTATTACTAGTATGTAAATAAAAATAAAAGATTGATTATAATAATTATAGAGTAGACATAGTAAATATGCTAAAAATAGATCGTAGATTTGTTTTTCATGTATCCCTATACTACTGAAATCAGTCAAGAAAAATCGAGGGAAGCAGAGAAAAAATTCAAGTGTTTCATTGACGATTTTATTTTTCAAGCTGTGCCTATTTAAAAAAAACTAACGACGACATTTTCCAGGTAATGCGGTCGCTGTCAAGGGGGGAAAAAGATGAATTTCAATGCTACGAGACATTCTTTATTCGCACTTGCTATACTTCAGGCAAGCAATTAATTGGTAGAAGTTTACTTTTTTTGGTACATATTTCATCACTTCTTACATTTCTTTTGAAAATACGTCTCTATCATCAGTATGTTTCTCTTAAATATTTTTACTAATCGTCAATATTATAGGAAAATCGAACAACTGACTATATGTTTTTTTGTTTGTTCGAGAATGAACGTTTGTTCATTGTGACGATGAAAAAGAATTGGTGTTTTTTAAATGTTCGTTTTTTATCTTTCTTTGTTAAATATTCATAATGAGAAAAATCAAAAGAACATTGAGCATATGCATTTCTATTGTTGATTTTGGTATCACGTGGTGAGTAGCTGATTTCGACCGATGTATTGGTGGTGCACGTTCTGATCACGCCGTTTCTTTTTCTCTCTATATATAACCATTTGCTCCGCAGAGAGTTGACGTGCAGAACACACAAAAGCTATCGAGTGCAATACACAAGAATAGAGAAAAAAAAAACTCTTAGCGATGAAGAAAAGTATCAATAAATCATTCACTATTTTTTTTCAGATAATATTTAAAAACAACCTTGTTCGATCATCCGTCTAACAAAATGGTGTATATTGCGGAGGAATTAGAAAAAGCGGGTACATCACTGGCATATATACCCAAGCCGTTAGAGTTACCAACAACAACATTTGAACAAAAAGCATTGTCAAATAATGAGTCATCATCAACAATGAATTCTGTACAAGAAGAAGAAGATTTTATTAAAAATAATTATGTCGCACGAACTCTATTAAATGAATCTTCATTACCACCAATTACTTGGTCTAATTGGTACAAAGAAGTGAATTGGCCTCAAGCAACATTATTATGTCTCGAGCCTTTTATTGCATTGTATGGACTTTTTACAACATCGTTTGTATGGCAGACAACTGTATTTACTTTTTTTTGGTATTTTCTTACTGGCTTCGGTATCACTGCTGGTTATCATCGATTATTCGCTCATCGAGCGTATGAAGCAACATTAACATTACGATATTTGTTATTGACGTTTGGCGCTGGTGCTGTTCAAGGATCAGCTCAATGGTGGTCGCGCGGACATCGAGCACATCATCGTTATACTGATACCGATCTTGATCCTTACAATGCTCATAAAGGCGTTTTTTATTCTCATATAGGTTGGTTAATATTTAAACCACGTCGACGACCAGGTGTAGCCGACGTTACAGATTTAACTCGTGATATAAGTATTCAATGGCAACATCGAAATTATTTAACGTTAGCATTTCTCATGTCATTTGTTATACCAACACTTATTTGTGGACTTGGCTGGGGTGATTATCGTGGGGGCTATTTTTTTGCTGGTGTTCTTCGTCTTGTATTCGTTCATCATTCAACATTTTGTGTTAATTCATTAGCTCATTATTTAGGAAATGCGCCATTCGATGATCGACATACACCACGTGATCATTTTATTACAGCACTTGTTACTCTCGGTGAAGGTTATCATAATTTTCATCATGAATTTCCGTCAGATTATCGAAATGCACTTAAATGGTTTCAATATGATCCAACAAAATTGCTAATAGCATTTTTTAAAAGAGTCGGTCTTGCAAGTAATCTTAAAGAATTTCCTTCGAATGAAATAGAAAAAGGTCGTTATTCAATGGCATGCAAAGCACTGGATAAATTTGGTCAAACCATAAAATGGCCTAAGCAAAATTTAGAATTGCCTATTATTACATTCGAACAATATCAAGATTTATCAAAGAAAGATGATGGTCGTGTTTTAATTTTAATTGCTGGCTTTATTCATGATGTTAGTCATTTTATTGATTCACACCCCGGTGGTCGAGCTATGATTAAAAATCTCGTTGGCAAAGATGCTACGGTCTCATTTTATGGTGGTGTACATGATCACAATACAGCTGCACACAATATACTTGCTATGATGCGAGTCGCTATATGTAAATATGGCGGTGAAGTTGAACATCTTAAAAAACGATTGGGACATGTTCAAACACCAACTCCAATATTTGCTTAAAATAAATATTGTTTTCCTTCATTCTATCAGTTTTATCGTTGATTGTAACGTGTCCATTTCTTTCTTCTTCTTCTTCTTCTTCTTTATGCTCTGTAGCATATTCTCAGTAAGAGAAAATAAAGACATAGAGAGCATTGTTTTGGGATTTATCACATCAGACGAACGTTTTAGTTACAGAAAAAAGAATATTTATAAATACTAAAATCGTGTACTAGTTATATTATCATCATCATCATCATCATCATCTTGAATATCAACATGGACGAAGAGAGTTGAATGAGTTAGATCGTTATTATTAGCTCGTAAATGTATATGACGATAACCTATTGAAAAATAAAATCAACATAGAACAATAGTAGAACAGAAAGATTTTAAATGCTTACCTGTTTGCATCATTGTTAATGGTAAGCAAAAATATGCAAGTTTATCATCAAGTGTAAATGAGTCACGATCGTAAACAGAAAAATAGACCAGTGCCAATTGTGAATATTTGATATTAAACGAAAACTTTTCATTCCATATTGGATCTAAACCATTGTTCTCGATAACTTTAGTTTTTTGAATTTTTTGGTCACAAGGTACACCTTGTATGGATATCATTACATAGGGATCGGGTATATCGGATATATCTGTCTTTGATCGAGATAAAAATTGTGCACTGATTATTGTTAGAGTTAAAACTTTAGCCTGATCAAGATCAAGCTTAGGATTTAATGGATTATAATCGGTTTCATGCGCATTAATTAAATATGTTGGCTTGAGCACATAACCACAGCCACCATTATCGAGAAATTTTCCATAACATAATGGCATAATGTCATCTTCATTCTGAAAGTTTAAAGCAGCCATTTGTATGCCATGTATCCAAGCAGTAACTGGATTTGCATTACTAGAATCTTGTCTGAAACCGCCGGGGTAAGTTCTAAGAGTTCGCCATGTTGTTTGCAATATCAAACTAGTTGGGTCGCTACGTGATAATTTTTCAAAACGAGTTTCAGCCAATGATGATGAATGCCATGATGAATCTTGATTTAGAGAAAAAAACGTTTTGTCTTTTAATTTAAATTCTCATTACTTACAATTATGTTTTGCATAATCATAATCACGATATGGAACATTTTGTAAGAAGATAAATAATTCACCGAGATTATATTGCATTCTCTAAAATATTAAATAGTTAAACATAGATTGCGAAAGAAAATAGACCGATGACAACGTACCTTACTTGGTGGATCAAAAATTGGATCATCATCATCTTCTGATTGTATTATGATATTTGGTTTTGTGGCTTTTGTAGTTTTTCTACTCTAAAAATAATTCAACAAGATGTCTTGTTTCGAAAGAAAAGGCACCAACTGGATACATACGCGAACAATAACTTTGTATTTTAAATCTTCTGGCGATGGTAAATATCTTGGATTTGCTGCATGAACCAAAGGTTCTTTAAGTAATTGATCTTCATGAAAAACAAATATGTTGTAAAATATTCATCATAAGAGTTTATACTTACCTCCGAGGATACTTTCTAAGATTCGAGCCATTTCGTTTTGTTGTTCAAGTGAACAATGATTTTCTATATTTAAAATAACTGGATATCTATATAGAAGGATCATTCGGTTAAAAAACAAATTTTTAAGTGCAGTTTTACGGTGATGTTTTAAAAAGATTCGGTTCCATATAGCGAATAATTGATTCGAATGAACATGGTTTTACAAGTGTATATCCATGAGTAACTATCGGTTTACCATCGCTACCGTCATAACAGTCGAGTTCAACAGCTCGACAACCGGCCAATAATGCTCGATTATAAGCTTCTGGATTACTTTCACCGGATAATTGGCCATAGAATAAATATCTATAAGAGAAAATAAAGCGTTTTGTTTTTGTAAACAATGAATTTCGTGAAAATAAATCCCTTACGTATTATGAGAAGTATTGATATAGTAATCGCATAGTGGTCTAGGAAATACAAAGAATGGTGCTAATTAAAATATTATATTTAACCTCACTTTTATATACCTTGTCATGTTCTGATATATCTGCCGCGCATGTGATGGGTTTACTATATCAAAATCACCTGATAATAGCATATTTCGAAAACCTGAAATAAGTAATTGATTATTATCTAATCTTTCTTTACATAACTGTATATCTGAAGCAAGATCTCGATTTACAAAAATATGCAAACTAAAGAAAAACTCTAACATTTGCCTTTACTTAATTAATAAAATGTTTCTGAAATTATACGTACCATCAAGACTTAATTGACCTTTCTGCCTGAATCCTGTATCCAATTCAAATTCATCGATTAATTCTTGTGCTTGCTCTGGCTTTTCAATTGATTCACGAATAATTTGATCTCGACCATCGTGAGTCTTTACGTTGATTGTTAATTTTTGCTAAATAGAAAAATGAACTTTTAGATTTAAAAAAAAAAGTTGACGTCATATTTACATTTTGTACTATTCTCAAAAATGATAATAACTCATCGACATTCATATGAACATTTTCGATTGAATGTGAACGTCCATTTTCAGTGTACCTAAATGAATAATGTGAGCGCTTTTAGTTTAATAAAAAGTCATCTTACTGCTTCATTATTTCATAGAGATCTTTTCGTTGAGTTAATAATTGAAAGAAACCAACAAATTCTTCCGGACTTAACAAACCTTCTTGACTTTTATCTGCTTTCTAAAAAAGTCGACAAAGAAAATATTTCATAGTAGACCAAAATGTTTTATTTTTATACGCGAAAAAGTTGTTCAAACACTGTATACGGTACTTTCACATTAAGTGAATTAGTCAGTAACCTTCGACATTCTCGTTTCGATAATGTATTCGATCGATCTTTATCCGCTTCACGAAAATAATTTAAAATCCAACTTTGAAAAGAAAAGGAGAAATCATTATTTAGATTGAGATAGAAAAAGAAAGAAAATCCTACTTTTCTTCTGTAATTAAATGTCGTTGACTTTTATGTGCATGTTGATCAATTAAATTGTGTACACCTACTATCCATAAATTTCTAGTCGTTACATCCGGTGCCATCAAATGAACTTCATTTCGATGATTATTATACATGATTGTAAATGCAAGATCTTCCTGAATAGGATTTTATGCAAAGAAATCAAGACAGTGGGGTTCAATATATACCTCAGAAACGCTGATCGAACCATTTCTAACCAGTTGATCAAATGTTCGCGAGCGAAAACCAGACCGAACTTCATCAATATCTTTGATACGATCTAATATGTCAGATACGGGAAATTCGAAATTAATATAGAAAGATTTCTTTCCTAATTAAATGTATGCTTCGATAAGGTGTAAAAATTTAATGGAGAGCTTGTGTGCCGTGAAGGTTTTACCATCAGTGAAACAGTTAGTGGCGGCGAATGAGATTTCTCATGGTAGAACATAGAAGCATTGGCAATACTATAGTCTTCACATACTGCCTTTTCTATCCTTCTGAAATGAACGATTGATTCGTTCTGTTGAACTCTTGGAGTATGAGAAAATTCCACTTTGAACTCTGCGTGCTTTTGCTTTTTGGAAAATGTCACGATCTTATTTAGATCACCATAACTTGATCATAAAAATATGTAAGAGGCATATATCACTATAGGTTTGCTAAAGTAGACATAAAAGTACGGCCTATACTTTCTACTTCAACCCACCTTTCGTTTATCAAAAGGTAAACTGAAAAACAACTGTAGCACTTGGCTACCGATAAGAAATTTTCATTGTAGATATCATGGTGTATGCATCATTTTTTGAGCTAACTTTTTTTTCAATCGTATCACAATCGAACAACCCTAATGTATGATAAATATTCGTTTGAAATGAATATCCTGAAGAAGATTGTAGTTAAAAGTAATCAAATGTTTAGAGTACATATTTCCCGTGTATATTGATTCATAACGAAGAAACTTTCACTGGTAAAATAAAAAGTCTCACGCTGATATTTTATGTTTGGCAATAGCAATTATTCGTGTCGCATATCATAGAATTGAGTCGCAATTTTGTTTTTTATTATCTTACTTACATATTCTTGGCTTGCCAAAAGTTTTACGCGATTCTTCGTAGGATATAAAGTCTTCATGTTCATGAAGAAAAAATCGGCGAGGATATTTTTTGCCGTTGATTTTTTGTTTGACCAAAATTGTTCCAAATTTCAGTTGATTGAGAACATCTGTCGTACGTTTTTCGTCGTTACTCATTGATGTCGATGATGGTTTTTGGTATTCTTGAGAGTTCGAAAAGAAGAGAAAAAAAATAAACTAGCATGCGGAAGATATATTCTTTTTCATTCTATTTTTACCAAAGGTGCATGTCGTATCAATGTTTTAGACTATAAAAATTTTATAGACATATTATGAATCCGCAAGTCGTGCTCTTTGCTTTGTAATAACTGTATTCGAAAGCGTAGAATTTGCGATTTTTCTAGATGTGATGTATATAAAAGAATGAGAATCAAAGCATTTTTCAGAAGAACCCCAAGTCGTTCTCTTGATATTTCTGCATCGATGATTACGAACCGCAAATGTGCGTATTGAAAACGACATCACATGTTTTCTTCTCAAATCTAATTAAACTAGTCAACAAATAGCGATCCCAGGTGAGCCTTGCGTGATTTGAATAAGAAAAAAATTATACGAAAAACACAATGGATGTACCTTTTTTCGAAAAAAAATATTTCTCATGCTTAAGTCGAAAGTATTTGTATGATACCGTTGGATGATCAGCGATATGACAATAGCACGGAGGCGGATGAAACCTGGCTAAATAATATTTTTATTCATAATTCGAAGATACTGCTAATCTTATGAAATGCTTTTTCGTTAGAAAAAAACTGATTGTTAACAGCAAATTTTACTATCTCTTAGGCGACTTAGAGGATAAAAATGAACGAAGAGGATTATTTTAGTGAATTTCATATCAAAGTTCGGAGTAATGTTAATGAATTCAAGGATAGAATGATTGAAAATAAATTATTAATTAACGCACGCAATAGGATGCCACGATACCTTGAATTAAATAATAAAAGTATTCTAATTTTGTCCAATTAGCATACTAAATCGTTAGCTGATGGAACAGTTGCAAAGTGATGACTGTAACCGTTTAGTCAAATTTACTTTCCTACTATCCTAATCGTTAATATTGCCTTCAGCTGGCTGTTTCGCTTCATCGAATAGTATATTAGAAGTATGAAGTGGTATGTTGCTTTCTATTTTGTTTTTGACGGCATGTTTTTGCATATTTATTTAACATCGGAACGTTCGAAGAAAAATTGTCTCCCTTTTGTAATTTGAAAGGAGGTATCGATTTTAAATTATCAATTAATATTTTCAAAACTATGAAATTTGACTACTTTTTAGATAGACTTTATTAATATGCGTAAATTAAGAAAACAAAAAGCATATACGACATTTTTCTTTTAATTTTCCACGTGATCTTATCACCGTATAGACACGAAAATGTTAGGCAAAATAGAAAAACTGGTCAGAACACTTAATTGCAATGCACACTTTTTGTTAAAATCTAGGGTATCGTAAAACTTCACTATACTGACGAAAGTATATTATACATCAGTTACAAACGATATTATTTTATTACTCACCGTCGCTGTGTAACTGTCAATGCAATGTCCCACCTGTAGATTAAGGTTCGTGAAATAATATCATTTGTGTAGAACTGAAAAAACCTATCGAACGATTTACAATTCCAAATCGATCACTATTTATCAAGTACCATAGGGAGAAAATTATTCATCGGTGTCCCCAAGTTGAATGAACACGCAAGCAATGCCATCTGAAACAAGAAAGAAAAGAAAAAAGGCACTTTATCAAAGGCCCATATACGATTCGATACAGTGTAGAGAAAAAAGAACTCCTATTTTGTATATAGCTCAAAATAGATTTCGAATGAACACAACAGAGCATGAAACTATAGGAAATAGATAACGGATGTTACATTAGTTCTAGGTTAATTGTAGCTTGAATATTTCGTGATAGCAACTCGTTGAGAAGACGTGATAAATTTTCTTTTCACAAGAGGGAACATTCTTGGCGAGTTTTTAGACTTTAGGAACGATTCATACATATATATTTCTAACGACTTGTCCTATTAAAATGTGTTTCGGAGTAATCAGTGAAATTGAAAAGATGAGGTTACTTTCAGAAATATAAATTAGTGATACGCTATATATTTAACAGCTCATTATACGTTGAAGAATGCTCCATGAAGCACATAATAGAAAAAAGAATATGACTTTTGTTATAGTTATTGTCATAAAAATCAAATTGGTAGTCAAACTGCTACATGTGGTACTCTTGTAAGAGTCAACATTGGAACGAAATTGGATTGTGATTAGATTTAGCAACGATCAAATCCTGTTATTGTCAATAATTATTAAGAACTTCAAAAGACTTGATCGTTTCACGATCCGTCTTTATTACGGTAGAAGTGAAGATACACTATCAAAAAATGTTCCTGAAAGCCAGAAAAATACCGATTTTACGTTCCGATGCTACAAACAATGAAATATATAATTTATGATGATGATCGTAGCCACCACGTGTTGACTAGGAAAGCGATTGACATGGGCCGAAAAATAAATTATGTTTATTCAATTTTTGTTTCTAATTAAATTGTTTAAATCGGCGCGTCGATGAGAAAGAATAGTAAGGGCAATCTGACGGCACCATTACAATACAATGAAATAATATTGTCATAAATTCTTTCGGAATTAAGTAAACATTGAATGACTTTCTTCTTTTAATTACTAATAACATGATTGATTACGGTCAATAAGCAATATCCTGCACAATATTAGGTCAGATAATGAGCTAATAACACTTATCTGTGATACAATGAGTACAAACAGAACAAACGATAACCTTAACACTTTCAATATCATGCTGAAATAATATTTATAGAGAATTTCTTTCGATGTATGACACAAGCGAGCGATCGGAAAAACTTTTCATTCAAAATAAATTACGGATCTAATTCATATATAATATATATATATATTGATTAGTTTAAATGCTGATGCAGAACTACCCATTGCGTTTGATCCCAAGAGCTGATCACAAAACACGTTTGCCTACTGCCATAAACAGTAAACATGCGATAGTTAACCACGAATGAGAATTTCAATATGATAGTACTAATTTACATATCATCATTCAACTTCATACTGGCATCATGGCAGTTTTCTATCGTCTCTTCATTAAGAATAATCAATCAACAAATAAGACGTATTATTGTTTTCGAATGAAAATTTTCCAATAAACAAACTAAAGAAAACATAAAGATTATTGTACAGTATACTCAGCAATAGTAATTCATGCATTTATAATCGTAGACAATTAAAACTAGAATTATTTAATAAAAAAATGAAGCACTTCTATAGCGAGAACAAGTTGACCTGTTCGAATAGTATTGAGACGATCATTTATTCTGCTACGCTTGATAACGCTAATACTTTCGGGAGAACAAAATTCTCGTTTTCACTTGTTTGTGTAACAGATGGATGATGAAAAGTTATTTTCATGTGAATGATTTAGTATTCAAAAAAGGAGCAAACTAATCGCCCGGTAAAAAAGACCAGTGTTGTCTTTTTTTCTTTTCTCTGAATTATATTTGAAATAAATAAAAATATTAAACACATCGGGTTGGCAAATGAAAAAGAGTTACTGGCAATGGTGTGCAATGTTGGGCATCGAAATCGACTAAATATTGATTGACTAAATAAATAGCAAAAGATTGTCGTTCGTCGATCGAAAAATTTTCTCCTGTACAAAAACCAAAAAAAATTAGAAAGAATTTCGTTTCGAAATTTAAATACAAACCAAAATTGCAAGGATATGATCGAACAGGATGTTCTACTCGATATCTTTCACATTGTCGTTTTAAAGCATCGGTATCTGAACAATATTGATCGAGTAATTTTTTTTTTTTAAGTTTTTTTAAACAAATATATCGTTTCATAAGTGTCAACATTTGAGCATCATTATAAATAAATGGATAACGATGTGGTAAAATAGAAAATAGAATTTCATTAGCACAGTTCGTTGATACTTTAGCCGGTATAAGATTCATCATTTCATCGAATGTACGACGTACAAGATAAAATGGTCCATTATAACGTTTAATCAATTGAATATTATTTAAATTAAGATAATTACGGATCGTTTTTTCAACAAATTTCGATATAAATGTTGGCATTCGTCGTTGTGCCAGTGGTAACACATCATCGAAGATAGCATCAAGTACAAGACCACGAATATTTGGATAATTTACAGCTGCCCAGTTTGCAGCATAACCACCAATAGACCAAGCAAATACTACTATATCATTAATAGGAAAATGAAGTTCTTCAATAGCATAACGTATGACTGCATCGATTGCATTTACTTCCGAGAGAGCACCTGGATAACCCTATTACAGTGAAAATGAATGTTTTTCTCCTTAGACAGCAATGAAAATTCTTCTGCTAAAAACACTAGTCTCATGAGTTTGCTAATTACACATTAGTATGGTCAATAAAGCTAAAGATATATTAGAAGGAATGATATCGTCTTGTTACATAAATTCCATTCATTATTATTTATCTTGAGAAGAAAGCTATTTAGTTGAGTGAGAATTTCTATGTAACACTCACCGAACTCTCACCAAATCCTGGTCTATTCCAGCCAAGTACAGAGAAGCCGGCTTCGATTGGCGTCATCATCGAACCTACTTCATAGAAACCTGCATTACCTTCACATGTAATAACCAATGTTTGTCTGCCAGTTATTGAGCGTGCATCAACAAATATTGTATCAATATTATTTCCATCAGCTGTACGTAATATACGGCGTTTAGCATGATAGGAAACAATTAAATTGCTGCGTCCATCAAGTAAAGCACGGTACTGCATAAAGCGAAGAATTTCTAAACTGCCAGGAAACATTAACCGACGACCAAATAAGTTAACACAAACATAGCCAAGTAAGAGAAATGGATAATGTAATACTTGTTCGATTAATGTTACTTCTGTTTGGTTAGTAAAGTCAGTTTTTGTTGTTGATATCGAAGGTAATTTTCGAATTGAATATGATTCAACTCTATAGTCAGGTTGCCAATGCGAAAGAGAAAAATCATATTTTGCTAAAAATTTCTAAAATATAACTTTAAGAAATTAAAAAGCTTGTTGTTCTATAGTTAACTACTTGACGAGCTTTTTTTGTTGAGTCGTATTTTATTTCCGAAAAATCATTAAGAAATTTTGTATAAACTGGATTTACAAAACGACCAATACCTATGACGAGAGATAATCTAATCAAATGAACAATATATTCAATATCGACAACCTCGTAATATCATAAAATAGATGGGCACAATGATAAAAAAGCTTGCCACTCGAACAAATGATACGCTATTTGCAAATGTTAATGTTCCTCTGTAATATGAATATAGTAAATATAATGGCCACACTGTTCGAAGTATTTCAATAAACATTCTAAGCTGAATAAATTCGATTTCAAATATAATCGCCAAAAACTCGAATGCAAATAATCTTACCATAAAAAGAACTCTATCGCTAATCATTTCGGCTATGTTTTTAACGTATATATGGTCAGGCTAGAGAAAAATTGAAGAAAAAAATTAATCTTCCAAAGATTTCGTTTCAAATATACTTGTCGATCAGCGCGAGTAGCCGGTGAAGATATTGCTAATGGATACGTTTGATGAAGTTTAGGACCGAAGATACATTTCCAAAGCGTAAATAACTGCATTTTTGAATATGTCAGAGATAGATTAGATAAATAGCCATAGAAGAAAGGTCATGAAATTTGTATGTATGCTACGATATAAGACCTTGCACACACACACCTCACGAAATAAACCCGACTTCAACAATTTGATTGGTGTTACTAAGTGGAAAAAATGCTCTGATTCTGTTTTGTTTTATTGTGTGTAGCACGTGAAAGGTCACAGTTTATAAAAAAAAAACCTGTTGTGTCGTCAGCATAATCAATCGACGGAAACAAATTTAAGAAGATGGCGCTATAACTCAGATCAACGAAAAATTTTCGTTCTCGAATCTTTTGTAACGACAAAAAAAAAACATATAACAAGTAGTTTATGTGGTATTTTTTACTAATACATGACAACTGATGACCTATAAATGTATAATTACATGAAAGGAAAACTTCCATATAACGTATGTAGAATGCAAATATCTTTATTAAAATTAGATATACATATTCGTTAATTGTGAAACCAAGTTCATTACAGAAGACATGCATATCAATAATCATTTCTTTAAACGTATAAAAGAAAAAGAAAAGCCTTACAAACATAAACACAAGCACACAAAATTGAAAGAAAACACGATAAACTAACGCATAATTGTATTAGATTTTTCTATTGAGTGGTATACCAAGTTCTTTTGCTGCCATACTCATATGTTTCATTTTAGTAACTTTTTCTTGAAATTCTTGTTCGTACTCATCTTTTTCAAAGCATATCGCTGCAATGCGATATGTTTGAAAAACTAGAATAAGAAAATTTTTAAACGTAAAGAAATATGTTAAAAATGATCGAACATGATAAACAATAATAGCGATAAGACGAACAGCGAAAAAGGGACCGTCTTGTAATGCTAATGTAACAAGGATTGACCAGAGTTCCGATCGAAGAAATTTTGATGCTCGTTGAAGAACAAAAAATTTAACATTTCCCGCAAGGGGTCTTTTACGTGGAACCTTTCTCAAACATGACAAAGAACTCGAAAAAGGTACTTGTAATGAACTAAACGAAGCAATTGATGGACAAGGATTAATTGATAAACGATCACCACTAATTCGCGAATCACCTATAGAAAAAGTAAGAAAATAAATTTACGAAAAACTTAATTTCTCTACCTAAACGACTTGTATTTAACATTATTTCCTTTCCTCGGTCAGTGTCTGCATTTTGAAGCATTGGCTTTGCTTCATTAATAGGAATCGTTGATGATGATTGAGAATTTATTTTCATCAATGGTCTTTTTCTTTTCGGTGCTAATGGTCGAGTTGTCGATGAAGATTTCGATCGTGATAAAAATCTCGATAAAAATTGTCGATGTTGTGGTATCGGTTTTGAATCTAGTGGTGATAGTAGTTCAGATGATGGCGCTGATTGATGTATTTCAATTTCCGATTGATCAAATTCGGCATGAAATGATCGACCACGTGTTGCTGTTAAGTTGAGTGCAAATTGTAACATACAACAGGAAAAAGCAATAAGAACTAAATGAACCATTGGGCGACTAATTTGAATTTCTTGTTCATTAAATAATGTTAATAAATCAAGAATATCCGAAGCAAGTGATAAATAGACAAGTAATAATTGTGATAAAGCACTATGAGAAATATCTCCTTTCGGTAATATCCATCGGCCAATAATAATAATAAACATAAACGAAAGTTCAACCGCCATAGCATCGTCTACAGCCCATTCTTTAATCTAAACATAAAATTTACTTCACACAAATGTCATATGTACAAACAAGAACAGAACACATCAGTGAAAATCGAAATCGTTCATCATGCAATATCAGGCTTAAGCAGCTGTCCACTCAATGGCTTTCTTAATGGTTCTGCTGTTGGTACCGATGCCAACGAATCCACATCGTTCTGATCAACATGACCAATATGTTCCATACAAATAGACCATAGGCGATAGAATTGTAGAAATAAAATTAAAAAGTTTTTACTAGTAAAAAATATTATTGTATACGAATGCACTTTGAAATGTATAACCGCAATAAGACGAACCGTAAGAAAAGGTAGATCTTGCATTAGAATAGTTATAAATATTGATGGAAGTTCGCTACTACATAATTTTTGACAGAAAGTTCGAATTGGTTGTATACCCTTTCGGCGATGTTCTTTTTTATGTTGATGATCGAAATTTTGATTTGGTGGATCGATTTCGACATGAAAATTTCTTCCACGTGTTGCCACGAGATTCAAACAAAATTGCAATGTTGACCATGAAAAAATAGCTAACGTTGAATAAACCATTCCCTTGTTTCGTATAACTTCATCCTCTTGAAATATTGATAATAAATCAATCATGTCTGATGCTAATGATAAATAAACAAGTAAAAGTTGAGATAATGCAGACCGACTTATTTTTCCTTTCGGTAACATCCAACGGCCGACTATTATTATCATTAAAAACGTTACTTCAATAGCGACAACCCAATCATCGATTGATAACGAAAGTAATTTCTAGAGCATGCAAGAAAAGGACACTGTTCTCTCGCATTCACATGCAATATAATTCTTTATCAGAGTATTACATAGTTTTCTTTTTATGTATATGACATTACAAATCAAACGATTATGACGTCCAGAAGTTGTACTACTAATGCTTTTTGAAAATAAGAGAAACTCAATGGGATAGACTGGAATGCCTGACTCGCATTCTTCTTTGTTGAAGCTAAATAATGATCTTGTTTGCCCTAGCACATGACAAATTTTCTGAAAGGCTTAATTATATACTTATGTATGATTGATTAATAATCCATATAACTAGATTTACGTATAGGAAAATATGTTTTTCTTTTCGTTGAAAATGTTAATAGGTTAGTTTTGTCGTTGAATCTTTATTTCAGCAATAAACGACGATTAGCTAATTTATTTAGTTATGTCGAAAATTAGATTTTGTATTTTTCAGCTGTTCTTCTATTACAATCATTCATATATCAAATGATAAATATCATTCGATAGAAAAGTGTCTGTTCTCAAGTATTTTTAAGCGGAAATGTATAAATGTATTTTTTTCTTTGACATTTATCAAAACTGACATCGATTTTCTACTTATTTTACTATTGAAATCGAAAATTAACTTAGGGTTTCTTTAGGAAATATATATATATTTCTATTCCGTTGATCTACTCAATTCATCCATAGTCAAGATAAACAATATTAAAGCTTTATCACGCATCATGCATTTGAGAAGTGGCATTCTATTTTTCTTCTTCTCACCTTTCTTATAACAAGATCCTATTAAACATTAACAATGTTTTCTTTCGAAAGTAAAAACAAAACAAAACAAACAAACCGTTTTATTATTGATATTAGTTTTTGAAATAAGACCCTTTTCAAGCATTGCCGTTAATTCATCGCCTTCCGTTTGGTTGTGTGGTACCACACCAAGTTTTACATTGATTCGATTTATTTCCAGAAACCATATCGGTGGAATCATCGTGCATATATAAAGGAAAAAGCAGGGTGAAAACCTCAAAGAAAAAAGAAATAAACAAGAGCATGCAGATTGCTTTTAATTAGCTGAACTTTTACCATTTTGGTTCTTTTCCTAAAAAAGTGCAACAAAAAATATGAAATAAAACTTAAACTAAAATGCAAACCTTTTCGTTTAACAATAGTAATGATTAATTCAATAAGAAGAAAATTCACTCCACACATATTTAACAGATACCAATAATCACCTTTCGTAACAACAATACGTACAATAGCGATAGTAGCGTGAAGTGCGAATATAACTCTCATTATAGTTGCTTTTAATATATCTATCGAATGACATATCCAACGGCCACATTGACGTAAAGTTTCTTCTGTTTTCGACATGATTATGTGTGTAGATATTTAATCTAGTACAAAAAGAAATATATATATATATATATAGAATTTTTTACATGCATATATTAGAAAGATAATTGTTGCTACAAGGTTCACAACATTCTATAAATGATGGAAGCAATAGTTGTTCGTGTGGAAACATCAACAAACGCCAGAAAGCAAGAGATTAATAATAATGACTTGGGAGCACAAAGCGATCTCTTTGTCTCTCAGTGCAATACGAGCAAACGCGAAAGAGAGAAGGAGATTAATAACTCCGAATGCCAAACAATACGTGAAAAAGAACGATAAAAAAATAATTCTTGGTGCAAAACTCTATAAACCCATTATTATTTATTCCCTATTGAAAGAGTTCTTGTGGCTTAATCACAAAAGCTAAAATTCATATACACCTGCATTGACATAGTTCCTAATGATAGATCTTCTACCTAAAAATCATTTGTCTATTTTCATAGAAATGATTTTGTAGATTATGTCAAAAAAATCCTACACTCGTTGTTTCCATTTCCGAAAGAGCAATGAAATATACACATACACTCGTTCTCTCTCTCTCTCTCTCTCTCTCTCTGGTTCTTCTTTGTTTTATCAGTTACATTATGGAACATCAATGGAGCAGTTATGTGTGTGATTGATAATCAATTAAGATAGCAGATCGGCATTATTATTTTTTTTATGTACGAAATGAGACAAAACAAAAGACAAAAAAATTATTGCTTCTACGAATGAGTCAGTGTTTTTGTTTGTATTTAATGACGATGTTGATAACTGTAAAAAAGGGACGATTGAGAATTTCGTTGTGGAACAATATATTTATTTGTTCGCGATTGATTTGGTGTTGGTGATCGATAATTGGATTGACGGTTTGACTGCATACGAGGAGTTCGTTGTGAACGTGAATCGTCATTTGAACGACTTTGTATATGTTTTGAACTAGCTATACTGTATCGAGATTCTGTCAATGAATAACGTACGCCATTTGTTGTTCCTTCCGATGCTTTTCTTGGTACAAGATGACAGCCACTATTTTGTCTAAATATTAAATAAAAAGTGATATATTCGATTTAAGAATAGAGTAATGGTTTATCTCTCATGACACACTGCTATGATAATAGTATGAAAGATATATTTAACATGTTCATTTTCGAAACGAGATATTTCTATTTGTCACATTTAGACTTAAAGAGAAAGTATAACTGTTTAATTATGCAAGATGAAATGTTTCTATGAATGATTCTCTCAGGAAAAACAGAAACGATTGATTTTTTTACCGGCATCGAATAAAAAAGTCTGTTGCAAATAGCCAATAGATCAGTGGATTCGCCAATGAATTCATATAGCATAATGATGATGTTACTCGAATAAGAAAATAATTTTGAATAAGATTGAGTGAATTCATAATCATCAAAAGAAAATATGGAGACCAACAGGCAGTGAAAGCTAAAGAATAAATTTTAAAAAATCCTTAGTTTTTTGGATGAATATTCATGAATCGTTTTTTTACACTCTTCAATGAAACTCGCACTTATTCATTTCGCTATGCAATTGAATTATATGATAATAGCAAGTATTATTATCAGTTCTCACGGGCGTCATATTGTGGTCGATTCATGTCCAAATAAGTCAGAAAAATGTATTGTTTCGGGTTATAATTTCTTTTTTTTGTGGACACATTTTTGATGCGACAAAATTTTACAATCGACTCTAGACGTTCAAATTGAGCTCCTTTTGGCATTGCGAGTACTTTAATTATACGAGAGATTTTTTATGGTTTTTATTTAAAGTCAAATGTCAAAATTTATTAATCTTTAGATTTAATGACAAGAAAAGGATAAGCAGTTTAGTAGCTGCACAAAATCAACAAGCTGTAATCTAGTTATAGAAGCCTATTTAAAGATGACAAAACAGAAAAACAATTGACTTAATCAGGCACCAAAGCTTCATAGACCCTTTGCAATGAAACATCGGCGCCAACAAATTTCCTTTGAGAATTCTGAGATGAACGATGATAAAAGCATAAAAATGGAAAATACTTTACTGTTGCCTCCGAAAAGATCATATTTTATACAAGACGGAAATTATAAAGATTTCTTTCTTAGATGTCATTGCAAATTAAATGTCATTTTGTTTATAAAAAAAAAATTCTACTTGATCTTATCGTGCTGTGCATTTATTTTAAGTACAATTTACTTAATGGAAATAAAGTTGCTCTCAAGAGCTAATAATAAATTAAGATTTTAAAAATCTTGTTTTTCTTCTATTTTCAACGCATTTCTTCAAGAATACCAAAAGATGTTCTTCAGTCGATTAGATCTTCAACGAACAAAAAAGAAGCTATTATGAAAACGATATGCTATTATTATATATTTGCTCGCACTAATTATTCTCCTTTTGATCCAGATGAGTGATATTTATGTCCTTTGCGAATCAGGAGGCGTCTATTTACTTTCTATAATAAGAAAAGACAATGCACATTTACTAACCAATAACAATAACTAATGTCATTTTAACTGTTTTTATTTTTGCTCGTGGTATAACACCAAGTGATCGTGCATTACGAATAGTTGATTCAATTTGATTAGCATCTAATAGAAGACAAAAGAAAGAGAAAATAATTCAATAAAAATATCTAACTATAAACTTATTATTCTACCACCAAGAGTTCCGCGCTTGAATGAAAGTATTCGATAAAATTTCGATTTATTATTTCTTTCATTTGATGTTTCATCTTTTCTATTAACTGAACTTTTCTTCCAGATTATTACAATTATGATCACATATGAAACAGTCATAACAATTAATGGAACCAAATACAGAGAAACAAAAAGAAAATAGACATATGCCTATAAACAAAAACGAATCTTGAATATTATTTTTTAAATCATATTTTTTTGCTTCTCCTTAACTTACATTCCAATTTAAAACATCGGGTCGGTTGCCACATATAGGCATACTACGTATCCAATCAATATCGCGTAAATAAAGTTGAGCAGAAGCAAACGTCATTGCTATCACCCATGATGCTAATGTGTATTCAAAATAAAATCTTACAATAAAACAAAATTTTCAATTCAATTACCGGCGATCAACGAATATCGAAATGCTTGAAATATCAAAAGCAATTTTTATTCATAGAAAATATGAACTGATTTCAGGCTTACTTGACGATGCTGTTCGTATGTCCATGGGTCGAATAATAGCATAGAGACGATCGATTGACACACAAACGAGTACATAACTGAAAAAGAAAAGAAATAATTTCAATATTTAGAATTAGGAGTATCTACCTTGAATTGTATGAAATGGTGCCCTAGAAAAGAAAAAATACAATAGTTAGTTTTCTTGATTTAACGAGCGTAGATGAAGTAAAATAGTAAAGACAAGCACCCGAATCAATTTTTTAGTTCATTTAAAACTCTTGTTTCTTCTATCGATTTTTTATACTCGAGTTCACAATGAGAAAATAAATTATCTGGTTAACTTGACATGAACTATGCGAGATTATTAGTAAAGACAAGTAGTAAAACCTTTAATGATTCGAGTGCAAAAAAAGAAAAAGAAAAAGAAACATAAATACTTGTATAAAACTTGTCAATTTACAACCAATAGAGCCAAGTCCAAACGGAATACAACTTTTTTCGATTATATCCCGAGTGACAGTAATAATACCGACGAACAAATCTAAATTGAATCAGCCCATAAGAATATATATTTTCATCAAAAAAAAAATTATTTTTGACTTCGACTTTTTTCTCGCCGAAAAAAAAAATCTAATCACTCAAATACAATTGGCTCTGACGCATTTCAAAAATCAAAACCATTTGTTTCAGATATCACGACCGTAATTATATTCGATATATGCATAAGAATACTGATGATTGAATAATTCAAATATGAATTGTAATATTTGCTCGGCAAGTATTTTGCGTTTGATGAAGAAAAGACACGTTTCTGAAAAATATTCATTACAAATAAACTTACCCGCATAAGCTAGATTTAGTAAAAAGAAACTCATTCGGCTGTGGCGTTTCTTTGAACAACTTAATTGAAGAATAACGGATATATTAGCCGAAACAATTAAGACGAATATAATACAAAGAAAGATAATGAGCTGAAAAGACAAATGTAATGAAATTCTTATAAACTCTCTCTCTCTCTCTCTATTGAATTGACTTACATGGAAATTTTTACAAATATCATCCAATGAAACGAATTCAGTGACAGTTGTAGTTTGATTTGTATCCATCATTGTAGTCCTAGATGTTATCGATATTTTATTGAAATAAATATCAGTACTGCTTAGTGTTATATTTGTCATAATGGATAAATATGTATGTGCGTAAGTTTATCGAATCATTATAAAAACCATTAATCGTCGAGGATATATGTTTTGGTGTGCTGAACACTTGTCTATTCTATCAAATAACAACTGGCACAATCTATCTAAAAAAAAAGCTAAAGATAGACAGAAGCAGAAGAAAAAGCTAGAAAAAAAAGAAGACGGCGAAGAGAAACGTAAGAATAAGCACAATCAGAAAAGGACTTAAAGAGCTGTTGGGGAGATGACATGATGTATGAATTCATATTTGTTTACTTATATTGAAGTTCTTGTAGTTGAAGATGAGTGATGATCATTTCCGGCCCAATGGTAGTTTACTATTGTTTTGGTCCTTGTCATCGATGAAGTCTTGCCGTTTTGGGTTTTTTTTGATCATGTTAATCAGAGGCGCCACAATCAGGAGACATGTCCACTAAGTAGGATGCGGAAATGAGGCAGATACTTCTTAACATAATAACACTGAATATGATGATGTTGGTGGTGGTGGTGATGGTGGTGTTTTTTCTCTTCTTCCTCTGATTGTTTATAATTGTCCTGCTGGCTCTTCGATAGTAGAAAGAAAGAATAGTATTCGTGTTTGTGTACATAGAGAGATAAATGGGCAAACATATGTTTTCTGTCTTCAACCCTCTCAATGTCAACGTGTTGAGACAGCTACAGATATAGCATACCGTAATATGCCTAATTGACATAGTAGCACAGGCGCCCTTGATGTGAAAAAGGTTGCCAACTGAAATACGATCAGTTCTTTATTTACACATTAATATATGCATTACTTCGTTTACTATGTTGTCTAAATTAGCCTAAGTAACACCGGCAAAAGTTCTCATCGTTGTTTTCCTTCATTTTATCTAATCGTTTTCTTCCGTTCAATCGAGCTCATTCAAATCAAAGCATGAGCTTGTCCCCATATAAATAGTCAACTTATATAGAATACACACAATAATGTTGTTTGTGTTTTATACACGCATGGAATTTGAGTGCTCTTCTTCGTATTGTAAAAGTCTTTGGAATCTTGTGAAAAGATTGCGTGTATGTGTGTGCAAACGTTCCTTCTCTTTCTCTCTCCCTTTATTCTATCTATCTAGGGATAGTCAAAAGAAACAACAGGCGCTTGCATATGTTCCGACGCGGAAACATAAGAGTATCAACATTGATAATTTAGCGGCTGGTTGCCAATGAAAAAAAATTCTATTCTAAGAAACCCCAGGTCTATACAGTTGTACCATTTGGTGTGTCACAATTATTTAATTATGAACATAATATAGAGATATATACCAGATAATATCGTTGATAGTTTATCAAGTCTAGTTGTTATTGATCGAAATCAAATTTTGACTCGTTTGAAGGTCAAAAACAATCTTTTTATTTTTTATGTTGATATTAATCATCAAATTGCGCTTTATTTGTTTGATGGACAGTAGCGAAGGCTTGCCGTAAATAAATATTAAGTGCAAAAATTGGTAACGCACAGAGCAATAACAAGATTATAGTATATAATGCAAGACATGTTGATGAAATCGAATCGATATATTGAATATTTGAAATAATTTTCGCTGTTTTCGATGGAATGTTTACCATTCGAACATCCGACATTGTACTATCGAAAGTGATATTATCTATTAAATTAATGATTCTATAGAGTGACTTACTGATTCGACTTTGCTGATGGAAGTACCTGGTTATATTCAATAGGTCCCAATAAGGGCCACATATTAGCTAGCCAGTACACACAATTTTGAATATGCCATGTGTTAATTCGCGCGAAGATATTACGAAAAAAAAACAGACTAAATGGTGTATTCGAACTATTTTTAATCAAGGCGCAAAAGAATGATTGATTCAGAAAAGCTCAACGTAAGATGTAGATCAATCCATGATTTCCGTATGCAGGAAGTAGGAATCTTTTCACTTAATGAACTCACCGGATAGGAAGGAAATAGAAAATGTTTCCAGCGTTTTCATCGAATGAGCTCTTTTCGTATCCTGCAAATTGAATTTTCTTTTTTTTTCTATTTATTATGGATTCTAATAACATTTGCAAATTAATTAAATTAAAAATATAATGAAAGCTTGTGTTATTAGTATTTTCATGACAGACAGCGTATTTTACTTTTGAATCATGTGTTTCAAAAGTCTGCGGAACGAATCAAATTTTTTTCTTTCGAACAACATTACATGACGACCATGTTATTTCTCTTGCGATGACTGAATCACCTAGTTGCCGTTTATTTATTATTTACCTTGAATATTTTTCATCGCTGACTCATCGGAACATGTTGGTAATTTTCAATAAATATTATTTTTTTGCAGTTGGAAAGATCCTCGGATCCCTCCTGATTGAAGATTTTACAAGAAAAAACAGTATTCCTAAGACTATCTTTTTCTATGTACTACTAACGGTATTTTATTCATGTAATTTCATTTTAGAAATCACACAGTTTGTTGTATTTTTAACTATTCTTTAGTTCTTCAACAATATTCTTACTTGGCTTTTTCTCAGAATATTTGGGGTAGGCAATTGGAATTTTCCAACGTAACAAGATATAAAAATCTTTGCTATTACTGACACATTTGTACTTGAAAAAATTACATCAATTATGTTGCGTCCCTATTAATATTTTATAGTTTTTTAATCGGCATTGAAAATTAAAGATGGTCGATGAAGAACCGCCTATTACTATGCTTGCTCTGTGGGGAGAACAGCGAAGACCTATCTCAATAAAAATCAATGATGAATTATCTATTATTGAAAGCGCTATCATTATTGCTTTTGAATTACAACAAATAAATCATTTACGTAATTATCAACTTCAATATTATGATAACAATCGTCAACGATTTATTGATTTATATTCTGGAACAGTACATGCATTTCAACAAGTTTTACGTAAACTTTCATCACCGGAACCGCCACCACAATCATCCAAAGAATGGTTTTTAAAAATTATTCTGAAAACAATCACAACTAAACGTAATTAAAACAAAATAAATTAATCTAGCTTACTTCGATGCACGCCTTTTTTTCTAGATCATAATTCCCGGGAATCAATTACTGACGATACTTATAGTTATCAACAAGAAAATGATACAACAGTATTTTCTGAGGGTGAAGAAGCTTATCTCATGGCATCTCATACATCTATTTTCACTGAACGGCCAGTACTTGCCGGTAGAGAAGATTTTATCGAACGATCCTATTCAACGATTAAATTAAATTTAGATTTTCACAATCCATTAGATGTAACTAAAACTGAAATAGTTCAGCACAAAACTGTTGATGATAATCAACAAGATGTAACTCAATCAGATGCGCTACTGTTACCATCAATGACAATTCCTGCTGCAATAATTGCTACAGAAAAAAATCCATACGTTTTAGGCTTTGATTGCAACTTGTCGCCACAACAAAGATTACAATTTGAAAGCGATATGATTCGCCCAGGAACATCAAAGTATTCTTCTGTGTTTATTTAGTACTTCGTTTATTTATTTATTTTATATAGAAAAACAAGTATGGGTGGTGTTCTACTTCGAGCAGCTAGTAAGTCGACAGCTAGTTCAACTGATGAAATATCTTATCCGACAGTGCATGTAATGAAACTTGTTAAGGAAATAATTCAAAAAGCAAGTTTTTTATTTATTTTTTCAGTTCGAAATTCCGGGAACTGAACTTCATTTGAACTGGATTATGTTTATTTACATATTAACTGAAGCTGATATGAGCGGTACTCATTATTTACATGCTTCCAAAGGTATATATGATAATTGTACAAAAGATCAAGATAAATTCGGTATCATTGAAAATACAAAGTTAGTTAATCCACATGTTGTTCAATTATCGCAAGATGAACTCCGTGCTGGCAGATATTCGTCAGTAGACTATTTTAGCAAAATAATTTTTTTCATTTTTTTATCTGTTTTAGACTGCGTTTAAAAGTTTGCAATATCAAAAATTTACCCACTCGTAAACGAGCACGTTTACGAGAATTTCCTGGATTAAATAAATTTTTAATTGTTAACGATGATAATCTGTTATCGACGAAGACAACATCTGATTTAAATTTTTCAAGTGAAAAATATCATGTCGGATGTATTCTGGTTCATGGGAATACAGTACGTGATAGATGCATATCAAGTTTAACAATAGCTCGTAAGAATAATTGTGATTAATGAATAATGTTGTATGACGATGAATCCTTTTTGTCTTTTAATTTTAGCAAATACTCGAAAACGAACTGATACTGATCAATCAAACCAACAAATGGATGAATATCCCGACAAGAAGTATAGAGCAAATTCATGAGGAAAATATCGCCCATAAATTATTAGGAAAATTTCGTTAGGATTATTTATCAAACAAAAAAAAACCTACCACGTCTTTGATCTGATAGGAAAATATTAATTCGATTGATTATGATCACTAAGATGACCGATTCAATTGAATCAATTGGCAATACTGGTATTGGGCTACCGCCTAATGAATATGCTAATCTGGATATTTTACGTTCGAGTGTCGCGTCAAGCAAAAACTTAATTTAATCTCATTTTCGAACTTTGTGAAGGCAGTATTAAACGGTGCATTTTATTATGGTCTAGTGAGCTTGCACATCGGAATATGTGATTTTCTCGTGATAATTTTTGACAATTAGTCTAAGAAAAGTGGCGTTGAAATATGCAAGATAAACATACTGAGATCAGTTTGTTATCACTAGTTGTTCTCGATTGTCTCTAGGGCATCCAGCTGATATTAAACGAATTCACTTATCAGGCTCCTTGCTAACAGCTAAAACAACGACACATACAGTTGGTGCTAAAAAAACGAATCTGACTAAGTCTCAAACGATAGATATCTTTCAAATAGATATGAAAGCAGACCGTTGTTTGTACTTTCTTTTTCTAATGTGACATCGATTTAATCGATAACCGAATTGGTGTATTCTCGTTTCGTCGAAAGCTTAATTGGTTTTTTTGTTTCGTCGAATAATTTTATATATTTTTTTTTGTTATCATTTTTGCTTCGTCGAAAAAATGAAATTGTAATAATATGAGATAAAATCAAAAGGGATCATATTAATTGTTCTGATTGTCTTAAAATGTTCTTCTTCTAAATAGATTGATTGAAACGCTCAAGTTATTAAAGCAAAAGAAAATACACATATACATATAAGGAGATGTTTAGTCTTTCTGTTTATGCTATATTTAATTTAAATAAAGAATAATGCCGACTATTGTTGAAAGTAAGCGTAAAAAACCTACATTACTTCTCGATAATTTCCGTTATATCCGAGATAAAATTATAAATACAACGATTTATTGAAAATCGCTCTTGTCTAGGTCGGGCTATTCAGTGTGATTTGAATCCACCATTTATGAAGAAACCACATAATTACGAAGGTGATGAAATTAAATGCAAAGCCGAAGAATTTAGAATGAATTTGAAACGACGTATTGAAGATTCACCATAACCAGCAGCAGTGTTCAGACTTCCAAAAAAGGAAATTTTGGAAGTTTTGGAAATTTCAAGTACTTGTGTTCTAAATTGTTTGGTACTTCCCAAAATTATACAATTTCCGAAATTTCTGAAATTTCCAAAATTCTGTACAAAGCGAAATTTCTAAACTTTCAAATATTTTCAAAAAATTTTCATTTGCTTTGCTATGTAGTAATCGAGTTGATGGAAGCTTCGGAAATTTCTGTAATTTCCTTTTTCGGAAATCTGAACATACCTCATAGCCAGTTAAAAAGATTTATAGAGAACAAATAATATCGTTATATATCTCAGGTCGAGCAATCCGACAGTAGGCACCTATTGGAGCCCATCCGATCCGACTGGAATCCAATAGGATCCTGCCAGATCTTACAGAATTATCGTTGGATTCTGGGTCGAGGAATCGATGTCGGATTCCTATGAATTCCAAGGAAAAACCGTTGTATGCCATCGGAAGTTCATAGGATTCCGACATTGAGGATCCGACATCGATTCTTCGACCCGGAATCCAATAGAATTGTATCGGATTGTAGGATATTTCCAGATTTCTATCGGATCAGTCGACCTGGGTACAACATCACCCGCAAATTACACAATTTACACCAATGTTTCACGAGATGAAAACTTCATTGTATATTGCAAGAAATACAAGTTATCGACCTGCTCCACGTAATATTGATGATGTTATTATTGAAGGAATATAGAGTAAAACTTTAAATGGTGAATTATTCCTTTTACATAAATTAAAACATCCTATATTTGGGACCTTAGAATTTCTTAAACAATTATCAGAAAGTGGTCATGTTCATTTATTTTCTGATGAAACTTTAAAATCATGCCCAAATCCATCTTATCAATTGATATATTCTATTTTCCATCAATTAATTAGGATTCATTTTTTCGATGAAACGAGACTAGAAGAAAAAAATTTTCGACGAAACAATAAAATCAATTAGGCTTTCGACGAAACGAGACCTAACCAATCGAGTCATCTATTTTGTTTTATTTTTATCAAATTGAATGATTTGTTTTGTTTTTCTTTTATAAAATTTATATCAAAATGTATCTTACATCATGATGATGATGATGAAAAAATACTGCACCCGGTATTTGAAGAGGTGATTACAAACAATCTGCACGTTATCTTACTACAGAAGAACTAAAGATAACAAAACACATAGCCAATACGAAAAAATATTCAAACGATACTCGTAAATTGTAGGCCTCTACAGGATGACAATTGACTAAAGATTTAAAATTATTTCAACATGATTCAAAAAGTCTTGTAGAATTTGCATCGGAAACAAAAAACGTTTAATACGTAAAAAAAAACCTAGAATAAACATAACGAAATCTTCAAAGCAAATATGATTCATTCCAGGTTAAGAGTACGAAGGATGAGACACATAATGCTCGCAAAGACTTTCTATTCCTCATCAAAAATATCTATGGGTTGAGCTTTAATCAATGCTGACAAGTAAAATGTCTCATGAGATTTTCAGGATGTTGTCCACTAGTTGATTATTCAGAGATTTATTGTACGACATATGTATAGGTGAAACATTATAAAATAGTTCTAAAAAAATAGAATAAGAATCAAGTCTTGTTATCAGCATAAGATGAAACTGAGCATCGCAGCTAAACAAATGACAATAAATAATTTGAAAAAATTTGGTCGGTCAATATTTGTCGAACTCATATTATTATCACTAATTTTGATCTGGTTTTTTGTTTGCATTACTAAATCATCATCCGAAAAGCACAATGATGAATTATCAATATCATTGGTTTCAAAACGACGTGAAAGACAAAATTCACGGCCATTTGCGTATAATTTCCCAACAGATATCCCTTTCATTAGTGCTGTTGCACACGCCTTACACATCCGATCACAGTAGGATAAACATATGTGTAAACGTTCGTTTCGATAAAAATCATATTTCAATGGTGAACATACATAGCACATTAATGTATTGAAAAAACGAGTACATTCTGCTGACGAGCCAATCAATGGACGTACCTGAATAAAAATCGGCATTACAGATTAATTCATTAATTTCAAGTAACCTGGGAAAAAATAAGATGCACTTCATTTTCTCGACAGCAACTATTCTCTTTAAACCAAGTGCAATTAGTTAATGCTGGTTGTGAACTTGGCACACGATTAGAAAAAAATGAACAATATGGTACAGGCTTTGACGATAGTGATGAAACGGTATTAGAGACATCAAGGCTTGTCAACACAAACGTTGGTAGAAGAGAGAAAAAAGGAAGTAGAGTTAATATTAGTTCTTGTGCCATAAAAATAATAGAACATTAGATCAAACAAATCAGATTATAATGAATCTAAAATACAAACACATCAATCACGAAGCAAAAATGTGCTGAGTTCAAGCAAAATATCATCTATCAAACGGTTAGTGTTTTTGGAGAATTGATTTCTAGACTCTTTGTAGAGTAAATTAAACCATTTTCTATAATCTTACCCTTCAAAGGAAATGATGAGATGTCAAACTAAAGCATCTAGTTTCACACAAGAATTCTTTGACTTTATTCTTTTGTATCTACTGTGCAAACTGATATGATTTTGACACTTGTATCGAGTATTGAGAGACGTAAATCGCGTCTCTACGAACGACATCAATCTAACTTAGCAATATATTGTTCCGATGCAGATATCTTTCATGGCATAATTTTAGCACCGATAATTTCAAACTTATAAATAGTGCAAAACAATCTCTTGCACGCTAATAATGACAACCTTTGTTTTGTAAATAAATGTATCCATTCGTCATTCTACGTAATATATATATATATATATATGTATAATTAACTAGATGTCTGTAGGAGAATCTTTGATCCGCGTTGCAATCATTGATTATAAATAACCATTTGATTAAAATTCTTATCTAAAATGGCAACAGAAAGTTAACATTATTAGTTTTGGGGTATATATCTATATAAACCAATAAAATATAAACAAAATGGATGCCTTAAATTTTAATTTAACAAAGTCTCTGGTTTTTACAATCACAAATCCCTCAAGAATATTTAACAGCGCAATTTTTAAAAAATTCCAAATAAGGAAAAAAAGTAAAATTGGAAAAAACAAAGATTAATAAATAAATATCACTGCTGTAGGAATTGAAACGGCTGTTATTGTTGTTGTAAAGCAACTCGTTGTCTGCGTAATGTATAAAGAATACCTATAAGTCCAAATAATACTAACATTAAATAAATATCCCATGACGAATCTACATCAATCGTGTTCGAATGATTTTCTCTTGTATTTGTTGGTTTAGTTTTCGTAGATGAGAAAAATATTGAAAATAATCTTTTAAAAGCGAGTTCAAATTGAATTTTGATAAGCACCAAAGCAACTGGCAAATAAGCCTCTCTATTTGTGTCTAATGCCATATCGTAGAATCGTCTTGCTAAATGCATATCCTAATGATATAAGAATAGACAGATGAAATGAATGAATTTCATCAGCAATTTACTTGTTTTAGCCCTAATCCTTTTTCATGCATATATGCTAAATTAAACATCGCTTGAGAATTTCGGCTTAGATCACTTGCAGACTTGTATTGAGCAGCTGCTAATTCATAGTTTTGTTCAGTACCATATCCACTACAAAAAGAAAAATTTCAAATATCAACATAGTACATCGATAAAGACTTATTAATCTATGTCAACCTAAAACTAATAAAGGAAAATCGAAGATAATGTAATCGACTACAGATATTTCAAAAAATTGATTCGAGATCACAGAAAACAATCGAGCCTATGAACTTTGCGTTACTTGGCAAGGCTCTTTCACTAATGAAAACTTCTATCATACTTACTAGAAATAATAATCTCCTAATTTAATTCTTGCATAATGAAATCCTTGAATGGCCGCTCTATTCCAATAGATTAAAGCTTTTCTATATCGTTCTTCTTGTGTTTTATACAAATTTGAAATATCAAATGACATTTGATCAATAATATAAGCAACATTAGCTTGTGCAACTTCATAGCCCATTTCTGCTAAATATAAATAAATCATAAATGCTTGCTCAATATGTCCCTGATTGTATAATTGAAATGCTCTCGTAAACATATTTGACCAGGAACCACGTTCAGCAACTATTTTAAAAAGATCTGTCGCTGTTGAACACGATCGTAATACACCGTTACCAGCTGCATGCATTTGTGCAAGATTGTAGTAGGCAAGAACATGTCCTGAATGAGATGCAGCTTGAAACCATTTAATAGCCAACTTATAATCTCGTCGAACACCATGACCATTATAATACATAACACCAAGCATCAGCTGTCCTTCAGCATAGGATTGTTCGGCTGATGCTTGAAATAATTTAAATGCTCTCTCATAGTTTTGCTCAATACCAGTGCCATAATAGAATGCAAGACCAAGGCCAGTCTGACCAATTGGATTGCCCTTCTCAGCTGAAGTTTGAAAAAATTGTAGAGCTGTTTGATTATTTTGTTTAATAAAGTCATTTTTTTCGGAATATAATTTTCCTAAATAGGCTAACGCATTTATATTTCCACTTTCAGCTGCTAAACGAAAATAATAAAGTGCTTTGTCGTATGCTGCATCACGAAAATAATACAATTGGCCAATACCATACTAAATAGAATTATTTCTTCTGATTAAACGGTATGGTTCGTTTTGTGTACTCAAAAAGTGAATGCACTCTAGACTCGGTCAGTGTGTCCGTCCGGTCGTTAATACGATAACTCTTAAAAACCTCATCCAATTGTCATGAAATTTTGTACACAAAATGATCTCATCAATATTTCAGTCGAGTTCGAAGATGAGAAGGATCCGTCAAGAAATGGCTGAGTTATCGAAAAAATTGTCATTATTGACTAGATCATCCCTGAGACTGAGGGGGGGGGTGTAGGGATTTTCTCAAAAAAAAACGTTTTTTCTCAGAATTATTCACAACATATACAAATCGATTCAGTTTTGGAAGTACACATAACAATCGGATGCAAATCCGATGTTTCCGCATTTATTTTTCTATCGTACCTGAGCTTGCGGATCGCCACGATCAGCTAACAATTGATAATACTGTAAAAGATTGTTGTCAATTAAAATATTATTTTGTGTTGATTGTTGTTCTTCTTCGTTTTGTAAATGAATCCGTTGAACTATTAAACCACTGGCAGTTGTTATTTTTGAAGCAACTATAATTTATTTTAAAAAAGCAATTCCTCTTTTTAATTATCTAAAATAGGCAAAAAATATGTCTACCATATGTAGCAGCTTGTTGGTAATACATCAAAGCTAATTCACAGCTGTGACCAACATTGATCGAACGCCAATAACGATAAGCCTACGCATAGAAAAAGACAAAAAAAAAAGGTATTGCTTGAAAGTCAAGTGTATCTCGATCGATTGAATAGAATTTTCCGCAGTGTGAAACTAGTACATGTACGTATATACATATTCTCCATTAGATCTAGATCGTGAACGCGCCTATCGGATGTTTTATATGGACATACTAGTTGAACTATAACAAAATTTAGTTATAAGATTTTTACAATACTCACAAGTGCCATTTGTGCTATATGATAACCATCAGCAGCAGCAAATGTTAAATAAACTAATGCCTAAATCGAGGAGGAACGAATGTTGATAATTTCGATGGAATTTTTAACTTACTTTTGAAATACTAGCATTAGGAATAAGACCAGCACTGTTCAGAAAATAAAGTCCCTTAATGAAAAAAATAACAAGATAAAAATTCATTGAAAATAAATGTTAATATACATAATGAGATTGTGGTGAACCAGCATCAACGCCTTGCTGATAATATTCTTTAGCTAGATTAAAATTCATTGGTAAATGTACACCTATAATATGGCCAAAAGCAAGTTCTTCTTTTGCTCCAATGTGACCTAGACTAGCAGCTTGTTTAAATAATTTATATGCTCTAAAAGAAAACATTCTATTTAATTAATATCAAAGAAAATTTAATTATTTAATTTACAATTCATATTGACGATTAATTGTGACATTAATTAGTTTCATTGCTTGATGATACAACATATTAGCATGTTCAATTTCAGGCGTTAAAGGAGTTTCAATATTTTCATCGCCATCATCACCATCTTTTTCTTCCGAATCACTATTGCTTTCATCTTCGCTTGACAAATCTACATTTTCTTCTTGTGAATCAGGAGCTTTCTCTAGAGCGATACTTTCTTTTTTGATAGGATATAGAATTATTCGATGGTGCTTTGATTCACCGTTTCGTACTGGCTGTGCTTCAATGGGATTCACCTGGTTAGTTACGATATCAGTCTGTTGATGAATTGATGTTTCTGACTGGTAAAATAATTATTTTTCTTCTTCTTAAAAATAAATTTGTAAATCTTACTGGTAGAGAATCACCGATATCGTTTTCATCTGATTGTTTGGGTTTATCAGTCGCATCAGCTAAGAAAAGGTTTAAAGTTTTGTTGATCGAAAATTATGTGAGAAGTATTCATTCAAAAGGCTAATCCTCTTACTTGATATAGAATGATTAATTAAAACAGCTAGGCTGAAAATAATAATTAAATACAAGTGCCTATTACAATAAATTTGATGCATCTAAAAAAGCCTCGAAACTCAATAGGATCATTAGCTATGGGATACAAATATTTATCGCATATTTATGCATCACAGTTGATATTAATATTATTCAGATAGTAGACACGATTGAGTGACTACAAACCGAACATCTCGACCAACCATCAGCGGACAAGCTTATAACCAATCGTATATTTATGCCAAAGCTTACAGAGGACGCTTGTATGTAACCGATTCCAAATCAGAAATATATTTGACAAGTATAAGAAAAAAAAGACTTTCAACATTGATTGATACATTAAATCTAATAGTTGTTGAATATGCTATTTATCTTAGTTATTTTATTTCAAGTACTAACTGTTTATTATATGAAAATACGTTTAGTGAATGAAAATGTCACGATTATTTTAATAGATCGATGTTGGAAATTCACTTTTTGAACTGAATACATGAATTTGTGATCGAGAATGATGTTGAATTAGCACGAGTGAGTTATTCACATCACCGAGGGCAACAATTAATACGAAGACTATTGGTACTAGCGACAGCTTTCTAGCTATGCAACACTATTTGATTTACGAAATTCCCCTATATTACACTTTAGTTATTTCAGAAAAAGAATATCATTGAATTTGAACGAATTACAAAAGAAGCAAGTTGAATTTTATTATGAAAGCAAATTTTTTCATCATGGAACGCTACATTTCACATTCGTTCAATCAATGGCACTGCTATGAGTGATAATGTCTGCCGTAAGAGATTTACAATACGTTCAATCAGTTCCAATCGAGCAAACATTGTTGATAGCAGGTGATTTTGATTTTCCTAAAATTATCATATTTGAAAATATTGTTGAAGAAGAAATGCTTCATTTTCTTACCGTTAGTATTCGAACTCTTGAATAATAGGGACTCAAACGACGGCAAAATAAAACAAATCCCTGAAAAATCTAAATAAAACACAAGCAAATTTAGTCACGCGCACATTCTTGTAATTTCTTGTTAGATCATATTTCACATAACACAGTGTTGTAGGACTATACCTTATCTAGATTAAATTGCGTTTTATTTGCATCATTAAACGTGATAAGAAGAAAGCGAGATTCAAATGAATCAGTCCATGCTAGAAAATCTTGCTCGTCCTATTCATTGCGAAAATAATAGTTCTTTTTTATTTTTACAAATTTTGAATATTTTACTTTACTCATCAGCATATCTCCAAGTTTGTCGTTATACATTTGCCGCATTGGATACGAACCTATGGTAAAGAATAACAAGACTATTTTTATTTTCAAATCGTATCATTTTTTCAACGAAATACCATTTTGATATTTTTCATTATAATTATTCAAAATTGAAATTAGACGAGCACCTGTATACAGCAAAAATAAAGCATCGTGGTTTGTTTCAAGATTGGATCGTAAATGAACCTAAAATAGTCATATTGTTTGCCGAATTTATATGATAAATTTTTTTTCTTACAATTGAATTTGCTTTTCGACACATTAACTGTAATTTAAATACTGCCATTGATATCAAAGGACTCGCACCGGCACGTTCATTAACAATCTTTGCCAACACTTCTCTCAAACATACGAATTCAAATGTATACTCTTGAACTTTATCGAAAATCAACAATAATTTTCATCATGATTACTTACTTCATATAATTATCAACAGATAATTCATCGTATTTCATCGATGGTCGATCATCACCAATGACAGCAGGTGCCAATGATAGGAAACACTACAAAAAAAAGCTGTTGCAAGAAAAGAAATCGGTCGGTTTCAACCTGTTTTAAATGAGAATAATTCTGATAAATTATTTTCGATAGAATAACAAAAAGTTCACATTGATATTGAGATTGAAAATCACATACATGAATAATTTGTACTTCATCTAAAGTCAAGATTAAAAATAAAATTTAAAGAAATTTTTCGTTACCCTTATATTTGTCTAATATTTTTCCAAATGTATACAATTTATCTAATAAACGATTATCATCCGGTATTCGAACTAAAATTTTAAACAAATGATTTTTATCCAATATAAACATTTATCACTTACCAGAAGTTTCTTTTGAAGATTTTAATAGATAATCCTGATCGACATGTTCAATATTTACCAAAAGTCGTTGATCATCATCATGAGAAATTAATTTCGAACTTTTAAGAAGCGTTTCAATTTTCTCCTGTTGATCATTCGATGATATTTCAAGAAAATATTGTTCTTCATCATTCAGCAAATTAAATTTTTCAATAAGATCAATAATTGAACGATTTGTATCAATATCGAACATCATAAGAAATGAATTTTTAGATTGACGAAGAATCTTATTCACTACATTCGACCAAAGAATTATTCTCAATGATGTAAATACTTTTTCAATAGGTTTTTCACCTAACCAAATTACAAATAGATAAGTCATCTAGAACTGATATTATAAAAAATAGAACCAAAATTTCGATGAGCATATCAAGGCGTAATAGCTGGTAGATCAAGATCTTCACGTACAATTAGAAGAATATGAGATTCACGATGAGACCAATGTGTTACTCTAGAAAACTATTTCTTTTCGTTTTATAATTAGTTTTAATCGAGCAAAAATAGAAATCAGCGAAAACATTCGCTGTTTCATTTTTTCGTGTCATCAAGAAATTTATTATCAAAATTATAACCATACTAAACATGCTAAAATAATACGAAGTATAAAGCAAATTATTCTTTGTCTTTACTTATTGTAAGCAAATGAAGACACATTAGTCGTACTATGGGGACTCACTCATCAGAGTGAGCTTTGCGCTTCATGGTTTATTCTTTTTTTGCATGAGAAAAAGCTGTTTCCTAGACCTTTTTTTCACAATAGTATGACAACGGAAATATTCCGACTTCCTTTTACATTATTTTAGATGGAATGGCCGCGGAAATTCTTTTGAACCTTACAAATATATGTGAATAGATCAAATTTGATTTATTATTCTATAGCAAAAATCTTACATCGAGTTGTTTTATTTTTTTGCATTGTGGCTTCAAGAATGGTTCATTTTACACTTCACATTCTGTCGACTGCAAAATTGCAGCTTTTCTATCATCTTAATTCATGCGGAATTTCAACATTCTGTTTACCTCGGCTTATAAATTTTGACATTGATCCTCTGTCAAATGTTTTTAAAGTACCTACATCTATATGTTTCAAAACGTGAATGACCAGCGATGATCTGCCGTGTATATGATAGGTCATTGGCATCGTGTTAAGAATTGAGAACACATTTAGACATGTAAGATTATCTTGAAATATTTCATTGAATGAAAACAAAAAATGATTTTCTAGGTTATGTTTCCACATGAGCTCTCTTGTTTTTTTTTTTATAAAGAGACATTTATAAGACATTGAAAAATATTTGAATTTTATCATAAAACCTAGTCTGTTTTTTTTTTGTTTTCAACAACAACCACACGAATATATTTGAGAAAGATATTAGTAGCAACAAGATATACAATAACATGAACAAGGCAGTACTAAAATCACACGCGTATTTACAGGCAGAAAAAGGTTTTTTCAAAAAATTAGGCAATCAGTCGAACGAAAATCAGGAATTATTGTTTTCAAGGAAAGATCAAGGATCTAGCTCACCGGATACTTGAGTTTGTGTCTTTGCGTGTGCTCGTGTGTGATGAAAAAACAAAGAAGTCTATTGGCAGAATTTTTGTTTTTATAAAAGAATATTTATAATCGAAGAACACTCGTGAATTTTTATACATTGCCAAGTGTAGAAAAATATTAGAGTTCATTGAGAAATGGCTGAATGATGAGAATTACTGTTGATTAAAGTCGCTGAGCTTGTTGTTTGATCATCAGTCTAGATAAAGGAAAAAAATAACACTTTTATTGGATTGATTGTTTTCTGCACTCTCAAAATTTTAGTCACGACGGAGGTGAAAATAGGATTTTCCTAGATTTATTCATCTCGCATGAGATCATTTCTAATAAGTATTAAAATCGTCTACTACACTTACAGGATCAGTCTGTAGAATATTGTGCGGTTTTTCCCAGATGGTTATAATTCCATCTTGGGATGATGTAAACAAACAATTTTCTCCAAAATAAATTCCATTGATACGTTCATGTGAAATAAACTCTGCAACAATCGGTTCAATAATTTGTATATCATCTAATCGTGGACATAAACTTGTTCCGAATGTAGTTTTTGTTAAATCAAAATTTGTTCGACGTAACGATAAAGTATTATTTGCCGATGATGATAATGATGATTGGCCGGAATCATTTGATACTGTTGTATTTGTTAATGAGGGCGCTGTTGCAGGTTTCGATCCATTTGCTACATGTGATAGTAATGGTAACTTTTTTGTTCTTTTGGACGTGCCGTTGGCAAGTCTTACTAATGAACTATCAGGTGTATCATCGATAGATTTATGAACTTTATTTGAACTACGTGCGAATGCTAAACGTGATGTTAACGATGAAAAAGATGATTTCCTCGTCGCCGCTGATGTCGTTGATGTTGATGATATCAATGACGTTGTGTCAGATAGAAGCGATGCATGACCATTTGATAATATCGATGTTAGCGGGTGTATTGAGGAATTTCTTTGAATATTACTTAAATGGACTTTGTTGATTTTAAGTATATCTTCTGTTATATCCCAAAAACATAGGCGATTATCTTGGCCAACGGAACCAATACGATAAAATAACGATGGGATATTTGTATCGCAAAATGATGAATTGCTATGTGAATATGAATTTGATTTTGTCATTCTACTATAGTAATTACCATTGTCATCATTTAATGATGATGAGGGTTTTTGAGCAAATGATGAATAGTATGTTTTAGCATTCATATAGGGATCAAACGATATTGCACTTATCCAGGATGTATGACCATGACCACGACATAAAACACGTGGAGCATGTTCTTCAAGATCAATAGAAAACAATGTGATAAAGTCATCTTCACCGCCAGTTGCGAGATATTTACCATCGGGCGACCAACATAACTGAAATGAAATGAAAACTATGCCATAGGCGATTATCCGACTGCACGATATAATTATACGAGTTCATAGTACTGTATTTATGAATTGTCAATAACGACTAGTATTCTTCCTATTATTTCACGGATAAGACTGACGTCGATTCGCCGTCTTTATTACTATTTACGATGCTATTTATTGCAAATTTTAAAGGTCAAAACAACACGATTGTATATAGTAATAATTCTAGACATGTAAGCTGACATATTTTATTGAATCTAAATTGCTCTATATCATACGTTATATATAGATAACATGATATTCTAATCTAAACTGTAATAATGTACATGGGATATTCTAGAGAGAAAAATATATACCCACGAAATCCCTAAATATTTATGAAAATTAACTGATGGAATTACGAAGAAGATATCTGATGAAGTATTTCTCGTATACATACACAAAGAAGGCCACCAAAGTAACTTCGCATATAAGCAACTAATTCTTTCTTTTCATAATTAAATATTCGAAGAAATCCATCTTGTGATACGACAGCTAGTAGAACATGATCAGGTGAAAATGCAAATTCGTTAATACTGCCACTGCCAATCGACCAGCGGGATACCGGATTACGTGCTTGTTTACTTTTATTCTAAAAATAGAATTGAATTCATTATTGGAGAAGCAAAAAAAACCTTTTTTTAAAAGACAAACTTTTAAATAAGATATTGAAAAATTCTTTTCATCATCTTTTATTGTTGTGTAACTCGGTTGAACAGTTGTATCACGTTGATGATTGAGTTGTTCATCGAATATATACAAATAACCACTGGAGTACGAAGCAGCAAAATATGTTTTTGGCGATGGCAACCATTTAATACATGTGACTTTTGTTTTATCCAAGTAACTCTGAAGACAAAAGATTTTATTTTATATTTTCATTCATGCTCGTTAAACTTACGCCTTCGTTGAATACTTTTTGTTCTTTGGTTTGCGTATTTATATACTGTATTTGTCCTTTGGAAAAGCCAACAAGTATATGTAAAATATTTGTATCGGGATGTTGAATTATATCATGGCATGTCGGCTGATGATTTTGTTTATAAATTCGATGATCGATGGGTTCACCGAAATTAGACTGAAATTTTTCAAATTTAAACAATATTTTGTTTTCTGAATTGTTATGAACTCTTTACTATCTTTTAAAAATAAGATATATAACTGAAATCTTAAGCTGATACTTAACCGAGTTTGTTTTAAATAACAGTAGCTGAGTTCAATGAGCATAGATACGAAGCACAAAATCTGCTCAAAAAGATATTCATATGAGTGAATTTCTTTTCGCACTTTCATTCTATCGAAGCGTTATAAAACAAACCTGTGTTGCTTCAGCAAATTCATAAATAATCAACTCTCGTCCGACATTAAATGCTATTATTTCAGTTATAATCACATTTCCATTTGGTTGATTTATTTCAATACCATTTGATATCGATGAAGGTTTAATTTCATTTGAATTTTCAGTTGATTGATTATCTATACTATTTGTTATTGAATTTTGATTATTCAATGCTGATGAACGCCTCGAACTTGTTTGACTATTCGAATCAACAACTGTTCGTATTCGAGTCATCAATGTTATTTTCACCGATTCAGTGAGACATGTATTTGTACCGAACTTTCCAAGGTTATCAATTATTGAAGAAACTTTATATACGCCTTCACGTGCCGTAAATTCAGTTTTAACAATATCACTACGTTGAATTTGATCTTTGGTTAAATTAGTTGGATTATTATACGAACGCGGTGAAACTGAAGACGTCAAATTGTTGATTGGTGTTGGATGGCTAAAATTCGATGTTTCTGTTCGAGCCATTGATACTATTGTTCAATGAATTAATTGGTAAGGAAAAATTTAATTTGTCGAATGAGGACTTCATTCGGTAAAATGATTCTGATAAAATCTATGCATATTTCTCGTTTTTTTTCAATGTTGCAAAGGTTTTCTAATAAACTCATCGCCATATTGTTTTTTCTTTTTGTTCTGTACTATTTGAATTGGTGAAAAAAAATAACAAATCATAAAAAAATTGATAAAAAGTCTGAGTTAAAATTAATTTTTTTTGTCTACCGACAAAATAAATGATTTCTGCAAAAAATCGTCGGATAGATGTCAGGCGAATAGATCGGAGGAAAAAACGATTTTCATTGGTCAATGAACTTGTTTGAATATTACATCTATAATAAAATTTTTACAAAATAAGGTAGGATGATTGATGATGACAGTTAAGTATTTTAATAAAGATTCACCTGATAAGACAATTATCTATATAGATGTGATTTCAAATCAGTTAGTTTCGATATAGAAGATAGTTTTAACAGAACTACCTCTCCATTTTTTTTTCATTCTTACCCGAAGGCAATCGCGTTCGGCTTACTCATGAACGAATCAATAGGAATCCTTGAGTATGATTGAAAAAAGCCTTCAGCTGACATTCTTTTCTTCAAAAAACATTTGCCCTTCTTGCACCTATGGATTTTCTTTTATAAATTGATCGTCAAGCAAGTTAAACGATACAGTTTCTATCGTGAATGACCATCCAATTATAAGAATCAATCATTGAAAGAAAGCAAAAAACAACAAGGGCTCTAAAAGTGTAACAAGCAGAGTTTGTTTCAATATTTGAATTTCTTCCATAGGGCGTACGAAAGATTTTTCGTGAACTTTGTATTTTTTTAGATTAATATTGTTTTTGTATTTCAATTTACAAAATGGCGATGCAAAAGCGTGCTAATCTTCGTTTACCACCTGAAATCAATCGGGTTTTATACGTGCGAAATCTACCGTATAAAATAACTGCTGAAGAGATGTATGATATATTTGGTAAATATGGAGCCATTCGACAGATTCGTGTTGGAAACACACCTGATACACGAGGTACGAATGATATTAGTTACATATTCTAATAGTCAAATATTTAATTTTTTTACAGGCACTGCGTTTGTTGTTTATGAAGATATATTCGATGCAAAAAATGCTTGTGATCATTTATCAGGATTTAATGTTTGCAATCGATATTTAGTAGTGCTGTACTATCAAGCAAACAAGGCATTCGATAAAATGAACTTAGAGAAAGAGAAAGAAAAATTGGCCAAAACCCAAGCGAAATATGGATTAAATACATAACATTGTTGTTAATTATGCACAAAGTGTTGTTGTTGTTGTTGTTTCTTTTTGGAGTATTGTATATTGCACTAATTTTGTGAGTGAACAAGATAACATATGAAGGAAATAAAGAAAGAAAAGGGAATGAAAAATAATCAATCTTGTATTTCTACACGGTAGTTCAATGCATAAATATGGCAAACTGTTATTCTATGAAATGCCAACGTCAATGTTTTTCGAAACATGATTCTCTTACAATATAAGCTTGGAATATATTTTTTGTAATTGACAAATATTTTGGATGACAGATATTGAGAAAAATATGAGGATTAAATTAATTTTTCTATGAGAAATGTTTTTATTTTTTTTTGTTTCTTTGAATTTCAATAGAGACGCAATATTATGATCACCACCATTGTAACTGGATGAATGTAATTGTAAATTGAAACCAACAAGAGAGAGAAAAAAAGAAAATGAGCTTTCTGTTTCTTGTACTTTTTTTTTCATTTTCTTTTAAAGTTGAAGAGTTTATTTCGATCTATGTCGACTTCTTTCTTCCTTTTATTTACCACGATGAGATATGTATATACTGACTTTCTATATTAGGCAATATGTTCGTTCGATGTTTATCCAGTATCGATACTCTATCGTTCTTCGTTTGAATTGCTATGAGCCAAACAGTCAAAATCACTCGTTACCGAACAGGAGAACTTGAAATTCACTTGAGTTTCTTTTTCTTCTTTCTGCTTTTCATTGCCATCATCGTTATTGATAAGAGAGAGAGAGAGAGAGAGAGAGGGTGAGTGACAGTTAAAAGAAAAAAGAAAAGATGGTAATAAAGATGCAGAAGGAAAGTAACATGGTTTTACTTTTTTCCTGCTTTAGCGAAAGTGAAGCGTGAGAGTGCGGAAGAAAAAAAAAACTTGATGAGAGACAAACCACAAACTGTACATACAATGAGAAGAGACAGAGAAAGAAAAATGAGTATTTGAAACCCGAACGACCTTGAAAATCTTCTTCTGTCATGACAAGATGAAACCAAGACACCAAAGAATAGTTATACTGTTAAAAAAATAACGAATATCGGATTTCTACTGTTTGGCAGTGTCCATGTTCGATATGAAACCAATTTTACGGTCAGTTCATTCCTATTATTATTATTATATCGATGTTGAATGTACACATCAATTGTTTATATATGGCCTTATTAAAACATAAGTTTTGCGATAATCGTAGAGTAAGATAAATAATGTTAGTTGTACGGATTAGAATGCTCAGTAAAAATTAAGCTAATCGTTTTATTGATTGCTTTTGTTGCTCTCTGATGGAATTATGTAAAATGAGAAAGTATTGAGGTACTTTGTTTTTAAATATTTACATCTGATTTAATAATAATATTAATTCAATCAGCTATTTTCATCTATTGATGAAGACTAATTAAAATTTAAAAAAAAAATCGCATGACTGTAGAAACCAAAAAATCTTTTTCACCTGTACGCGATCACTACTGTTAATTGTAGTAGTATCAATTATTTTCTTTTATTTCAGTAAAATATCTATTTGAGATTGAAATAAAATTATTGTACCACAAGAACGTATCGTTGTTAATGTTTAAATCATTAAAAATAAAGTAGTGTATTTTTATGGTACTCTGCCGGATTAGTTTTTTTGAGTTATAAAACAGAGTCTTAATGTTATAAGAAGCAAGTGTCGTCAGTCATAAAAAAAGAAGTCATTCTAAGCGTATGTCGTGGTAGTGAAGAAAATTTTACATCAAGTGAAATAGTTGTCACTGATTTTTAACTCATAAAAGAGACGCAAAATTTTACACTCCGATTACAACCGCTAAAAGTCCCAATGAGACATTTTGACAAATGTATTTTTAATTTGTGCACGTTTCATTTGGTAGGCAATGATTAATAGAAATGAATTTGCTCGTTTAGCTCGACAAATTTTGCCAGTATGTTAAATCAAAATCTTCAAATTTTAAGTATTATTTACATTTATATGGCGGCAGCTCATATGTACAAGAAAGGATACACTTGAAATGAATAGACCTTCATAAATCCAACCAGATCACTATTATAAACAATACATCACCCACAAACAGTATTACGAAACAGAAAAACACTTTTTTTGTTTTATAAAATTTACGAAGAAAAGTACAACTTTTTTCCCTCCCTTGGGAAACAAGTAACAAACAAAAACACTGGTTTCTATACAAGGAAGCAACCGTCGGATGATTAATTTTCTCCTCCTCCTCCTCCTCCTCCTCCTCCTGCATATTTATTTTACAAGGTTAAATTCATCGATTTATTATTGAGCACTCATCCGACTATATTATTGATGTTGAACACGATTAAACTTTACTTTTTCAAGTGCTACAATAAACACGAATGGCTTATTTTAGAAAGGACGTTTATTTTTTAGATGCATTTTCAATAGAGGAATATTTAAAGAAAAAAGAAGATCAATTTTTATTTCAGATAATATATAACTATGGATTATCGGTCCGACGATCAACAGCGTAGTCAGCAGCTGTTGGCCATCGTAGACCGAAGCACTGCAGAACAACTTTTTGTAAGTTGAAAACTTAAATGGGACACAAAACAAATATTGGATTTCGTCTTGTTTTTCTTTTGCTATTTGAAAGGCTTTTTTGCAAAAATTTCATCGGAAACCTTTTCAAAATTTAGCTGATGTTATCAGATATAAAGGTGTTATTGATGATCAAATTGATTTTATTAATAGTCCGGGTACGAAATATAGTGTAACACCATTGATGATTGCTACTGGAAAAGGTTAGAACGATTTTTTTGTTGTATTGAACACATTCTCTAGGAAATATGTATCATTTTTAGGTTCATATGAAAAAGTAAAAGTTCTTCTGGTTCATGGAGCAGACCCTAATAAGCAATGTGCAACAGGGTATACGAAGAGAAAATTATCTATTTATCAATAATGTTTTCTTTAAACATGCTCATAGGGATACAGCATTGAATCTAGCTGTTCACCGCCAAAAATATCCTATTGTTGATTTACTTCTTCAATATTATGCGAATCCAAATGTATATAATCAATCGGGCAAAACAGCATTACATCGTGCTGTTATGTCTTATTCCGATGAGAATGCTCATTATATTCAAGTTTTACTTGATGTAAGTTGTTTTAATAAGAATTATGAACAGTTGAAATACACATAGAGATCGATATGAGATATTGACAGTTTCGCTCTTCTAGTCAAGTGAGCCACAGTACTTAATTATTACCTGGAATATGAAGTATGCCTGCAAAGAATAAAACATTTTCATGTTGACTGTTGCTATGAATTGCTAGAAAAATACCTCTAAGCTGCAGCACAAAAGGAATTAGAAAAGGTATACGTGAAGAGAAAAATTAACAGATAGAGAATACTTGTCAAATGATCTGTCGACATCTAAGAGAAAATTTATGACTTCTATGAAAAACAAATTCTTCTAATACACAGTAAATAGAAGAAGAAAATAATATATCCTAGAGCTCTTCGCAACTTGTCGTCGATGAATTGTACTCATTTTAATAAGTAAAACTGGGCAAAGTTCATAAACAAAATAGAAAATAACTTTCAACTCCTATTGTTTTGAACTCTCGAATGAATCATATGCGGTATAAAATCTCGAGCATATTAAATGAAACTTGATGATTACTATGGGCTGATGAAAAACATTCATTGTACGAGTTGCTGATATTTAAATTTTTGTTTAGGCTAGAGCTGATCCCAACATTGAAGATCGAAATCAACGAAAACCCTTAGATGAAGCTATTCTTGCTAATAAGCCAGGTAGGAATCGTTGAAATTAACAAAATTCATTGTTTTTAAATTTTCTTCCTGTCTAGGAATGGTTAAACTTTTACTTACTCACGATCGGACTTTAGTCAAACGTGCCTATCGAGCAGCGATAGTTGCTGCTCGTCTAGGTAAACATCATTTTTTTGCTATTAACCAAATATCGTATTGTTCTTAGGTCACGATAAATGTATGGAGATTTTACTTAATTATGGAATGGATCCAAATATAACCGATCGAACGAATGTTACACCACTTCATGTGGCGTATGTTAAGAAAATTTGCGGGAGATTAAAAATCGATTGGTTTCTTTGCGTGTTTTTAGAGTTCGATCATTAAAATCATCGACAGTTCGACTTTTGGTGGTAAATGGTGCTGATCAAAACATAGCAAATAATCGAGGGGAAACAGCTTTTGCTATCGCAGAACATTTACAACCAGAGCAACAACAAAGCTTTATTGATGCTCTTATTCGTAAGTATATTGACAAAATCATAGAATACTCTTATCTTAGTGTCCTTCAACATTTCATTGATAAATTATTTATTATATCTATAGCTCCCGAGCTGAATGAAGTTAGAAAGAGAAAAAATCTAACTTCAGTACCTTTAACAAATGCAAAGTCAACTACAGACAGAATATCAAAAGGAGGTGTGAATATATATGTAACAAACAACTTGATTGTTAATAATCTTCTTCTTCTTTCAAGGGAGCGTAGCGTATTTAAGCTTATTAACGCATTTTTTTTTTCGATAAATTTAGACACACCACAAAGAACAGCCATTGACTTTCATACATATCCAACAGGTACTAGTATAGCGAAATGGCTTTTAAAAAATTTCTATAATCAAGTATGAATACATATGATATTATACCTTAGTCGCGCCGAGATGATACCGAAAAACATAAATTTTCAAATTTCATTAGTGTAGGAAGAATGCTCCTGGTTGCGGTAGATTCGAGTAGCCTGCTTTCATTTGATCTATGAATACTAACTCTACCATTGACCAGCGCATGATGTATTGCTAAAGTTTCTTAACAAATTAGCTTACTATACGAGTAGATGCATATGGGGTAAACCGATATAACGAATGATCTGAAAAAAAGAAAGCTCGTATTTCATACGCTGTGATGCTTGTTGAAGAAAAGCTATGACTATTTCTATTAGATTGTTTGCTGCTTTTAGGAAATGATGCTTCTTATATGTTTCCACTACTTCGCAGCCATTCGAATTGGACACTTGACAGTGAAAAATATCGCAGTCCAACGGCTGAAAATTCATCTGTACAAAATTTACTTGATAGTAAATTGATGTTTTTTTCTGTTTTGTTTCTTCTTTTAATTGGAACGCATTTTTCTTCTTTAGTTTCACCTGAAACCTATTGGACTTGTTTGCTGGCTAGAAATGGATGGGTGGCATTTGATTTAAAACATGAATATAGTATAAATGGAATAAGAATCATTGGATGGTAAGAAGGAAACGAACAACTGGATTATAAACGATCTAATTTTTATTATCAGTGAGAACCAATCAGCCCCACGAAATGGTCGTATCGATGTTTCAAATTCTTTCAATGGTCCTTGGCTTAAAATTATCGATTTTACTTGCGTGTTATCTCGTAAGAAAAATAGATATTTGAATTTCAATGAAAGATCGATCGTTTTTATTGATTATAGAAGGAAATAAAAACGATTTCTATTTCCCACCGGTAAAAACACGTTTTATTCGTGTTCATATTTTGGATAATTATGGTGGTATGGACATTCGAATAAAAGTTATTGGCTTTTTTGGCGTTGATATGAGTTTAGTCGACTTACTTCGACAGTATAAATTGGAAAATAGTCTTAACACACTTTTAGCTAACGTAATAAATTGAATTAGTAAAAACATAAATTCTTGATTATTTTGCTTTATCATAGGGTATTAATGATCTTGAAACATTGGATGAGCAACGTGATGCAATTTTGAATTCATCTGTAAGTAGATTTTTTGCGTCAATTCTATTCAGGATTATCAATAAGAAAAAAGAAGAACTGTTTCAATATTATGAACACTGAGGTAACATTTCTTTTCTCTTTTTGATTTCATCTGGAAAAAGCCGGTCTCAGTCAGATTTATCAAATTTTTGTGTTACTACGATCTCAAGATTGAATAAACCTTTAAGAATATATTATCCCGCTATTGATACAAACGAACTTATTATATTGCGACTAATGCTTCTATTTTTAGGATAAATATTTAGATGTGAATGATCATTTTCAATTTATACGTTTAACAGAAGCATTAAGATGTAAGTAATTACAATAAATCAAAAGAAATTGTCGATGTTCTTATGTTTTTTTCTTTCCTTTTCTATTGAAGCACCTCGATTGACTTTTCTGGAATGGTCTACTCCACCAAAAACAACTGCAATTGCCGGTGAAAAATTAAAAACATTCAGTGTTATTGGTGATGAAGGGGTTACCGATCGAGTTAAACTAGAAGAAAAGCGTACATAGAATTTTCTAGTTTTTTTCTAAGATAAATAAATAATATCATTTATTTAGATGAAAATAGTCCTCAAGCGACAACAATACTTATGAGAGATCTTGAACCGATTCAAGGTCATTCATTGGTCGACTTTCCTGATTATACCTTTAAATATCGTAAGTAGAGAAATAAAACACGGATTTATTTATTGCACCATAAAAACGTACTAATAAAATACTCATTTCACGAGAATAAATCGCGTTCGAAAAAATCTATAGATTAAATATCTATTTTTTGTATTTTATTCAGCTGGTCGATATAAAATTCGAGTGATTAGCCTTGAATCGCCTGATATCCACACACCTTGGCAAGAAATTGTTGTTGGTAAGTAGTCTTTTTTTTATATAGATACGTAGTTGTTCGATTATGTTACTTCAACTTAAATAAACATTGATACTCATATTCTTCTTTATTTACTCATAAAAAAAACATGAGTTATCTCATACTCACACTTTAGAACTATCATTTGCGCACTAAAAAAAACGCCCGCTCACGCGCATTCTTTTCCCATTAGTAATATCGATTCGGCTTCTTATCGGACTTTATTCACCGTCTTCGTTTTTTCATTCCTTTGAAAACATCAAGTATAATAAAAACTGAAATAAATTGTAAGTTTGATAACGGTGATGTTTTATTGTATATGCTCGCGTTAATTGCATAATTTATTTTCTTCAAATATGATTGTTTGCTGGTGATTTACCTAGTTATCGTTGTTCTCTCTCTTTCTCTCGTATATTTTTTTATTGCCATCGTTTGTAAAAGTACCACAAAATCAAGCTCGCTACTACTGCTGCTGCTATTACTTTTTCGTTTTTCTTTCGTAGTACATATTGAAAACATCCGTTGGTGTTGTCGTACTAAAAATTGTTACCATCATTTTTCGAATTAAGTCTGCAGATGAATGCAACCTATTAGCATCGCTACTTTATCGAATAATTATTTCAATGATTCGTGAGTACAGCTTGTATGCGCACAAGTTGCTGCTATTTATCTATGCTTTTTATTCAAAAGTCAATGTTTATTTCGCATTTTCCCCTTTTTTTACTTGTGTTCTACAGGTTCTACCTTATCCTACTCATCTAACCTAAACACACCAGCAAACAAGCATATCTACCTTTCGTCAACAACATCCTTTCCTAATAATACTAACACTGATAAAACGAGCGCACCACCTTTACAAAGAACGCCAGTAACTACTCCCAGCAAAGATAGTCGTGCGTATATTTCAGTAGTATACGAAAGCGATAGCGACGACAATACTGTAGACGATACATATCTTACACGACAATATACAGTAAAAGATTTGCCTTATTTTTTTCCGCCATCGAAGATGTTACGTGCATTACCGGTGCCACAGTTTGACAATGATTACACGACGCATAATGACGATGATAACGACGGCATCAATTACGATCATGACAATTCCAATACTAAGCCTAGAAAATATCAACTTTTAACACCAACGAGAAACTCTGCTATAAGTTCCACACCAAAAGTCAATGCTCCTGTCACGTTTCTTCCTGATCATACCCTACCGCAACGCGAAAAAATTACACCAACGAAATATAAACTGCGAGAAGCGCGCTTACAACTACTTAAAGATAAATCTCCATACACTGAATTGAACAAAACAAATGAACGAACAGGAACGCCGTTAAAGCATGCACAACCATCACAAAACGAAAATGACAATCGAGACTCATACATTTCATTACCACAAAAATCCTCTGACTATGATCGACGAAACTTGGGTGCACAACGCAACGATTCTCCTCGAGACGATGCAGCATACCAACGGCTAGTATTACAAGACAAAAATCAAGATGACTTGTATAATCGGAACTCATACTTTTCAAACACATCTTCACCACAGCAAAAACCCTCTGACTATTATCAGCGAATAGATGGATCAGAAAAAAGTTCAGTTGATAGTTATCCAGATAATACTCAACCGAAGTTGTTGTCGCCTGAAAGACTTGAATCAATTGAAACTCAAAACAGACGACCACAAGAAAACAAATACCGACCTATCGTCATGTTAGGTCAAGATCGTGCAGAATCAGTTAATAATCCGAATGAAATTAAGTGGGCTAAGTTTGAATATCGGCAAAGTCCATCCGCTAGTAGTTTAAATGCTCCTGAATCTAAACAAACTCAAATGGAGTTTGTATTCAAGGCTATTCTTGAAGGTTCTGATGTTCAAAAGCTAGAAATTAAGGAAGCTCATGGGTCAACTGGCCAGCGAACTCCAGCATATAGTAATAAACTTCAAAATGATTCAAATAGTATACATTCTTCAAATGATGTTCATGGAAAATATGAGAAAAAGCCAAAGCTTAGTGATTTGGATGAATCAAATTCAGAATTTGATGGCGGTAATGATTCCTCAAAAAATAAATTACCAGCACCAGGAGCTTCTCCTGTGCACACACCATCGAACTACGAGAGACATGATTTGAAACATAATACTATTGAAGATCGTTTTAGTTCACAATCGTCAAGATCACCATCACCATCAAAGTCATCAGAGCGCGAATCAAAATATTATTTTGGTGAAAAAAATCAAGATCAATTATCGGATGAAGAAAATGGCACAGTAAAGTACAGCGCATTAGGTCATGATTCACAAGGCAGTTCTAGTGTGGGAAAAGGTGCAGAACATAGTACCTATTCTGGAAGTAAACAAAATGCTGCGCCTGCTCGTCAAAATAAAAATAATTATTATGCTGAACCTCCCGAATTCGAAAAGCATAGTGATGCTTCAACAATTACAGTTAATAATGCAGACAAAGAAAAGGGGCTTCGAGCGATTGTGATGAAACCACGATCAGAATCCTATCCATCTAGTTCTGATACCGATGAAGTAAATCCACGCGACAATGTTAAAAGTCCAGTTTATGAAAATGAATCCCCAATGGATGGATCTCAAACTAATCGCGAGTATATGAATCCACATGGTACTACTGATAGAAGTGCATCAACAGGTGATGACGATGAGGATCCATCTGAAGTTGAAGAGCCGGGCATTTCTAGTATAGCAAAAAATGATCCGGTGGTTGGCCAATCAAAGCAAGGTCAATCCAAGCCCAAAAAAGGAACGAACAGTGACAGTGAAGAACGATCCTCTAATTTCTTGTGCATACCGAGACGAAACAGGCAAAATAAATCGAAAAAATCGAAGAAAAAATAACGAAAATTATTCACAAACAAGCAAAGCAAAAATACCAATAGATCGTGCAACAAGAAACAATGATGCCGTTAAACTTTCATTTAGTTGCTCTATTCACTTTATTTTTTTAAATTTTTATCATTTATCTGTGATTAATTTTAAATAACAATTATGTTCGTTGTCTAGATTTCTTCTGTGTTAAATTGAGTTTCAAGTTTTATTATCTGTTGTTCTATTTTGTCTAGTACTGAAGGTGAATAGATATATACAAGAATACAAGAAAGAAAGAAAGAAAGAAAGAAAGAAAACAAGGTCGTTAACAAATTGTAATAAACATTCCACAGAGAAAGAATAAGGTACATACATATTTGCGATAAGGAGGTATAGGAATGTATGCGCTTGAGCATTATGGCATGTTTTAATACGAAGCACTCTTATCAACATAGAATAAAAAAAGATACATAGCTGTTTGTGTAATAATCATTTAGTAATTTTTATTTTAAATATTTATTTAAAGGTAAAACGCCAACCGAGATAACTGTTAGGACTACAGAGGGACGACAAGTGTACACGCCGGGCATCATACCGCCAAGACCAAACTCCACATCAACAACTGATATCACTGACGAAGTAACTGATAGAGCGGTATTTGAAAGAGAATATACGTTTTCTCAAATACCAGATCCACATTCACGTTACAGCAACGAAGAGGACGACGAAGATTCCGATATAATGGCTAGATCACAAGATCGAAATCGTAATAATTCGACTGGTACTCAATCAGAAAAGAAAAGTTTTAAGAATTATGGAACTCAATCTGAGGAAAAACTAAAACGTACTGTCGGTATCATGACTCAAAATGTGCCAACATCTAATTTTGGAAATGACACACAAAAGGAATCAACGTCAACTCAAACTCCCAGCAGAATGCAGGCAGACCGTCATTCACCATCAGTAGATAGTCGAATACCCTCACCAATAGTACTACGAGCTATTGCACCGCCATATGGATATCGCTCTCAACCGGGTAAGAAAAAAAACAAAATTCTTCTTCAGTAATTTTATAGAAATTTAATAGGAATTACACCAATTTCAGCACGTTCACCTAGAACAAAAAAATCTCCTAAAAATACAATTGAAACTGATACAAGTCTTGATGGTATGAAACCTAAACAACATCGAAGTACCCAACCGGAACCACCATCAACAAAAGAATCCGGAACAATAACTATTTCACCAATAAAACGTCTATCGAAACCACATTCTATGACTAGTCTTAATTCAACACCAAGCTGTGCGAAACGTTCAACATCGTATGTATCAATTTTGAAAATCGATGATGATCTTCCAACAACGCCAGCGACGAATGGTTATAGATTGGTGCCAAGTGGCTCATCGGCTTCATCAGCAAAATATGGTCATCGCATTAAACCAATATCATATGAATATCACGATACTCGTTATCCTTCTAAAGAAGAAACTCCTAAGCCAGTTCAAGAAAAGCAACAAATTAGCATGACTCTATCTGATGAACCTCCTTATCAAGATGACGATGAAGAATTGCGAGGTGATATTTCAATTTCAGTGCGAATAGACACGCTTAATCAACCTGATTCAGTATCACGTTTCGGTCAGAAAAATAACTTACCAATATCTCCAAAGCAAAATCGCTTTGATGACGATCCTCCACTTTTCCATGCTCAAGAAAATCAAATACCACCAATACAAACACCACCCGTCTATCATATTGGAACGGAAAATATTATTTTACAACCGGTGGATAATGAATTTACAGTTTCATTTGAAGAACATTATATTTATGAGTCAGATCTTGATTCAGAAACGGATAATAATGATTATATTCGTTCGTCGACATTGAAACGTGACGATTTCCGGTCAAAAAAGAATCAAACAATTTTATTACCGGCATTGAATTCGCATCGAACATATATTTTTGAAAAAGAATTCATTCAACCTAATCAAACCCGCCAAGCAAACACGAATGGAAACTATTATTTAGCTACATCACCAACATTACGTTCATTAAATTCATCGATGCAAAATGATGATTCAGAGATTAGACCACTTACTCGAATCATTGACTCGAAGATTTTAGTTTGACAAGAATTGTAACCGTACCAGTTATCTAATTTTATCTGAAGCTTTAAAATTGTTTAGCGATGATTTACTATTTATGAACGTAATAGACACCGGTTTTTATCGACAAGAAAAAAAAACGAGTTTTGACTATTTTTGTTTTTGACTTTGTTTCAGCGTATCTATTGTATGGATTATTTTTCTTTTCTACTATTGTATGCTTTTAGCCCGTGATAATCATAAAAATTAGAAATTTCTCTTTGCATTCGTATTCTATTACTCTTATGAATAGCCAATAGTGATGATATGATTTTTTTTTATCTTCAGTCTTTTTCTTTTTTTGTTGTATGATGACTATGTGGATATTAATAATAAATAAATAAATTATAATTTGGATTTCGACTAGAAAAACAGGACATTTTTTTAAATGTTAACCACAGTAATTAGTTTTGCTTCAATCGAAATTCTATGGCGAACATTGTTTTTAGCGTGGCCTATGTTATTCAGCTCAATATTTTGCGTTTGTGCTGCTACAATGCTAATTGACAAATAAAAATGTCCTTGCAAACTACTATAGTTATTATTTGCTTCATACATGGCTTTTACTGTGCAATTATAGTTGAAATCATCCTATATTTTACTCATTACGAGTTATAGAACTGATATGCTTCACAACATGACCTTGCGGTCTAGAGTAAATAGCTGAAGTTTGTATGATAATTTATTGTGGTTCTGATACAATTTTATTTTGTCATGGAGAGCTCTAGACGCATATAAGAACATGACAGAAGCGGTCTATTTTCAGCTCTGATAAGGAATGTAGAAGGATTTCAAGTGCACTTGTGAGAGAATATCTTTGAAAACAGAATAACTATATATAGAAAGAGTTTTTCAATATATTTTTACTAGAATTAATGAAATCAGACATTGTCGGTCGCATATTATGGCAATGCTGTGAGCCATTTATTTAGAATTGAGTTAATAGTATCATTACAGAACTATTAGAAAAGCACAAATTTTGAAGACTTTCATAATCAACAAATGAATGTTAACAATGAAAATAGTTTGCGTGCTGGTAATAATGTATGTTAATGGCTATTCAACCTTTTGATATAACTGATTTTGAAAAATATTAAAATTCTTGAAAATGATTGTTGTTCGACGAAATTAATTTCATGTGAATTGAATCGTCGATTTCAAAGATTTTCTTTTCACTAGAGCGTTATCAGAATAGATTACCACGTATGAGCACTTGATTTATCAAATAAATGGAAACCCACATGCCATTTTTCTTATTCGCTTATAGTTTGATGAAAATGTATCTCAGAATGCGTTTACGCCGACTTACTGCTTGATTGGTGCAGGTTTTAACTTTCTTGAAGTTTTAATAACTAGTGCTTCCAACCATGTAGCTCTACAATAAAGAGATCTATATATAACATTTAAATCGCCTTTTAGAAAGATTGAAATAATCAAGACTCATATTTTATCGATTGTTCTCAATAAAAATAACCGTTACAACAAAAACACGTGTTTGTTGATATGTGACGAATAAATAGGATCTCGACGGTAATTACGCAAAGCGAACGTTTGCGATGCAAGAAAAGAAAATGGCGGCACCATATTCTAATCTAATATCAAAAGAAAACCTGGTCTCCAACATATTAATTTTAACATGAAAATCAATGTTGATATAAATTTTCAGTGTTTTATAATTAGTCAAAAAAAATGATTAGGATCTGACACATGCCGAATGATTGGTTATATGAACGACCATTAGTAGAAAGTTGGTTTTTTTCGATTTGCGATTGCAGCATACTACTAGAAGACATCAAGGTCGTTTTTTGTATGTTCTGTTGATTTTCTTCACAAAGACTCAGTCATTGCTAATCATGGCACGCCGGTGTACATCTACAGAAGCTGAAGAATCTCTAAAAGAATTTGATGATACTATTTTATACTTATGTCTATCTCCCACATTTGAAACAAATATATGTTCTGCTGGTATGTTTCAAGGAATTACATCTGGTGATCAGGGTAAAAAGATTTCTCAATAAAATCTTTGTTTTTTTAAGCTAATTTTCATTTTACAATAATTGTAGCTGAATTCAATGCAATAATAAATGATTATGATGAATTAAAAGAAAAAAGACCACAAGGTAAAGTACATATGATTTTTTTTCTAATTTTAGAACGTTAATATCGTCACTAGCAATGGATCTGTTTGTACTGTCGAGCGAGATGAACGACCGGGTGGGATACAAATGATCACATTCACTGAGAAACTAGTGCATTTAAAATATGAACTGTTGATGGCTTATCTGGACAGAAATATTGGATTTTTCAGTGAATTTTCTCTGCGGGACCCGCTTCGCAACAAAATCATATTTTAGAACTTGGGCCTGAAACTTTGTCAGCATGAAGGTCTCAATGAGATTAGCTTACAGAAAAAAATTCAGAAGTTTTGGGCAAACTCTCTGAGATATGAATCTCTTAAAACATACAACTTCTATAGGAAATCGCCAATATTTTGAGAGATTTATGTCTCTGAGAGAGTTTGCCCAAAACTTCTGAATTTTTTTCTGTAAGCTAATTTCATTGAGACCTTCATGCTTACAAAGTTTCAGGCCCAAATTCGAAAATATAATTTTGTTGCGAAGCGGGTCCTGCAGAGAAAATTCACTGAAAAATCCAATATCTCTGTCCAGATAAGCCATCACCAGTTCATATTTTGAATACGCTAGTTTCTCAGTGAATGTGATTACTTGTACCCCATTCGGTCGTCCATCTCGCTCGACAGTACAAACAGGCACATTGTAAGATAAGATAGGACAGAGATTTGATGAAAACTAAATAATTTAAAAATCTATGGGAATAAATTCTGGAATTAAATTAAACGAAAAATACATGATTGTGACCTATTCTCTGTTTACAAGCTTTAATTTGAAATCAATATCTACTCCTGTAATGTGAAGTATACAACAGAAATATTCATTGTGGCTAAAAAAATTCTTGGTTCTGGTGAAATTTTGTTGTACGATTATTTTAATGAAAAAGTAGAAGTCTCTCAATCGTTTTCTTTAATTTCGGTTCTGCTTAATACCCCAAACTTATCTGTGAGCATTGACTATAAGTCAAACAGTGTTATTTTCGTTGCTTTGACCTTGATAGATTATATTCCTGTGACTTGTATGATTGGTTTTGAAATGTTTAGTTGGGTTCAGAGCAAGAGAATGCCATAAAAAATTTGTTAGCCTAAAGTTCTAATGTTATTCATATCGTTAATAGGTGTTTTTTGACATAAATCTGGTTTGAGTCAGTATTCAGGAAGAGTATTAAAATGTAAATTGATCAGATTCAAAATGATGATAGCTGTTCATTTTTCTCATATTTTATCCACAATTCTGGGCAATAGGCCTATCTGAGAAGATGCGATAAGCTTAGTCTTTTTTTGAAACTCTTCAGAGTAAAAATGAGGTACGGAACAGAGCTTGAATCCAATATTGGTTCTAAGAAGGTCTCTAGTTGAAAGAGAAAATTCGTAATTTTCTTTTATGAAAAATAAACCTATATTCAATATCTCTTTTAGAATATGAACAGTTAATTACAAACAAAACCGGTATACCTGAAATATCATACGAGATTCGTGCTGAAAAATGTGATGGTGGTGGCTTAAGTTTATATCATTCTGTTCTTCGTGGATTTGATGCTATCGACATTATTAACGTTGGCGAGTTACGTTACAAGGTAGCTCAGTGTATTCTTGTGTCACAACGTGTCAACTTCAATTATTACCTTACTGAAGAAAACTGTAAAGATTTTATTGAACATTGCAATAAAATGAAAACTGACTCAATGTTCAGTGATCACATGGTATTTATGGGCTTAACAGTGATGTATCCAAACTACTTATTTTTTGTTATTGTCAAAAGCAAATGTGATAATGGCAATGTCTCTATAGATGTGCTTAATTATACCAAAAATATTGTATCATATAAGAAATGCATTTGTCTATTATACGACGGTACCACTGGCCATTATAGCCATTTAAATTTATATAATAAAACAAAGAAAGAAGAAGAAAAGCACAATTTTAAACATGACAATGAGATGATGCAAGGACTTCTTGTTGAATTTATTCGGCGAGAACTTAAATGTAAGAAAAAATATTCCAATCTTCTCAACAAAGAGCAACTCTTCTGTTTTCTTTACATATAGATGAAGGATGTATTGATTTAAAAAATGCAAAACTAATTGATCAGCCTGATATAATATCGAATGTACAAGGTCAGTATAATATTTTGACAAAGTAGTAAACGATCGATGGTTTTACGGTAAATAAATTTGTTTTTTAGATGATTTCAATGCAAACAATTTTATGATGGAACAGGAAAATATCTCAGGTACGAATCGTTTTTCTGTTAATTTAGGTTTTGACCTTCTGTAATTTATATTCTAAATAGATGACGGCCAGCCACTGCCAATGAGTAATCGTGCAAAAGTTTCTTCATCGTCCATGCCGATAATAAATAATGGTATGGTAAAAGCGTATCTATGCACTTTCCATACTCCCTATAAGAAGAAGTTTTGAGTTTCTCAATAAATTAGATCATGTTGAGCTTGTTTCAGTTCTCAATATATCCTCCGGTCTATTTTTATTAGCTGGTTTATATATATAAAATAACCTTTTTTTATGCTAGACGAACCAACACCATTTGATTCGATCAAAACAAAACAAAAAATTGTTCAGATACATGTTCCTGGAGATGGTCACTGCTTATTTTCATCGCTTTCCAAAGTATTAAATAGTACGTGTAAAGTTACTTATCAAGATTTACGTAAACAAGCTGCCGATTCTCATCGCAAATCGAAAACAATCAACAAAGAAGGTCTGGCTTATGAATGCAATAAAAGCTTTGAAGAATATTGTTGGGATATTGAAAATACCAAAAGATTTGGGGGCGAATTAGAAATTAACGCTATAGCTGAACATCATGGGATACTGATTCGTGTGGTAGATGTTTCTCCTGTACAACATTGTATACATGTTACCGAATTTCCTTCAAATGGGGCATCATTTGAAAAGTGCTGTTATATTATTCTAAATCGTAGTCATTATGAACCACTGTGTCTACGTGTTGGAAATAATTCAGATTACGAAACTGCTATTTTTTCCCGCAATGATAAGAAAGTACAAGAACTTTTACATGAATTTATTAGTGAAACATTTCCAGGTGAGCAAATTATTCATTTGAACGAGAAAATCAACAGTTACAATATCTTTTTTATAGACTATACATTTGATCTACGCAATAATATGGCAGATATCAATGTGTTGGTACAGCAACCTGGTGAAAGATGTAAATATATAATATGAATGGGAATGTTTTTATTTTTACTTTCCTCTATTTATTATAGCGTGCGACGAACTTATTGATCTGGAAAATTTCATCGCCATGGATGCTTCAACGAATCCATCGAAGAAACGAAAGTTATCCGGTAAACAAAAAGTGAATTTTTCTCTTTTAATGTTTTATTTTGTTTAAATAAAAATTAGAAATTGAAACAAAGTCATTGCCAGCATCAACTTCGGGGTCATCAAATCTAGGTTTGTTATACTCATCACATATTTTACTAATATGTCAGCACGTGTTCATTAAATAATAAATCTATAATTGCATTTAAAGAAGAAGATCACATATAGAAAAGATGTATTGATAGCAATAAAAATTCAGTCGAGTTTCAAAGAATTTCTTGAAGTTGTCAATTTGAGATTCGTTTAAGAACGGTTAAACTAAATCTCTTTTTCTAGTCAATGAGCAATCATCGAAATATTACCGACCGCTGCCGCCCAGTGATAATATTTATACATGTGGTAAGTTAATCATGTTTTTTTTTTCAAAATGTTTCAAAAAATATACCGCATTTTTTCAGATAGCAACAGTGATATACCGAACGATATTCATCAGCATTATAAAATAAATAGCTATTCGACTGTACATCGTAAGTATCGCGCTTCTGGAAAAGAAATCTGTATCAACCTTAAAACATCTTCTAGCTAAACTGAATAAAACACTGGAAAAACTAAAAATACAAGACTACTTGGGTACAGGTGTATCAACACCTGTCACACTTAATTTTTATAACAAGCACAGCGAGCAACAGATAAAATTTCAAATTGAACCTACGAGAGAATTTCGCGCTCGTTACCTAAGCGACTATGTACCAAATAATGAATATAAACGTGATGGTATAACGAAATCCGAACCAAGTTGCCCAAGTTATTTCGCTGATCGAAATGAAAATCACTTTTTAGACTTATTGGTAAGTTGTTTAATGAAGAAAATCATGTTTAGTATATTAAATTTAGATACCAAAAATGATTCTATTCGACCAAAGTCCTCTTGATCCCCGTAGTATAAAAGTAGAAATTTGCATTGTCACACGCACTATCAATGGTTGCATATACATTCATCCGTATTTTCAATTTTACAAGCCTGAGAAAAATGGAAAATACTCTGTTGATAATCCAATTTTTATGCAAGGTGAATTTATTGAAGGCTGTGAAAGTTTGATAGGCACAAATGGAATGCTTAGAATGAGGTATGATTTTGAAATAATCTATAATGGTTTTTGTCTAATAATGCATTCTAGGCTTTATCTGGTTGTCATCAATCTCTTAGAGAGTCAGCTATTAAAAAATCAAATAACGACTTTTGAATCATTGCACTCAAGTAATATAACGTAACTTTCTATTTCATTTTTAACATATGATAATCTGTTAGATGGACAAGCAGATAAAACGCATTTTAAAAAATGCGATGCATTTAAACAGAAGTTTTATTTAAACGATCTGCGTTTTGCCGTAACATTATGGTTAAAAGATTTAAATACAAACGAATACAAACGATATATTGATCTTCAATATATTAGTGATATCTCAATCAAAATGAAAAAGGTAAATCTTTATTGATAATTGATAGTACATGTAGATAATCCATTTGCTTTTCGTTTTAGAAAAACAAACGATCAAAGAATACTGACTGAAAATTGTCAAAAAATTAACAATTCAATCGTATTATTTTTTTCAATTTAGACAGGCTGTAAAAATAAAAATTTCCTGATTATTTTGTTATCAACCCATGAAGTTTGACTCATGAGAAAGTGTGCATCGTTTGTTATGTTATTGTATGCGGATGTATTGGTATAATAAAATAAATTAGGAAAATAAAATTGTTAAAATGTTGCTTTGGAAATATTTGAATAGATGTGTTGTATTATGCCAAATAATAAGAAAAATTATTAATTTGATGCATACATTAAGCGGTTATATTATAAAGTTCAAGATCCTTTTTATATGAAAGGTAACACATTTTCGAACTTTGTCAGCCTATTTCTGAAAACCTCAATTCCTCAACAAAAGAGATATACCCACGATCCACGAATTAGGACTTTAACTATCGATATAGGAATTCCTGCACACAGTACAGCGTGAAATGGTAGTTTCAAGTAGTTTTTGAACTGACTTTCATTTAGGGCCGTTTTGTGTACAAAGTGTCCCCCTCCTTTTTCAACATTTCTGAATGTTTCCAATGATTTCTGTTGGTTTGCAATGGTCATATAAAAACTGATTTCCAGTCATAGAAATCACTGGCAATCAAGGAAATCAACAAATCAGTTTGTCCCCCTTGTAATAAACTGATCACTTTCTCATTGTTTACTGGAAATCGAAATACTAATGATTTAATCATTAAACTGATCATTTATAGACTGTTTTAAGGGTCATTTCATCTATTTTACAAATCAAATATGTTGTTGCCCAAAAGAAATACAAGAAAACTAACTCGTCTTGTAACACGTGAAAGTAGACCAGTGAATGTTGTAGGTGTCGATTTTATCTCGACACAGGCTACAAAATATCTTTTGAATCAAGACGAAATCGAAATAAATTGTATGAAACTTCGCATCCGACCATATTTTTCACCAATAAAAATTAATAAATGTCGACAATGCTTCAAGCATGATCATTTTACAAGTCAATGCACAAGTTCACAATTGTGCTTTCGATGTGGCTAACATCATTCATTACAAGAAGGATGTAGTAACGAAATAAAATACTTTAGTTGCCAACAACATCATTATTCAGGACATTCATCATGTCCAGTTGTCCAGCAAAAAAGAAAACAACTGTATAAACAGGCAAAAATACAATTTTCTCAACTGCTAATAAAACAACAGAAGGACAATTTCATTTATAATTCATCTACATTTCCATCAGTTTCACCTCTTTCGCAAGAAATAAATTCTAAATTACAAGTAAACTCAGGGTATACTAATAACTACATGAAAAATCAACAATCCTATGCATCTATAAAAACAACCAGAACCACAAAAGAACATGAACATGTTGAGCGGTGTGGGTGTGGCTGTTGATATTTATCAAAACTCCCCATATACCGATACCCACATCCCACACCCAAAATTATCAAAATGCATTTTCACTACCATCAACTGATATGAAAAATGTCACGGAACCGATTTATTTTCACTTGAGAAATTGCCGAATTTTAGAGTCGCGAGTTTTTTTTAATATGAGGTTGATTCAAGTGTGTCGGTGTGGGTCATGTCTGCATCCAATACCCCACACTCGAATGACTTTGCCAGTTATTAATTTTTTTTCAGGTTGGGATTGATAAAATCTTAGGTTGATCATACATACTACCGCATTTTACATTCCAAGGGTTTGCTTTATATTATTTTTTTAGTTTATTTTTTCCAAATTGCAACGGTGTAGTTTCCTACACATGTGTGGTTTACATATTTAATTGATTCAAGTTACACACTATAGAATGAAACATTGCTATTACTTGGTTAAATTTGATACACTATATAAAAAAAATCTATTCTCAACGCATAGTTGATATGAATAATGATATAATTGATCATAAAATCTTTAACATTCTAGCCACAAACTCATTACTTTAAAATAAAGAAACGATTCCGTCACTGTGTCACGATTGACTATAAGGTATCAAAACTATTACGAGAAAATTCATGAATTGCAGTCTAAGTGACAGATGGACAATTCAATATTTGGCAAATCTTACTGATATTTTTGTTGTTATAGTTATTATATAAAACATTCGATAAAAGATTAATTTTCTTACGAGCACTTTAAAGAAAATCATGATTAAAAAGAGATGTCGCCAAGAATCTGAAAACTTATGGAAAAAATTTCAGTTCGTGAAAGTCCTCGATATAATATTATTCATTTGTTCGTTTCAAACGAACTGATTAACACGAATACATATATCGATATAGTACATGTGTTATATTCATTCATTCTTTCTCTTGTTAGATTTTTAATGTCAGCAGCGTCTTATCATAATGCATCATTTTCCACTAACGGTGGTGGAGATCGTGGACGAAAACGTAATTCTATTGTTATATTTCAATATTCAATTTCATTATATATTTCTAGCTCGTTATGACACACGTAATAAAGATATTGGGCCACCACCTCATCATTATTATCAGCGTCGTCCATTATCACCAGTTTCAGTTGGAGATGTCTGTAATCGTATTAGTAAAGTGTCATTCGACAATTATCCTCGCAAAGCAAGTACTCGAATCCGTAATCGTTCCGCAGAACCTCATCAATCAGATAAACCTTATGATAATCGTCCACCATCAGTTAGTGCTATTCGATCTGTTGTACCCGATCGATTAAAACAAGATCAACTCCCTATTTGTTCTCGACCAGATTCAGGTGGTACGAAAGGACATAATATTACTCTTTATACAAATCATTTTAAATGTAATTTACCTGACAATCTTGCCATTGTAAGAGTTATATTTGTTGAAAAACTAAACTTTACAAAAAGAATACGTTTCGCTGTTTTAGAATCAATATACTGTTCATGTGAATGTATTTAAACGTGGCAAATGGTGTAATGCAAACAAACGTCAACATAATCGTTTTGAAATAGTTCAAAAAATTCTCCATCGAGAAGCAGATAACCTACCGTTTGTATGGTAAATGAAAAAAAGATTATTTATCAATTTGATTTTTAGCTAGTCCAGTTAGACTTCTAATCGATTTCTGATCTATGTAAATCTTGTTTTCAAATTTATTTGAACTCAATGACCCTAAAGATATCGCTTTTCGACTTATTGCAAGTTTCAGAATACCTGATGCGCTTTTCTGCTTATTTAGGTTTGATGATGGTAATTTTCTTTATTCTCGTGAATTACTACTTGATAAAGCTAAAACTTATGAAATAGCAATAAAAAATCAACTATATCAATTGGCTATAAAAGATATGTCAGATCGTGTTACAGTTGCCGATATGTGGCAATATGTTCAAAGTAAAACACCCTATAAGCGTCCTCAAGATTTAATACGTATGCTTGAAACATTACTTAAACAAACAATTCGTTCACGTATGGTTTGCATTCGCAATCAATTCTTTGAAAAAAATCAAACATTATACGATAGTGGTTCGTATTTCTTTTTTTTTAAATAAAAATGAAATAGTCTCGTTCGATTTATTATTATAGGACCATTTCAAAATAGCGGCTTTGCTTTAGCTCAAGGCTTCTATCAAGCTATGTTTGTTACACAAATTGGACCCACATTAACCATCGATACAAAATGTTCATGTTTTTATCGAAATATTGATATGATACATTTCATATCAATTTATCTAGGAAGAGATATAACAATCAATGGGGGTACGATGTCTCATGATGATAAACATGTTTTGTCAAGAATGAAATGTTTGGACATCATTACCGTTGAAACACGACATACAAATAATAAAAGTAAAAAAAGGATATTCTTATTCGAATGTTGACGTTCGTGTTTTTTTAGTGGTTTATAACATTCGAGGTTTCGGTGAGAATGCTGATTCTCATCCAGTAACATTAGACGGGCCGGATGGAGATTCACGTAAAATGTCTGTAACGCAATTTCTTGCTGAAAAATATCAAATTAGATTAAAATATCCTCGTTTACCAACACTTGAATGTGTGAACAAAGGAGCACAGAATTCATCATTTATTCCAATTGAATTATGTTTCGTTGAAGAATGGCAAATAGTTGATCGTTCGCTAATGACAACAGAACAAAATGCTGAAAAATCTAAGCGCTCTATTTTATTACCTAAAATACGTTGCAATAAAACGATGACTATTGCCAACGAAAGAAATTTCAACAATGATCCATATTTGAAACATTTATCAATGGTCATTGATACCAATAAAATGTTACAAGTTAAAGCACGTGTACTTGATCCGCCTAATATTGTCTACCGAAATAATCGTATTGTTTCCGTTACCATTGGCAAATGGCTTATGAAAGGAAATCAACTACAACAAGCGACACGTGTTCATAAAGTAATTTAGCTTTTCCGTAGGGTTGATTTGTTAATAAAATGTTTTAGTGGGAAATGATTTTAGTTAAAGATGGCAAACGTGAACCAGGACATATGGATATGCAAAAATTAGATGAATTTTGTAATATGTTACCGGAAGTAAGTCAATATAAATACTATTAGTGAAAATTAAATATGAGTTCGGAACTTTGCTTTTAGACTACACGACGTTATGGAATTCAAATGAATCCTCATTTTGACACGAAAATAATATCTCATCATGAAATTCGCCAATGTGTTCATGATTTACATGCGAGTGGTGCTGAATTTGGTTTATTTATATTAATTGGCGATTGTCCTGAATCATATCAAACCATCAAACGTTGTGCACTACAAGAATTTGGTATTATTACACTTTGTAAGATCGATTTTAATGTTTCACCGAAGAATATTTCCTATGCTATATTTGAAAATAGGCTGTGATTTAGGTTCAATACGAAAACAAAATAATCCTGGCAAACTTGTAAGTATTTTTTGTTTTGTTTTAGCACGATGAAATTTTGTTTTCTCTCAAAATATTTCAGAATGCTTATATTGAAAATGTTGCACAAAAAATCAATGCACGTTTAGGTGGTATTAATTCAACAATCTCATTTAAGAAAATTTTCCTTGATCAACCGAAATCAGATGGTGATGTTTTTATGTTTATCGGTGCTGATGTATCTCATGTTGTCGTTTCTGAACGTAAACCCTCAATAGCAGCTGTTGTTGCAAGTGTATCGCCAACATCAACACAATATATATGTCGTTCAAGCGAACAACGACCTGTGAACGATAAAAAATATTCACTAGAAGTTATTAAAGATTTTCAACCTATGACACGTGATCTTTTACATGTATTTGTACAAACAAATAAACAGTATCCAACGAAAATTGTTGTTTATCGAGATGGTGTAGGTAAGAAATTTGATTTTGTTTTGCAGAGTTATTGATGAAAACATTTAAGATAGAAATCTAGACCGTAAAATATGTAACCATTTCACTGCCACGGACGACGAGGGAATGAATTTGACAGCTACAGGATATTTTATAGAACTTGTACTGACTGTTTATTTAATTGTTTTCATTGTTTAGATGAAGGACATTTTCAAAAAATACTTGATAATGAAGTGCAAGCACTTAAAAATGCTTGTCTAGGTAAATTAAGATTGTTATTGTCAAAAATAAAAATTCAAAAATTTTCCCTATAGAGGTTTATGGTCATCGTCCGTTGCCAAAAATCACATTTGTTATCATAAAAAAATCACATAATACTCGTTTCTTTGCTCATGATGGTCAACGTATAACAAATATGGTTGCGGGAACAGTCATTGATACAACGATTGTACATCCACGTCAATTTGATTTTTATCTAAATTCTCATGCCGGTGCACTTGGTACCAATGTTTGTTCTTATTATCATGTTTTGTATAATGAAATTGAATTTACTAGTGACGAATTGCAACAATTAACTTTTTGGGTAAAACAAAGTAGTAATATGTTTTTTTATTTGAAGTATTTTGTTGATTATTAGCTTTGTCATACTGATGTACGATGTACAAAAGCTGTAAAATGTCCAGCAGCTGCTCGGTATGCTCATACAGTGGCTTATCATGCAAGATACTTCGAAAAAGAACCCTATCAAACAACAACATCACAATATCATTCAAATCGAGATGCTACGCAGTAAATTCGAATTTTCGTTTTGTTTTTACTATAAAATCAATGAATTAATTTCTAGAGATGAAGATGATCTTACTCTAGAAGATATCAAAAGTAATCTGATTATGGTTAATAAAAATGTTAAAAATATGATGTGGTTTACATAACGTGACGTTATTGGAACTGATGTTTTTATTCGTTTCTTTTTTAGAGAAAGATTGATCTAACTTAACATGTCACTACATATTTGTGTTACTTTTCTGCACTGTTATATTGTTTTGTTTTACGTTATAGCTAACTATACAGTTCATATTCTTGTAATGTAATGTTTTCAGCATTCAAGCAAACTTATAATAAACAAGAAGAAAATAGAAGAAAACTTCAAAGTTTCAATGCTCAAATTCTGTATGAATAGTACTCAAGGATGTTTTTCTTCCGGCGAAGTTTTGAAATTTCATTAATATAGTCATATCGACAGGAGCAAATGGGAAGCAATTTTTTATAGCGGATTGTTAATGTAAAATAGCGAAAAGTTGCTTTCATGAATTATCAACGGATGTTTTTTTTTGTCGTCTGCTTGCTTGAAAATAGAACATGATTCACAAAAACAAACAAAGTACCAATGCTGAGTAACACCATTGTCGTAGATAAGAAGAAGGTGACGAAATACGATCGTAGTATTTTTTCCGTATTCTTATCGTGTCTATTTTTACCAAGATAATTTATTACTAGCTTGTTTTTGATCTTATGTTGTAAAGAAAAGACACGATGAAACTAGTTAGTCTATAGGAGCTTGCTGTAACTAGAGCGTATCGAAATGTAAAGTGATGAGGTCAATAGCGAATGTGTTTAAAAACAGAAACAAAAATAATCTATCCGATGATGACAGTTTTTGTTTTATGTCTATCAAAACTAGCAGATGTTCCGTACATTGTTTTTCTGTAAGTGGGAAATTTGTCACTCGACATTACTAAATTAAAGAAGTAAATTTTCTATACAATTGACAGTGTATCATCCAATGGATGTCGCCATCATTCGATATAGGATAGGATATCTCTGAATACGAAGGGCTCAAGTATGATCCAATTAACAAATTGATTTATCACAATACCCAAAACTCCATCCATACAGTAGAAATTTTTAACAAAAAAAAATAAATACTATCTAAACTCGAAGAATCTTACTATGATATCAAAAATTGATATGCTCATATTTTTCTTATTTATTTTGATTGGAACAACAAGTAAATCTTCTTTTGGTTGTTAATTTCAAGGTTACAAAGCATTTTTATTTCTTCTCATTTTACATAGTGTGTAATAGAGACCAGGAAGAGGATGTCATGGATAGCGTGTGTTCATTTGGTGGAAATGCCGCTTGCCGCACGTATTGTTTCTTTACACAAGGTTCGATGACTGGCCAATGTGATGCAAATAATGACTGTATTTGCAATTCAACACTAACCACCAATGACAATGCTGTTATAACAGAAGTCGAAATACTTGTCATTAACAAATAAACCTTACCCCGAGTTTTCATACAAACACTGAACTTCTATAAATAAATTGTGATATCAAAATATCTAAAGAATACGTGCAGTATTCTTGCTAGTTTTTTGTGCCATACTTTACTAATTAACAAGATCTAGGTCTGCGCGTGATGCGCTTGTAGAAGTTTTGACAAGCTCTTAAATATATACTCTCATTTATGCACTCTGTATTAGATTATCGAAGAAAAAGAAAAAGAAAAAAGTAATTGTTTTCCTCACGATTCACCAACTCATTGAATTCAAGATAACTTCTATGATGAAAAAAGTTTACATGAATTCTTGGCATTTATCCAATAATAATATAGAACATGCGACATATTAGTACAGCTTCTTCATTAAAACTTGATTCACAAATAATACATGGTTAAGTTTATGAGAAAATGAGCCACTGCCGACATTCTTGAAGAACTTGATTGCTATTATTCACATGCGATTTAAAAACATGCCAATGCTAAAGTCACGTTTTATCGCAATTGTGATCGAAGAAACGATTTTTGCGGAAAAGAAAATGGCAATGAATCAAAATGGTAGATTGCTATTTAATCGTTGATATCGATAATCGATTGCTGATTGACAATTTATTAGACAACTATTCCAAAATTAATGTAGCAGAGAGAGTCACCTATGATCTCTGCAGAGTTATTTTTAGTCTTAATGCCATTGATATAAGACATTTGTAAAAAAAAAACTTTCTTCCTCAGTGCTATCAAGCTATGTGGAATGTCGCATGCACTAATGAGCTTTCATTTGTTTGATGTGCTAAGCAGTGTTCATGATTTAGCTAAAAACTAGACAATGAGACTTTTAGCGAAGGCAGTAAATGCAGCATTGCATTAAATTTTATCGTCTATAAAGCGCTTTTTAACTGGTTGCAAGTGCAGCTCTAAGCTCTTGAATCTAATATACATACATGATTAAAAACGACGCAAAAATAAATGGCAATACCAACTGTATGCGTATTCCCGTTAAGATAACATCGTGCATATCAAATAAAAGGTACGTGTCTAGATTGCAACTGAAAGATAAGAATCCTTGATGATGGCGGTGAAATGGTAGTGTTGCCTACATTCTCATAATTGTGTAAGAAGTGATGCATAGTAATGACATCGATGATAGGAAAATACCATAATTATGTCGATGACCGATATGTCAAAGTATTTTAATGCTAAAATATTCGATGTCTATGTTTATTTCACAAGTCATAAGGCGAATAGACGTTGAAAGATTAATTTAAAGCCATCAAACATTTGGCAAACGAAAAAAAATAAACACACAACTGATAGATGTGAAAAACTTTTGTCATTCAATATACTTTATAACGCTGTCAAACATTTATAATCATTGGTATGCACTTAATATGACCGTCAAAAAGTTTCATTCATCCAAGCTAGAAATATTTCATAAAACAACTTGTTCAAGATCGATCATGTTACGACATTTCTCTATTGCTAATAGAATCATACTGTGACATCGAATAGTAATAATAATTGATTGGTCTCTTATTTTGTATTTGTTTCTATGATTATTACATAACTTCAATCTTGTACGAAAAAGTATTGACTTTTTATGTAATTCTTTTTTTTTCTTCTTTCTCATCGTATTCAGCACGAGAACAATTGTCGTGTTTCGTAATACCATCTAGCTAAGTATATCAATTTTTCACTTTCTTTCCGAAAATATATTCCTGCTCGTAATGTAGAACAGATTAACATTGGTTAGTCTTATTTGAAACTATAAAATTCATCAGATGGTATGGTCATCCGATTTCTTTTCGGGGTACTCTTCTACTTGAATGATTCAATCGATTGAGATATTAATATTGTCGGAATAGAACAATACATTCTTTGTTCAAACATTTCAGTTGGTACCTGACATCGAAATACGATGAGAATTTTGTTTTTTTAATAATATTTTTATTTAGTCCTTCTTATCATTAAAAAAAAAGGAAGTTTTCATTGTCTATTGACGTCACAAAACACAAATAGATCGTGGGATGGCTATCTTCTGCCCCTATTCATATCGAATAACACGATTGATATTTAACATATGACGACTCAGATATATTTCTATAGTCACATCGAATTCCTTTCGGCAGTTGTCCCGTAGTGGTCTATGTCTCTAGTTTATTCATAATAATGTGATACGAATTTAATGCTGCAATCTTCAATTTTATTAAATAAACATAGACTATACTACGTAAAAAGATCTTCGACTGAATCAAATGTCCACATGGCTAAGACAGACCACATTTGGAATGCTATTTTTCATAAACTTAGTTGTTGCTAAAGATAGTTTTTGTACAAGAAAAACATTGCATTCGTAATTATAGTACAAGAAATTGGTAAACAACAGAAAAAGACTTCGGAGTAATTATCATAACAAAAAAAAAAGAGACGGAGAGACGATCCAAGCCTCTGTTAAACATCTATATTACCCGTGATAATCCACCGAGACTCAGATATTCATTCGCATGATTATTCAAAATCTATCGCATATTTTTGTTTTTATTTATCTATATGTGCAATGAGTGGTACAGAAATAGGAAAACAGATGAATGCGCACGCAACATAAGCAAATATCATAAGCAACTGTGCTGTCACTGAGTAGAAGAAAAAAACAAGGAAAAAAAGCACACCGGGCAGACATATAAACATGCGCACTCGAAATAAATCTATGTACATTTTTCACAAATGCAATATGATATTAATGTTCAGCAGTCATCGAATGATGACGATTGATAGATGAAGGATAAGTCACTGTTAAATTATGCAAACTTCGACTGAGACCTTTTCGTACAGCTGACGCTGGCGTTGTTGGACATGTACGAAAACCGGATGGAGAATTATTCGATTCGTCTTTATCATCATCATGAGCAATTAATTGTTCAACATTCATGTCAGCAAAAACGGATAATGGAAAATCTGCATCAACGTCATTTTCACTCCTTGCAATATATTCTTCATCTAAGATTTGTGCAATAGATAATCCTCCCATTTGTTGTCTTAAAGCACGCATAATATTAACAGAACCAAAATCACCATGTAAATCAAATTGAAATGTAGTAGGAGGTAATACTGGCGGATCATCAAGATCCGGTTCAATTAAAAATGGCGTACCAATAGGATAGTTTGCTGCTGCATTTGCTCGACGACGAGCACGTGCATGTCTAACAAGTCGATAGACTCCGAATGGTGGTAAAACAGTTATAGCTGCCGTTACAGCACCAGCAACAATAATTGGTGAAGCAACAACAACACCAGTTGCAATCATACCACGAATCGTACGACGAAGCCATGGTTTTTCAGGATAAAAATTGTACGGACATCCGAACATACTATAAAAAGTTTAAATAAATATTAAAGATAATTTAAACAAGATATAGAATAAACCTGAATCTGTTACTATGTTGACCAATAAATGGAATTTGATTATAGCGTCGCCCACATAGATAACAAAATTCACATGAACACGATTGGCATGTCATATGAGGACAACCTGTTGAAATCAAATATTATATAATTAAATAAACATATTTTAAATGAAATAATAAAAAAAAAAGACATGCCTCCAGCTCGTTGTATAAGTGAAGAACATTTTGGACATTTTCTTGCATTCCATTGTTCTTCATTTTTTTGATTGATCCATTTTAATAAAAGTCTATCGCCTTTAATAAATTGTTTACATGTTAAATTTTCGTGCCAAGGTGCTGAACAACGAAAACACCAGACAAGCGAACACTCGGAACATTGAACTTGTTTGGGAATTTTCTTATTATTTTCTTTTTTAGTTTTTTTAGTTTTTTCCAACGGAATAGATTTCGTGGTATCCAAAGAATACAGATGACAACAGCGAGGACCTAAACTCAATGAATATAATTTTTTTGAAAAACAAACAAAAGCTTTTCGTTCTCACATGTCTTAGCGCGTGGATTTTGATTAGCATTTAAATATAACTTCAGATAACGTTCGTGTAATGGAGGATCGTATCGTACAAAATTTACTATCGATTCCCTTGTTAAATATTTGTTGCATTCATTCGATACACACGGAATTTTAATTCGACCATCACCTATTGCCGATGATATATGTGCTCGCCAACAACTATTACAACAAAGAAAATAACAGCATGGAGATACTTGTAATACTGCTTGTTCCAAACAAATAGGGCACGGCGAACTAACATAGTTGGGTGGCGTTGGAAATGATTGTGGATAGAGTAAATAGTCAATGATTGTTTCATCATCATCATCAAACGAAACATTATCACCATCACTTACAGTAGCTGTCTTTTCAGCATCTGTCAGTAGTTCTTGTAACTTATCATTATCGTTGAGTAGACGACCTTCAGCGGCGGAAGTCGCCGTAATCTCAATATTATTAGATAGTACTGGTGTATTAGTTAGTGACTGTCGACGACGAATCGATTGTGCAATGGAGCCTGTCTCAATACAATAAATCGTCAGTGAACCTGTCGATGATGCTGCTGACAATGTTGAATTTATTGATGGTGCTGATGTCATAGCGCTCACATTCAGTTTGTTTGACAGAGAACGACAAATAAGATAATTAACATCAGGAGTGTCCAGTGAGTTCGATTCTTTATTTACACGCAGCGCGGACGGAACATCAGTTGAGCTAGATAAATATTGCTCAGCCATCTAAAAGTAGAATCAACGATATGACGCTGTCGTTTTTTCTTGCCATTTCGTAAGAAAAAAAATGAAATTCTAACAACGCAAAAAAGAATATTGTCGCGAAATGCAGCTTCGTTATTCTACATTATGATAAATTATATACAGAAAGAAGAAGATGAAGAAGAAAAAAAAACTGGACGAAACTACTACAGTCGTTAATAGAATAAAACATCATTAAAAGTGATAGTAAATAGATAAATCTCATTGACGTAAGACACATCAGCTTCGTTCACTCACTTTTTTTTTGCTGTGTTAGCTTTCTCTTTCATCTTTTTCTTTTTTCTGTACATTACGACGATCAGCAGTGAACATGCATGCGTCTACTCGTAAAAGTTTCTATCTTTCTCTCTCGATTTTTATTCTCTTAGTAAGATTGTGTACGTGTATGTATGTGGGTGTCTGTTCTCTTTTTTCCTTTCTTTCACGGTGCATATGTTGACGACATCCAACACAATTTGTTATTTGCCTCGACTTGACATGGCTTGCAAAAACGAGAGAAAACGAGAGAATAGTCGTCATTTTCTTTTCTCCTTTCTGTTTAACTACGCTTACTTCTCCCAAAAAAAAAGTGTCCCTTTATAGTTATGTAGGGCGTAGGCTGTAGCTTTGTCAGAATAGAGAAAGGCAAGCAAAAAAAGAAGAAAAAAAAAGAAATCTAGCTAAATGCCTCGCATCACACAAATAGCGACAAAAGAAGGAGAAAAAAATAAGCTAAGATGATTGTCATTTTTACAGAATGGTGAAAAACAACGACGAAAGAATATGAGAAGTAAAATTATTTGAAAAAACCATCTACGTAGATTCTTGTTTGCCATGATGATTGAAACTGAGAAAACTCTAGAGTATGACAAATTTGTCTATTGCTGTCGAGTTGTACACATTATGGCTTCTTTATTGAATACTTATCCAATAGTTTTCTTTTTGTTTTGCCTATTCTGTCAGAAGAATTATGAAAAATGTAACTGTTAGAAAGATATCGAACTGTGTAAATAATATGATGTATAGATATTTTCCGGCGACAACTTATCCTTGACAAAGTCATAATAACGTCGAAGATTTCTTTGTTTTTGCCTCTCATGAAACTTAGAATTTAGAGAAGGATTAAATAATTGTAAAAATCCAAGTTTGATAACCTCACCAATACAAACTATACAGTACGATATATCCCATCGTTATTGACTCGAGTATGTTAATCAGTTATTAGCTAAGACATTAACTTTTTATCTGATTCAACGATACTGTTATATTCATTAGGAATCAAGGACGTGTTGATTTTAGATTAATAAAATCAATTAGCGTTTATGTAAATACAACTGCGATCTTAATTTTTGCTTTTCTTGTATCCAAAAGCGGAACTCAAGAAACTTTCTTTTCCGATTGGTAGTAACATCGTCAAGTTTATATCCTTGCATTTTATTAATATATAATATATTTAAGCCTATGTACTTTTTATTCAAATTACATTTCATTGATAACTAAGTATATATTCATACCTTTAAACTTCATTTACAACACAGGGCAAAAAGTTCGATGTACGATATGATGGAAATTGAGCTAAGTTTTTGTTGACTACACATACACACGCAAACTGAAAATGCAACCAAAACAGATCGATAAGTTCCAGTTGAAAAAAGTTAGGATCATTATTTTAAATAAACAAAGCAGATCGATATGAACAACTACATTGAGATTGGCAAGAGCGCTAGTGATAAGAGGAGGAAACTCGTGCATTTTTTTTAAACCACTGACAAAAACATGAACAATGAAAAAAAAGAAATTAAGATAATCATAATACAACATAATACCATCACGAGAGAAAAGAAAAATATATACTGCGGCTATGATCGCATCACGTTCTACATTTGTTAAATAGACAACGAAAGAGGTAAATATTGGATGAATTGGCGCGTAAAAAAATAACTTGAATTAAGATACCGTCGCTCTGTTGAATGTACTAGGGACAGATTGAGTATTGAATGTTATAGGTTTGGATGGGCGTGATTGAGGATGACTACGAGCTTCTTCTTCTTCTTCGTCATTTTCGTCGAAGCTTACTAAAGTTTTCATTTGGTTCTTTTGAAAACGATCAGCGACAATAGCGATGAGAGCTGCTCCTTTGCCACTGCCATCATCGGACAATGTTAATTTGAACTAAAAATATACATTTTGATTAATAAAAACAAATAGACATCAATCTTAAAATGATCATGAGTAAAAAGAGAAGTTTAAGTTATGTGAGCGTAGATTCTTGTCCCCGAAAAAAGCAGCTGTGTGAGTTTATGTTTCCTGGTCAATAATTATCGTGTAGTAATGTTCATGTTCTTTCAAATTACTTTTTTCTCTGTGCCGCTCCTGCTAATGCTGCACCGATACATGAACCATCATCTGGTACTTCTAGTAGAAACTGAGATTCAGATATTTTTTCTTTTGTTTAGAATTTTCAATAGATGAATAACGGTTTCAGTACATAAATTCATTCAGAGAGCAATGGTTTTATTATTCAATGAAAAAAAAAGAGTCCACATACTTTGATGTTTTTATTGACGAGATTTTTCATACATTTTTCCATGTTTCGTTTAAATCTGGGATGATATCGATACAGAGAACCGTCAACACCAACTGTCACGTTCGGTTTATTGATTCGATTAATTATGACAGTGAGACCTATACGAAATATAAGTTAAATACAATTGCATGATTGCTAAGATGAACTCTTAGAAAAGTATGTGTAGAAATTTTTGCGAATTCAAGTGTGAAATATATCAGAGCTGCTTATCGTTGCCCGAAAAGGAAATGATGTTTCATTCTTGAATTTCTGATCGAAAATTTTCAGATTCAATAGTCAATCTGAGAATGCAAGTCGAATAATTCCTACCAATTTTTTTTTATTTGTAATTTTCTGATCGAAATCTCTCGAATTATACGTCGGAATGATTCAAGCGAATCTCCTTCAGCCATCTCATATAGCATATATTTTAAATTAACATTTTTATGAAAAAATATAGACTCAAAATATTAATACAAGCGTTTTTTTATGTTGATTATATACATATTTACAGCTATGATATATATTAAGAAAATTTAATTATCGTAAAATTTTGTCTTCAAACTTTATTTGGCTGGTGCTGGATCAAATGCAATATACACATTTAAGCTTCCTATCCAGATTTCTGCTTCGGAAAGGGTCAATCCAATCTTTGGAAAAGCACTGTCGTCTTTGTTCGAGGCGTAAAACACTGACAACAACCTGGTAGCTTTCTAAAAACAAATATTTACATGCGCCAGCTAATTTTGCAGCTCGTTTAGATACATTTTTGCAAATATGTTGTATAATTGCACAATCATCGAATGTTGGATTCCTAATACCCATATCTTCAAGAACACGTCTTGTATTGGCAAATGCAATGCCTTCGTCTGTTTCGACAGTACTAACAAATTTAGTATAGAAACCACCACGTGTAAACAGAGGCGTACGATAATCGCCATAACCATCACGTTGACCAATAAATATTAGATCTTGCTGCATTAAATCAAGTATAATTAAACGAACAATTTCACCCATGTACATTCCACTAATCATTTTCTCAAAACTAAAAGCAAAACGATAGATGAATAATAGCGTTCTAGTCATAATTGCTTTTGCTTTCGCTTACATTTGCTTGCCAGGGTTGACAGATGATAAATCAACTTCTTCGTCGTACTTTGTTCGAATATGATTTAAACGATTATTATTACCGAACGCTCCCCATTCCATATTTATAATGACTTGTTTTGGTTCATTGTAATCTCCATCCCAAGTACCGACACGGTCTAGTTTTTCCATGTAACATGCATTTGTACCCGTTCCTAATATAAGACCGATGGCTGTATTTTGGTCTTTGTATGCGCACGCCATCAATGTCCCAACAGTGTCATTAACAAGGGCAACACATTTTACATTGATATGCTAAAAGTAGTGGCAAGACAAAAGAATGTGAAAGAATGCTACTTTTGTACTTTTAGTGTTTTTGAATAATTACTTTTTCATCAATGGCATCTTGTAGCATTTTAACAACATCACTGTTGACAACATCGGAACATGTAAAACCTTTAGTCCAAGATGTTAATCGGGCGGATGCAAGACCTTCTTGTTTACACGGAAATGAGAATGTAAATCCTAAAGAAAAATGATTTGATGGATGACGCATATTATTTGACTCGCAAATTTTACCTAATGGATAATGAACATCGGGTTTATCAAGGTTTTCTTTTTTCATAAAATCCAAAAGACAGTCAGCAAGATGACGAAAGAGCTAAATCAATAAAATACACGTATGAGTCAGATTTCTTACTTTTCATTCTACAGAGTACTTACATTGACACCTGGGCCAAGCATAATTGATTGTGGTATGACGAATATCTTTGATTTTAAATCAATTTTTGGTTGTGGTAACAAAGTAACGAGTAGAACACGAAAATTCGTTCCACCTAAATCTAATGCAAGAACCTGACCAACTTCTGAGCCATCGGCGATATTTCTAACATAGGTAGGAAACATTTTAATATCCGCATTTTTATGTGTAGCTGGAGAGAGACCAGCCTCCATTTCTTGCTCAAGTAATTGCATGATTTGACGCAGTTTTTCATCATCAAGACGTAAAGATTCGAGGACTTTTTCAATCTAGCAGAAAAAAATGCACAATAATATCGATGAATATTGAACGTAATGACCTCTATAGAAAAAGAGTTAAAGATTCTAACCGTTGGGAATAAGGTTAGAGAGAACCAGTCACGTCTACCATCAAGCAGTAATCTTATAATAAAAAAGAAACAGGAGACTTATAATTATTATTGAATATTTGCCGTATATGATTATACTCTTTTTTGTCGGTTGTGAATCGTATTTTACTCTGTGCTGTTTGCATGTTTTGATAACAGATAATAATTTTAAACTGAATTTTTTTCAATGGCATAGATTTGGCGATCTTGCATTCTTACGTATTGACTCATGAAATCATTGAATAAGACAAATACAAATTAAATTCAAGCTTTCAATTTTTTCAACTGTTTTAAATAGTTAGTGTTAAAAAACAATTTCTACGATTACATCGTTATGTTTTTGTTTCTTCTTATTTTTCTCACATAGAAACTTGATCTCATTCATTACTAGTAGTAATCAATATTCATTGGAATCTTTTGCTTTTTGTTTCATGATAGAAGAAAAGACAGTCTGTTCTTGTTTTTTATTTGTACGTTATTTTCTTGTTAGAAAAACGAGGAAACAAGTAAATAAATATATATTCTACAAACTAGCGATTTTTTTGCCAAGACTACATAGTCCGTCTCGATTATTTCCTGTTCTCCGCGTTTTTTCCTCTCATCAGGTTTTTCATATATATATATATATATAGCATAGTTTCAGCGCCCGATTTTGTCGTTCTGAACGGGGGTGTGTCATACGCAACATATTGCGTTGGATAAATGCTTTTTTCTGCAGTTGTTTATTGCTTTTTTCTTTCTCTGGAAACTGACGTTGTATTGCATCATGCAGTGTTTTTTCTCTTGCTTATTTCACACAAAAAATACGTTATAGCAACTATACTATTTCGAATGAAACGTAATATTTAGTTATTATCAATCATAAAGAAATTGATTTTATTCTTACTTGATCATTGGACTCTGGATGACGACTTTTAAGGGCATAAGTTTGATTAGGGCTAGCTGCTTTGTATCCTATGTAAGCTGCAATGCCAACGACTGAGCAAGCAGTTAAGCTATAAAATCCAATACGTAGAGTAGATGCCAATGCGTCATCTTTAATTATTGTCGCCAATGAAGACATGATTTAAATTAATTTGATATAATTGATAAAAATTTTAAAGCATTACCAGTAATTTTAGTATATGATGCACACCAGATACTCGTGAAAATACGTAATAAGAGTCTTAGTTCTACGATTCGTTTCGAGATTAGAAAATAAAATTTATAACGACAATTATAAATTCAAATCATAAAATAAAAACGTGCTACCAACCGATGCAAGTAAATAAAGTATAAATTTTCGTTTCGTTTCGTGTACGAAGAATAGCAAAGAATAAGAGAAGAGAAAAAATTATTTTAATCCAACCAAATTATATTTTTGTTTATTTTTTTGTTCTCTTATTGTCGCACGGTTAATATGTGCAGTTGTGTGTTGTTGAATAAATATGTTCGAGCGTGTGTATGTTAGATGGGAGTTGCCTATCGTTGCTCTCGTTTTTATACAAAGCAAGTATTTTATATGCTATAGAAAGCATAGAGAAGCATAATTTTCTTTTTTTTCCTTTGCCCTTCTTTACTATTATTCCGCTCGACGATTTCTTCTTTTTTTTCCTCTTGTTTTCTATCGCTGACGACGTCATCAGAGAAAAATGATGGAAGTATATAATGTTAGAGCCTATCTAGAAAGAAACAAAAAAATATATCTTATAGAACACAAACAATCGATAAGCGCCTAACATCTTAGACGCGCATTTCTTTTTATTTTTGAATATGTGGCTTTCTCACAAGATAATAATTTCAAGGGAAATTACTGATATTTTCTCACAAAAGAAAAACATCGATCAATATTGAAGTTGAATAGGCAGATTTTTTTTTATTATTTTTTTTTTATTGACTAAAATGGTTAATTTCCAGACAAACAAACGAATAGAACATGCAAAGTTATATTTAAAGAAAAAACGAGTATTTTGTTTATATGAGAAGATAGTATGTATATGTCATAGTCTATGTTTTCTTGATTTGCTAATCTTTTTTTCTCATTAACCTATTCTTTCCACAGTCGGCAAAGTCAACAGGTACACAATCATTATCGCGAGCCGAGTATGCCAGATCACTATCGCATTCCATCACGCTATGCCAACCTGAATAGAAAATTCTTTTCAGAAAAACAAAGTCATAAAATATCATTTATTTATACCTGTGGCACAATAATGAAACTTATTGCAATGTACAGGATCAGCATAGTAACCATTTAGGCGACCAGCACATGAGAAAATTGAAGGTAATCCGAATGGTGTGGCTGGTGTAGTGGTACTGGTGGTGGTGCTGGGTGTGGTGCTGGTGGTGGCTGTTGTTGTTATTGTTGTTGTTGTTGTCGTTGATTTAACAACAGCACGAGTAAATGAATGAAGCCACTTTTTATGTGACGAGGCTTTCATGTAAATAAGCTTAGCTTAAAAAGAAAATTCTTTCTAACAAGAGATTAAAATACCTGATGGTGGTTCAAACGACTTTGAGTTTTGACAACCAACAAGACTAGCCGACAAACAAAGACGTAACAAAGGTTCCCAAGCAAGACCTGCTGCACACATTGATCGATAATCGCGTCCATCCACACATACATGATAGATACGACAGTCTGTAGAATCTCCAAAGTAACCATCAGCTAGAATAAGAAAAGTCAATTAGCATAAATATAAACAGACTAGGATTTCTTTTTTTCTTTTTTCTTTTTACATACAAACACAACTGAATCGAATTGAACGTTGGCGTTTAATTATATCCAATGAGCCTGAATTACTTGTTAGGATATCCGGTGTCGTAGCTAAATAAGTTGATTATATTATAATACAAGGTATTTATACTACTGCAGAGCATAACTTACTTGGCGGTGCAGTAGTTGTTGGTGTTCCGATAGGAGTATCAGGTTTACCTCCATGACATTCAGCTTGTTCGTATGGTTTACATGTTTTTGTAATACGATCAAATAAAAATTTATTTGGACATGTGCGTTGCTCTAAATGACCATCAACACATTGAACATATTGTGGACAAGTAACTGGATCAGCAAAACGCATTTGACTGGAATAATTAGGTGGACAAGTATTTTGACCTTATAGACACACAACTGTGAACATATTTGATAGTAAACATATCGATACTTACATTCAGTAACTTCATGAGGCCAAGCACAACTTTCTAAACCTTTAAATTACATATTTTATAGATAGAAAGAAATTTTTTAATCGAAAAAAGAAAATTCTTACGTGAACTCCAAACAAGACCCGATGAACAAAGTAATGAATCACTTTGACCTCTTACACCTATAATAAACATTTCGTATGAAATGGAGAAACCTTTTTGTTTTATCATTACCATCACAATAATGAAATACCGAACAATCATAAGGATCTGGAAAGTATCCGGAAGTGCCCACTGCACATTCAATAGGTGAATAGGGTGGTGCAATTTGTCCTTCACCTGAGTAGAACAAATTAAAAAACAATCAGTACACAAATGTTTTCTCACATTCAGCATCTTTTGGCCATAAACATCCGTTAGCACTAGCTGAGAAATGTAATCCAGAATTACAACGATGTGTCGATTGTAATACACCCAAAACACACCAATGATATATCGAACACGAGCTTGGATCAGCAAAAAACCCAGTTGCACCAAGACGACACGTATAATTACCTTTAGCAGTTAGAGTACCTGTTGTTGTCGTGGGTTGCATTGTTGTTGTAGCTAAATTCGAAAATAATTTGATTCGAAAAATATCATTAAGTGCAATAGTATACCTTCTTCGTAGCCCCATTTTCTTCTACCACCGATACATGATGTAATACTTTGTGCACTACAGCCAATTTTGATTTCATCCCAAAGCATGCCATCTTTACACCAACGTACTGATTGTGTACCACCATAACAAACATGAAATTTACGGCAATCATCACGATCAGCATAAAACCCATCGTCTAGATTTTTCAGAACAAAAACATGAATTTTTATTTTTATGTGAATTCGTTTTTCTACCAGAACAACGTGAACCAACTTCTGACATATAGGCTATAGCAGGTGATTTTTCTTCCTTGGTAACTATTTTCAAAATAGAAAAATTAAACTAAGTAAATCGATTACACTTATTAACTTACATCTAGCGAGTTTTTTCGTTTGTGATGTTTCATTGCGCTTTGACGATAATGATATTTTATCTTTTTTAACTGTACTAGTTGCTAAACTCACACCGAGTGTACATAAAATAATAGTTACTAAATCATTGAACAATTGTAATATAGACAGCTATGATACAAAGAAAGACTTACGGAATAGAATTGAATATCTGGTAACCATTGTTCGTATGCTCTTGTTCAGCTTGAATTCTATTCAGTCAACGGTGATGTTCACTTGGAATGTGCGAATCAGTTGAATGCAATGGTTCTCTTGTCAAACTTGTCAATTTATTGCTCGCAATCGACACATCAGAAGACACGTTTAGGCACGTTTCATTCAATTAACAGTCGCCGTTCACATAGGTGAAAGATTAGAACGAGACGTTATTGTTGCGGATTGATTCATGTGGATAAGCTTCGAACAACACATGACGCGATTAACAGTTATCAAACTTGTTAGGTCGGCATCTTATGTCTATATGGATTTGCACGACTTCATAACAATAACAACGACCGAATTATATGACATTTATTCCCGTAAGTTGTCAAATATTCTAATAGACACCTTTCTAGTCCATATTAACTTCGTTTTTACTTACATAAACAAATCAAAACGACTGGTTGTAATTTCGATGTTTTATGCATTACAATTTATTAGAATAATAGTATTTTATTTTTAAAATTTATTATTATTATAATTGATGCTACAGCTTATATACAAACAGATGAATAGTGTTACCTATATGGTAGCTTATTCTCAATGGCCATCACGGTTCAATGAATTCGAAGAAGAAAAAAGAAATTCAATAGTGCGTGACGCTTCACTTTGTACACTCAAGTGTTATCACTTAGGAATATGACTAGAACGATCAGCATACGACGAAATACATGCTTCAAACGACCTCGAATTTGTCTTGTTATTTATTATATATGTGCAATTTTAGTCATAGCTTATGGTTTAATTCTATTCAATCGTTATATATTTCAACCTTCTCCAAATGTTTATTTTCCATTTCAAATTTATCCAGCATACAACACAGTTATTCAAGCAAACGGTATTTTTCTTCAAAATCCAGGCTATAAAATTCTTCAAATGGTTAAACATCGTTTATCAGACAAATTTACTGAATTTCATGATTTTCTACAATATCAAGATGAATTAAAACAATATTTTACCTTAGTTCCACGAACTTCTTATCATATTACATTGGCTGATTTTAGAAATAATACAAATCTCACAAAAGAATCTATTAACGAATTACAAGAGGAACAAAAACGAATGGATAAATATAATACAACTGTAAACTGTGATGGTAAAGATATATTTATTATTCATACAAGTGAGATCCGTATGACAATTGAGCTCGACAATGCTTATGTTGCTAGAATCAAACGGTATCATCGACGATGGAGTAAAAAATTTCCTGAAATAATATCCAATCTCTATACACCATTCTATATCACAATTGGATATCAATATAAAAATCTACCAAATGTAACAGTTCTTAAAGAATTCAGCAGACTTTTAAGAGATTGGGAAGGAATACCATTTGATATTGAACTTGATTCTATTACAATATGTTCATATCAAGATGCTATTACCTATGAACCTATTCTTCATCGTAAACACTGACACGTAGATTACTAATGTTTTTAATGCAGCCTACGAATATCAACTAATAATAAATAAATCCGACTATTACTCCTTCACATGAATTATTTTTTGTTATTTCTCCTTTCGAAAAGAAAAAGTGAAATAATGATAATAGTAAGCGCATCGCTAATGCAAAGACAAGAGAAGAATATACAACCGAAAAATAAACTGAATAATGAGTACGAGAAAGAGAGTAAAGATTGAGAAAGAGAAAAACAAAGAAAGAGAGAGAGTTTTAGATTCATGCAAATATTGCACACAAAACTGTTCGTTCTCGGAGTGGTGTGCACGACAACGTCTCTTTTCTTTTTGTTCTCTTTTTCTATTTTTTGTACATAACAAACACACGCACGCACATCAACTGTACAGCAAAGCTAAAACACACATACAGTGACAAAAAGAAAAGATTGAACAGAATTATTTTTGGCGCGAATTAGAACCACGAGTTTCTTCTTCTTCTTCTTCGTCGTCGTCGTCATCATCATCATCGACACCACCATATGATGACTAGATAGATAAAAATAATAAAATTAATCTCCAATAAGAAATACATACTTGATTTGTCTCGTCCATCATCATATCTTCGTCATCGCTCATGACACGAGTTTTTCGACGACTACTTGTCGTACTACTTCCATTGCCAGATGGACGCGATTGAGCTTTCTTAAAGTGAAAAAACAAATAGGAATTGATAATCTCTATTCCTAGGAAAAATTTGTCTTACCTTTTTTACATTAGTCTCTTTTTTTACACGTTTCTTCAGTGGTTCTGAAATTTAAAAAAGTATTATTTTAATTAAAATCATACGAAAATTAGGCTTTTTACCATCGTCATCAGATTCTCCTTCCGAATTTGAACTAACAGGAATTTCTCCTTTCTCCATACGTTCGCGAGCATTCGTAAATACAGATTGAAGAATAATTGAATCCTCATAGATCTAAACAATCAATCGTATCTTATATTAACACTAGCAAGATAGAAAAACAAAATTCTTACAGTTGAATTTTCCATATTAAATTCTTGTGCATTTTTACAGAGAAGCATAACATCAGCTTCAATTTCATTTAAACTTCGATAACGATTTTCTCCAAGTTTTTTCTAAAGAAATTCAAATCAATCATGAGAAAAATCGTTTGTTTGCATCTCATACCTTAATTTTATTAAAATCAACTGGATTTCTAATGGTTTCATAATATTCTGGCAGTTCTTTTTGTGTTGGCAATCGCATAAATGGTTTACTCAACACTCGGTTGTCATCACTAAAGAAAGTATTCGATCAATAAGAAAAATAAAAATGTCATCCATACTTGTCTCGATATTTAATAACAAAGTCTAACAATGTTGTCATTTGTTTTAATAATTTCGCTGGTATCGGATCGTCGGAATATTTTTTATTCGTTTCTTTTAGTTTTCTTTTTCCAGCTCGTCGACCAACTTTAGTAGGAACTGCATCCATATCATCATCATCTTGTTTACTATTGCTCTCATCTTGTTGTTCATCATCGTCATCATCAAAATCAATATTAGTAGCAGTACGTCGTTTTCGTCGACGTTTTTTGTCTTGATCAGGTGTACCTAACGTTCCATCTTCAATAGCCTAAACAGTCAGATTTATAATTAGAAAAGCCTTCAATACTAACTAGTATATCTGGAAAGCTTATTGATTAACTAATGTGACTTTCGCTAGATAGAGCGAACTTCCTGTGCAGTCACAAATGTTTACATAAACAGGAAGAACAATAAGTCTGGATAGTAAACCGACCTGATATGGAATTCTTACGCTATCCATTCGCACTAACTTACTACACGAGTCCGTAGTATGCATACTATCGAAAGATAAATACGAAATAAACAAACACTCGTGCTTTGTCCAGGGTTGTTGCATCGTTAATCGTATCAAGATCATTTTGTGACAATTGTATGGAGACAAAAAGGAAAAGCAAATTCAAAGTATGCTATCATTTGATAATAGATTAACATAAAGCCAGGTGAATAGATTAACACTGGCGGAGCGTAGAATCTATGAGTCTGAGAAAAATGATACGTTACATGGATGAATTTTAGAAGCAAGAAGACTTTACGTATCCGTATAAGACTTATGTTTCGATAACGAAAAAAAAAGTATTTACCCTCAGCCATTCTTTATCTGTTAATGAATCTGAATAATCAACTTCTTTTCTTTGTCTAGTTCCACGTCCAAATAAATCTAATGTTTCTTGGTCGAGTATAGTTTTTTCTAATTCTTTAGGATCTTTTGTTAGCCATGCCGGTAATTCTGACATTTCAAGAAGTCGCGGCTTACGATTTGGCATTCTAGCTTCAGCGTGTCTTCGTTCGCGATCCATTCTCTACAAGCAAACAAAAACTCTTCATTCTACTTCTTAGATCAATTGAAAACTAACATTAAATAAATTGTATTCATCTTCACTTCGTGCAATCATTTGATTGATAATTTCATCGTCGGGAACTTCATCTTCTTCTTCGTCTCCTTCTTCAGTTTCTTGTAGAAGAATTTGTTGTAAAAATTGTTTTCGTTCATTTCCTGTTGATTTATTATTAAACATTCCAGCTTGAATAACTTTTTCATCGACATTTAATTTATAACGAGCAGCTGCTAAGATCTTTTCTTCAACGCTATTAACTGTCATTAAACGTAGAACACGAACTTCATTCACTTGACCTATACGATGTGCACGATCTTGTGCTTGTAAATCCTTTAGAAAAGAAAGATTAATTATACTAGTTTTTGTTTTGCCTTTAAAAGTTTACTTGATGTGGATTCCAATCGGAATCGAATATAATAACTGTATCAGCTGTTTGTAAATTTAAACCGAGACCACCAGCACGTGTTGATAACAAGAAAATGAAATAATCAGCTTTGGCTTCACTAAATTTAGCTAATAAATCACCACGTTCTTCAGATTTTGTTTGACCATCAAGACGCAAATAAGTGAAATCTATACAAATTAAAAAAGAAACGGTTTCTTAAGACAATTTGATAATTGAAATATTTACTTTTATAAGCGAAATAATCTTCCATAATTGTCATTAATGATGTCATTTGACAGAAAAGTAGAACACGATGATTTGTTACTTTCAATTTTGGTAATATACGATCGAGTAATTCAAACTTGCCCGATGCTCGATAAAGATCAGCTCTACAATAAAGAAAATAAATGATGGAAAGAAGCTTCTCTGTTTCTTTACCCATTACAAACACCATTTGTATAATTTAAATAATCACCAATTTTTTCTTCTAATTCATTGAACATAAACGGATGATTACAGATTTTACGTAATTGCATAATTGTATTCATGAGTGCTTTTGGATTACTGCCTTTATCATTCTAGAAATAGAGAACATCATGTGATCGTTCAGTTTTCTCTCAATGTATTTTCTTACTTTATCTTCGGTAAGAAGAATGCCACTAGCTTGCATATGATTGTATATGACTCGTTGTAATGCTGACATATCACATTTAATAACATATTCAATCTATAAGAGTAAATAATCGAATGAAACTTCGTTTTTCTTCATATAATAGAAAGTATACTTTATCTGGTAGTTGTGATTCGACTTCTTTTTTCAGACGACGCAATAGAAATGGTCGTAGAACTTTATGCAAACGTCTGATAATAAGTAAAGTTTCTTCAGGATTGAGTTCAACTTTTTCGCATGTCGTTGCAAATGGTGCATTAAACCATTGTTCAAATGTTGTACACGATTTAAATATGGATGGTAAAAGAAAATTTAGTAATGCCCATAGTTCAGGTAGCTTATTTTGTAATGGTGTACCAGTTAATAACAAACGATGTGGAGCAATATAATGCGTATTGAGTATTTGTGTTAATTTACAATTATGATTTTTCATACGATGACCTTCACTAGAAAATAGACGAAAAACAAAATTTAACACACTGAAAAGAAATTCTAAAAGAAAACAAACTCGATAATCATATAACGCCATCTGATTTTTGCTAGTAATGCTTTATCTTTGATAATATATTCATATGTTGTTAGTAGGACATTGAATTTACCGTTTCGTAATGTATAGCCAAGTGTTTTACGTACTTGTGGATTACCTTTAAAGATAATTTTTGAAACAGCTGGTGACCATTTTTCAAATTCATTCACCCAATTAGCTAATGTTCTAAACGATATATTTCAAAGGTTTGAGAGTATACCGACGATTAGTATGAAAACAACGACACTTACGACAATGGTACAATAATTAAATAGGGTCCATTGACTTTTTTAACTTCCATTAAATAAGTAATCAAAGCGATTGTTTGAATTGTCTAAACAAACAAATACGTATTTGTCGTATGAATTACTCAAATGAATATCGTACATACCTTTCCAAGGCCCATTTCATCCGCCAGAATACCATTAAGATTATTATTATATAATGAAACAAGCCATTCAAGACCTTGTATTTGATAGGGTTTTAGTGATCCTCCCACAAGAAGTGCCGATTGTTTAATAACACGTTCTCGAACGCGATGTGCCACAGCATAGTAAGAATCCAATGATGATGTATGATATTCATCATCTTCTGTTGCTTGTTTAGCTTTAGTTAAAACTTCTTTCACAATTGTTTCATCTTCTACAACACCCTTTTCTTGTTCATCGGGTGTTGGTGCTGGAATAGTAATAGTTGTTTCAGCTAGCCGTGCAGCTGTTTCTCGTGCTGTTTCTTCATCATCATCGTCACTGTTATCTGCGGGTACAGCTTGCCACCCGGGATTTTTTTCTAGCCAACTATCAAGTTCCGATTCTAATGGTGCATCAGGTCCATCTTTGATTTCTCCTGTTGATGTATTTTTCACTTTTACATGTAAATAATTTTGTTCATCATTTGAAGAATTCGTTTGTTTCTTTTCCATTTTTTTCTTTTTCAAATCATTTTGATGTTCTTTTACAAGATTTACTAAACTTATTATATACGCATCGGTTTGTGATAATAAGTAAGCTAAACGTTTATCTTTTTTCTCATCAATTAATTTTCTATAACCATCTTCATCTTCATTCATTAAACGACGCATACGTTCACGTTCACGTTTTTCTTGTTCTTTCTTTTGTTCACGTTCAGTATTTTGATGCCATGATAGTATCGAACGAGCTAATTTACTAGATTTCAATTGTATTGATTTATGATATTCTTTAAAGTCTCGTGCAACATTTAATACAGCTGTTAAATATTCTTGATGTTTTTGTCGACGTTTACGATCGATTTCAGCTTGCTGTTGTTTTTCTAATTTTTCTGTTGCACGAGCTTCTCGTAAACCGAATTGTTTTGGACGCTTGTATAAACGTGGATAGGTTCCCGTTTCAAGATTGGCATCTAAACGCATACAAGTAACTATTTCAGAACGTAATTGCCGTTGAAAATTTAATAGTTTAAGTGCTTTGAGTTCAATCATAATTCTTGTACGAATATTTTCTTGTGTTACACTTTGTAAAAGTTTTTCAAGTTCATTTATACGTAGTATGATATTATTTTGAATACGACTATCACGTTCGTTAATAATGTCGTGTACATCGACACCTATCGGTTTTGTTATTAATGTTACACGAAGATTATTTAATCGATTTGTGCCGTTTTCGGTTAGAGATGGAATTTGTATTGATTGATTCGAATAGTTTGTAGTACCATTGACCTGTATAGGTGGATAATAGCGTGGACCCATATTACCATTCACAGGTGGTTTATAACGAGAATCCATTACTATTGATGGATTCGATGATTGTTTAGGTACCATTGCATTTGGTGGATAGAATTGTTGCTGACGTTTTATGACAGCAAGATGATGTTCAGGGATAGGTTGATTACGTACGAGATATTTATATGCACTTATTTGATGATTAAATAAATTTAATTGAGCATTATTCATTGTTAAAGGTGCTGATGTTGACATCATCTGATTATCAGAATTTGACATATACACTAAGAGAGATAGAAAATTTAGAAAACAAAATTTTAATATTCGAAATATATACTTGGTGGTTGTTGTTGTTGTGACGTTGATGGCGGTATTTGATTCATTTTTATTGGATAGTATTCATGTGAAATAAAATAGTTAATGCTACATCATAGAAAAGAATCTAGAAGAACAAAACTTAATGGAAATAGTCAATAGAATTGTTAGCATTTGCTTTAGCAGTCAATTCTAAATTACATTTATTCTTTCCATTACGTTACGTGAGTTGAGGAGTGAGAGAAAACACAATCAATGTTAAAAATGGACTAATGAAAATCGTGTATTTCAAATTTTCTTGTCAGACACAATAATTATGATATAAACTACTAAAAATTTATTATATTTTCATCTGTATTTTTGCTTTTTGAAAAATGTGAGTTTTACATCACAGATGTCGCCACCTCTTTATTGCCATTAAGTATTTGATTGGCTAATTCTATGACTGTGAGGGTGTGGGTGTGGTGTGGATGGGTGTGAACGAAGATAAGACACCCACACCCACACTCACGTCGCTCACGATCTGTGGATATCCATGCGCCATAATCATTAATATAAGTCTTTAGGAGCCTCAGTGGCACAACATCACAAATAGAATATACAAAGTCAGCACCCCTATAAAATTGGCAATCATATCCCAACTTTCACTCTCACACCCACAACTCAAAAATGGTCGCAAGCAAAGGAATGTATGCTGCTTGTATTTGCTCATACTGTTTTGTTTCTCTATACGTACTGTTAAAACTCAGTGCGCTTTTTTTGATTCTGAGAAAAGGTAAGAGACAGGATGAAAATTCCGTTGGTTTTGCCAACTTACCGATTATTATGCGACTTCTATTCACGTATATAAGGATACAAAATGAAAAAAATTCAATAGCTTTAGAAAAAATCGAAACATGCACTTTCTGTTCTTACTTACCATTAGCTGCTTGCTATTTCTACCATTTGCTTGTCAATTCTTAACTGGGTCAGCATCAACGCTGCTTACTTACACGGGGAGAAATTTAACATGCTCCAATCAAGTTGATACTTTATACAATGGTTCAGCGACTTATCAAAGTAATCCAGGTCAATTAGGAGCGTATTATTGTATTATGGCAGTAAGTAATACACTTGTTAACAACTTAACTTCTACTAGCATCAGCCGAGGTGCTATATACACGTGGAATCTGTACCGAAATATTGCTGTCCATCATTGTGGATTCTCAACAACGATGGATATTGGCTACGGAAATTGTACCCTATATCCCTTTGAGACTGCAACATCGATGCAACTATGCGTCTGTTCCACAAATAACTGTACTGCAACTTACTCTACTTGTCAAGCGTCAGTCAATCAAGCACTTGCTTCGCCTCCACCATTGATACCTGTTCTTCAACCCACTCTATCGAACACTATAACATGTCTGGATTACTATGTCAACTATTCGGCTGTATATAATATTATACCCCCTGTGTATTTAGGTTGTGCCTATATAATTGCTTCTGGGGCACCAAATATGTCGGCATGTTATTCCTATACGCCTAACCACACTCTGATATGCAGTGTTTTCTATGATCCAATATCTGGCAATTTTCAACAAGCAGCGATGATCGAAGGTGATTATGAATTATGGATGGAAAATATGATAATAAATGCGGCAGTTATTAGTTCGAATAGTTCGATTGGTAACTTGTATCAAACGTCCACAAGTATAGCGGTGATAATGTTCGGTAGTTCTGTACAATCTAACGGGGCATTCTGTCTTTGTACAACAAATAATTGTAATGTTAACTTTTCAACATGTACAAATGGTATGAACATACCTTCATATATTTGGGCTATTAATGGATCAACATCAGTAACATCAACAGCGCCGACAACAAACGCATCCAGAGCTACTACTATATCAAGTGGATCAACTGCAGTACTGACAACAAGCACACCAAGAGCTACTACTATATCAAGTGGATCAACTGCAGTACTGACAACAAGCACACCAAGAGCTACTACTATATCAAGTGGATCAACAATCGTACCTACGACAGCAATATTGACAATCAGCACGCCAATGTCCAGAACTACAAGTGCCAAATCATCTACAGCAACATCGGCACAGTTTCAATATCCATTTATGAGATTGTTTCTGCAAATAACAGTGTATCTTCTAGCGAGACTATGTTTGAATCTTTGAATAACAAAGTATGTATCTAAAGACTGCCTGGTAACAATTCAATTATTTTATCGATCTCTTCGTTTCAACACTGAAATATAACTAATACCTCTTAACCACACTAGTTAGCCTGCTTGCCTTTTTGTTGTGCGCGTTTTAATTTATTAATCTTGTGCTAATAATTTTTAAAGTCAATATCTATTCAAGAACCTGACCCTCATAAAACTTGATTTGGTTCGATGAATCTTGGGTGTGGGTGTGGGTGTGGGTGGGTGTACAGGGGAGAGTTATGCATACCCACATCCTCAAGATAGTATATGCTTGATTATGAAATTCATTTTTCTATGATATTTTGTTTTTGATCAATACAAATCTTCTAATCGAGTATTGTATGCCTGTGGATCGATATGGCGGTTACTCGTTTAAAATAATCCAGATGCATAGTAATACTCAAGTATTAACACATCAGCCTATGATGAAGACGGTTCTTATTAACATTGTCGAGAAATGAGAGACTTCTGCACGAATATGTTTGTTTTTTGAATGATATTCAAGGATTTCATGTGTCGCTTCATCAACACTAAAGCATGACACATTTTCAAAATTATATGAACAACTAAAACTACGACTTAAATATAGAAAAGAGTGCGGGATTTACATCTAGAAACGAAGTTCTATGAATGCAACAAACATATTCTTTTACATCACAAAAATACTAGTTTTTTTTGTTAATATGAATTCCGACAACATTCAGTCTGGCAGTAAAGGAACCACGAAAACATATTGATGTGAAATAAATGTTTCTCATTCATCTATTTTCTTTCATTAAAAATGCTAAGCAACTGGCTTTTGTTTTCAACAACCTCTGTTTACTCTTTCTCCGATCGTATGTTGCTTTAAGAAGAAACAAAAAGTTCAAGAGTGGCGAAAATGTTTTGCTAGGAAGTAAAAATGCTGCTATGACGCAGCTGAGTGACTGTTTTCATTTTGAGAAATACTGCAGTCAGTCAATCGTTAGTTTTTAAACTTGTCGTCAACATCATCTCGTAGACAGTGACTACTAATCGTGAGTATTTATAATAACACTGCATATTATTAACTGCGAATCGTCTGATAGCTTGTTCAAATCATCAATCATCCCAGTTAGTAATCAAATACAAATTCTACAGAAAAAAAACTACTTCTCGCTTAGCATAAAATTAAAATAAAACTGCACAAGTTATAACGAGGGTATGAATTTTATGATGTTTGAATAAGACTTACGCGCCGTGAACAAATATATTTTTCTAATCCATTTCTTTTATACTCATTGTTGCAGAAATTTTCAATCGAAGAAAAAATATTACGAATTTTTCTGACAGCTGTTATATACTGTAAAAATTTTCTCCTTTATTTAAAAGGCAACCTATTCCGGTTCCGGGCCATACATGCAAGTCTGAATTTTGAATCAGTTGGAACAAGTCAGGTCCATTGAGCCCTCTGTCCTCTACTTACCCAAACATTCCTCCAAAAAATTTCTTAAAAAAAGCAATAATATAAAATGATTTTGGATTATGATTCTCTGTTTACACTTTCAGATAATAAAGCAAGTCACAGCTAACATATTTTCAACCTAGACACCAAGAGAAAATAATTAATACTTATGGCTTATGCAACATCAAAACAATCAAATAATTCTTTAAAAACGGTTGAGTGGATGTGGAAGTCTAACGCGGACCCATGGTCGAAATCCGAGCCAGAAAAGTGGAGCCACTATTCAGACGTAGAAAATTTAATCATGGAAGAAGCATTCTCAAATAAACAACCACGAGCTTTGTTGGACGGATATTATATTGATTTCCAAGATAATCTCCAAGTATCCAATGTTGATAGTAACAAGCAACGTCCAGTAAAACGAGTGGTACGAAAACGGGAAGATAAACATTTAAGAGAAGCACGTTTCGTAGATCTTCCTGTTAGTTCTGGACGTACATTTGGTGGTCAATATGGTTGGGTATCACCGTTCGTCATCGAAGTCAGAAGAGACTTGGGTCTTCAACTAAAAGATTTACCAACGAAAAAACCAGATATGATCCCGATGCTTGTTGAAAAAGCTGCCCTTGGTATCATCGAAGAAGGGAAATATCTTCAGAAACAACGAGAAGCTGAGCATTTGGCTAATATGCTCAAAGCAAAAAAGAACGAAGCTATGGAAGAAGTATGGAAATGCTGTGCTTATCTTTACTCATTGGAGAGTTTCTTGTACAAAACTTTGAATGCGGCTATGCGATTAGTAGGAGACAAGGAACATGAGCAAGTATGGAGAAGTAAAATTCGTACACTGGGACCATTCTGTTTACTACTCTGGGATGATCCATTCAATAAAAAAGTGACAATGAAGAAAACGCTGTATCGTGGAGCTGACTTGAAACCCGAACAAATTACCAAGTATGAAGATATGGCCAAGAATACCAACACCGAATATCGATCGTTTCAAGCATTTACTTCTTGCAGTCGCAATCGTCAAAAAGCAGAAGAATTTGGAAATACACTATTTATCATGGAGGTATTGTTTGCTTTTATAGCTGATCTCAGTCCACTATCCGAATATACTCAAGAAGAAGAAGAACTTATCACACCAGGCGTTTGTTTCTGTGTGGAAAGTGTTGAATTTGATCGCAAGACAAACAAACATTTCATCCACTTGAAACTAAGGCAAAGATTTGATCGTAAGTTAAGAACGAGTCCTCTCTAATGCTTTTTGCAGGCTGAGAAGTATTTGTCCTACAATAGTTTGATCCCATTCAAAATATTCTACTCGAGTTAAATCTGTCGATAGATCTAAAATCTCAATAAGAATGCTGGGGAGTTCTAAGTAAAGCAATAATCAAAACATTATTAGTTCAGTGATCATTTTTTCTAGGAAATCTACCTATTTTTTTCCGAAATTTGAATATTAATTTAATGATACTAAACAATTAGTATACACAAATGATTATTAAAAACCACCAAGTCTGCAGTATTGCCCAGGTCAAAAAATCAGATACAGATCTTGTAAGATCAGATGAATGAATATTCTGTGAGCTAGTGAAATATTGCTTTCTAAGATCATATATATCTATATTAAACGATGTCATTGCTTCGCATGATTGAATTTTCGTAATTCTTGTATTGTTTAAAATAGATATAGTCTATCGCTTTTTTTATCTAGATTTATTCTAAAGCAGTTAACGATAGATGAAAATCGAAAACTCTAGATGTAACGAAATTAATTATAATTTATATGAATTCAAATTAACAGCTCTGTAGTTATAAGAAAATAATCCGAATAAATAATACTGTCCATATATTTCAAATCTAAACCACTTTTAACAAACTATTGCCCATGATTAATACTTTCGCTTTTCTCAAGATTATGTGTTTCTTCTGTATCATATGTTTCTGGATATAGACTTTCTTCCTGATTTCTCTTATATTGAAATCAATAACTTGATTTAAACTAATATGAAAGATCCTATCAGGATTTGACAAAATATTTACAGATGATGCATATGTTTTATTGTTGTTTAAGACTAAAATAATTAGGATCGTACTGAAGAATTTTTTCCTAATGTTATCTTCTAGGACTTTCTTAAAAAGAGCTGAAGCTAAAAAGAACTAAATTATTAATTTCTAACTGTTCAGTTTAAAAGTCTACTAATTTATCAAGGTAAAATATGTAATCTTGAGAAATATCAGGTTACTATTCGACATTCTAAATTCATTGTCAATTAATCCATTCGTGTTTTAGTTTACTATGAACACATATCGTCTTGGAAAGAATCTCGAAAAAGTGATATCTCCTTGGAAACATTACTTTTGATGACAAATTTTACTACTTTGGATTGATTTCTATTCACTTTATAAAAAGTAATGATTCCTATCAGTTTTCTACATAAAAATGACATTGAGAAGGGATTTTACCTCAGCAATCATCTTTTACCACAATATTTTATTCCCAGCAAATATTGATTAGAGTAACATATCCTAATTCCATCACTTTTTTCAAATAGTTGAACTACAACCTTTATATCTCTGTTCTGTTAAGTTTGTTTGAACTGAATTTTAGTTTCCGAAATCGAGTAAACATTTCTTCATCTGTTCATGTAACTTTTCCTCAGAATAACAAAGTTATGGATGAATAGGAACCGTAACATGAAAATCTACTTTCATTTTTTCAAGCTCTATCGATATTTTAATTTTATCACCACAACTACTATCCGTTCCCAACTCTGTCGTTTTCAGCAAAAATATACGAATTTCATTAAATAATCTAATTTTCTATCGTAACATTGTCGTCTTCCGAATGAAAAAATATATCATTTGAATCTTTAGGTAAAACTCTATCGATTGACGTATTTTTTACTGCTTTTAATATTGCCTTCATCGTTTTTCTCCCCGTATCAATCGAATTTTCGCTGTGATGTAATTAAGTAGTGTAACTTTATCGTATATCACTGCATCTATTCCATGTTTTTTTTATTTCATCACACAATAGAAAAATACCTGTTGACGCTAGACGAACTTCGGAATTTTCGAAAATAATCAATAGAAAGAATGTAGCTAAGCTCAAACGCTATGTATATATGAGGCGGCAGAAGATTTTAACACAAACTTCCTTGAAATTATCATAATACAAGATTATACATGACTCACAATTTGAAGTTCCAAAGGTGACATTCATATTATCCACAGACAATCCAATAATCAAGATGCACTGTATAGCTAGGACAATTTTATTGATCAATTATCTCATAACTATCTAATTCTTGTTAAAACAAATTGGTTAGTAGTTAATAATATTAATTCGTTTACATACGCATCTATAAATTAGTCTACAATTAAGTCTATTGTCGCTATTATATTATCGAAGGAACATGACGTCTGTCTGTTCTTATGGCCTAAATTTTGAAAACTTTCATCCGTGACAATGTTGAAAAAATATATGTATCAAATCCTTTTTGATGCTGCAGCGAGCGACCTTAATTCTAAAGTGATTTTAA